GTTTATCTATCAACTCCGGATAGAAACGCCTGATTTGAGCTATCCATCTGATGAGAATCATTGTCCGACTGGTGAAGGGATTGCTGCCCGCCTGCTACTCTGTTGTCGCCTGCACGCACGTATGTATGTATGTACGCCGACGGTAACAGATGCGCGTGATCTATACAAATGTAGCTGTTATCGTCCGATCTGCATTTGGGTGCTGGGGCGCTGACTTCCAGTCACACAGACAATAGCCGAACATGCAAACTGAATGCATGTGCATGCAAGGGCTTGTCGCATGCACGTATGTATCGTTTGTTGCTACTTGCTTGCCGTACGTGGAAATATGTTTTCTTCCGACACTGCGCCCTGCCAGCTCTATCTCCCACGTGATCTATCCAGATACACATCCTCCGCGTATGCTTCACGTATGAAGGATATATAGGGGTGCGGGCGTGTGTATGTGCGTGTGAGTGCCGACCGTAGTATGGATAAGTGTCAGGCGGGCTCACGCCGGCCGTACAGTGGTAATAACCATCTGAGGAAGAAATCGCTACCTCTATCTGGCTGTGTAACAACGCTTACGGACGCAACTTACACCGCGCGAACCAAGGATCCAGTTACGCCTGGCAACTAGACAGCTGCAAGTATGTGTCACAATGACGCGGGCGCAGCAATAGTTTTGAAAGGCGAAACGCCTGCAGCTGCCCAGCCACCACATGAATAGTAATTGCCAGAGCAGCAGGGCAGAGCATCAGTATGAGTCTCTCAGGTTCAGCTCCCAGCAGTGGATGGAAGGCAATGTACACGCAACAGTCGTTTGGAATTAGAGGCGGGCATCCACGGGTGCAGACTTCGTCTTTTATGGCGGAACGAGATGCAGCAGTAGTATACGGCATCCGGAGGACGTCGGGATTCCATGCTCGGCCAGCCCGGTCGATCGCCTCAGTGCTGCCAGGCGTGAATAGCTCGGTCTGTGATCGACAAGATTGGCTCGGCCGACCGACTTTGGCTCGGCTGGGTTACTGCTGTCGGCTAGTCTCGGACCGGCTATAGCTACAGTCTCGGGTCGGCTGATAACGTTGTACCTGCAGCACGCGATCGAGTATATAGAGTGATGTCGGTCACATTCCTGAGTACATCATCTTGTTCAATCAATACACTCGCCCCATTACACTTTCATATAATCACGCCTTATTGTCCATTGGGACATCTGCACATCCACACCTGTCGAGAGCAACAAATCGACATGTCTCGCCACAGCAGCAGCGGTAGCAACACGACCTTGCTTGCTTTGGCGGCACTGCTGCTGCTCAGCGCTGGACCTGTCTTCGGCGGCGGAAAGGAACATGACCGCGAGAAGCCGCAGCACAAGCCCCCGCCGAAGCCTCCCAAGGAAATCTGCGACAAAATTCTTGTGGTGACTGAGAAGTTCAACGAGACCGCCTGGGTAACTCCTGCAGGCATCAAGATTGGTTCGGTGCGTATGTGTGCGTGGGGTGTGTGCGCGGATAAGGAAGAGGGACCGTACCATGTACACGTACAGCGGGGTCAGTACAGGGTTCAGTTCAAGGAAGCAAGGGCACGCATTTTCCGTGCGTTCTTTGTAGTTTGCATTTTCTTTCCCGCCACGCGAGCGCACATGCATGTGTTTCCGTGGCTGCCGCCATTTTCACTGCTGGGACGATTGGATAGATTGCGAGTGAGGGTTGCATCTGTGTACCTACGGGCCCACGGTGGTTCAGCAGCGCAGCCTTTCCTGTGCACTTTGGTTCGCTCGACGTCTTCGCAACACACAACCACCGCCCGCAGCTGCGTGCGCGTGATAATGCACGCAAGCATAGTACATGGATGGCCCTGGCCACTCCAATTAAGTATTTGCACGTGGCAATGCTCATTGACGACGACGTACGTGATGCATACACTGCAGGATCTGTCCCGTGTCATCGGCTACAGCCTTGGCTACAGGGATCCCTTGTACCTGGGGGCATGCGTCACGCCCAAGACAAAGGTAGGCAGCAACAGCAGCAGCAACAGCAGCAGCAACAGCAGCAGCAGCAGCAACAGCAACCGCAGCAGCATGATGCGTGGGTGGGGATGCAGGTACTGCTGATGAATGACCGAGCATACAGAAGGCTACGTAGCTGGCTGGGGAACATAAACACAGCTGCTGTCAAAATAATAATGCCAACAAAGTGACGAACGTAGCTTGCTTTAGATATCGATGTGGCTTGCGGTGTTTAGCTGTCTAGCTGAGTAGTGATGATAGCTACATCCGTCGTACGAAGCGAGCAATGGCCCAAGGCTGTTACATATTGCCAAGCAGCTAGGTAGGTAGTAGTGGCAATAAAATCATCTCTCAAATGACGTCCTCCTGCTCCTATCCAAATGCAGATTGGAATGGTTAGCGCTTTCTGCTACCAGTTTGATCTGCGGTACAGCTACTGCGTTAACACGCTGGAGATTGGTATCTTTGGCACCATCACATTCCTCGGACCCTTCACAGATGTCCAGGTGGGTGGTGGTGCAAGCAAGGATGAGCGCGTACGTGCCGTCAGGACAGGACTGCCGTGTACATACTGCCGTGTACATACTGCCGTGTACATACTGCTGGCCTAGCTGCCTGCTGGTCGCCATAGCATGAGACGTCAGCGATATTTCGTGCGTGTGCTGCTGCACGTGCAGGATGCTTATTTCGAGAACGCCGTCACCGGTGGCACGGGCATCTACAGGGGCGCTGAGGGCGTAGTGAAAGTGAAGGTGCTGAAGCAGGGCGAGGTGTACGCCTACAAGATCGTGCTTGAGGACGAGCCCAAGTGCTATGACAAGTAGTAAATACTCTCAATAATTAGGAATGAAGAACTGTTGGAAGAACATGGTTTATCTATCAACTCCGGATGGAAACGCCTGATTTGAGCTATCTAGTAAACTAGACCCTATTTACAATATCGAGACAATCATCTCATGAGAATCGTTGTCCGACTGGTGAAGGGATTGCTGCCCGCCTGCTGCTCTGTTGTCGCCTGCACGCACGCACGTATGTACGCCGACGGTAACAGATGCGCGTGATCTATACAAATGTAGCTGTTATCGTCCGATCTGCATTTGGATGCTGGGGCGGTGACTTCCTGTCACACAGAAAACAGCCGAACATGCAAACTGAATGCATGTGCATGCAAGGGCTTGTCGCATGCACGTATGTATCGTTTGTTGCTACTTGCTTGCCGTACGTGGTAATATGTTTTCTGCCGACACTGCGCCCTGCCATCTCTATCTCCCACGTGATCTATCCAGATACACATCCTCCGCGTATGCTTCGCGTATGAAGGGTATAAAGGGGTTCGGGCATGTGTATGTGCGTGTGAGTGCCGACCGTAGTATGGATAAGTGTCAGGCGGGCTCACGCCGGCCGTACAGTGGTAATAACCATCTGAGGACGAAATCGCTACCTCTATCTGGCTGTGTAACAACGCTACGGACGCAACTACACCTGCTACACCTGCTCGATACCAAATGCTATGCAAAGGTCCCGGACCCTTAGGGACCCGATACCATACGGCATCCCGGGACCCATACATTTCATTGCAGGTTATAACGATGCAAATGTTGCAAATATATACTTTTAAATGCGTTAACTCTAAACTGGTAAGCAGAGACCGGAGGTAAGCAGAGACACACGCCACTAGCTTGCATTCAACTTCTTCAAAACCATGAGATCAAAGGTGGTCCAATATATATATCAGGGGCAATGATATGGTCGTGTGTCGTTAACTACTTGATTGACCCAATGACGCTACTTGCACCCATGCTGAACGAGTCAATGTCATTCCTGTCAGCGGATCAAACGTAATGAAAATTATAAAGTGAACCTGCAAATCCGTGAAAACAGAGAAGCGGCCCGAACCCGGCCCCAACCCGGCTCCCACGGCCTAAGGCTCCGTACATTGTAGAAACGCGGCTACACCTTGCACCCCTCAACGGCCTGATGCCATACAACAAGAAGCTTCAGCAGCTGGTCCGGCGCCTAGCAGCCAAGCATCGGTGGTTCTATCCTTCTGGAGCTGTATGGCTGGCCACACCCACTAACCACCTCTTGTGCTCTGTACGGCAAACGCAACCCAGCCTTGCGCCTCTCACATGCCTGATGCCCAAGACATATAAGAAGAGACTGCAGCTGGACCTGTGCTGAAATCGTGGTCCCTGTCCTGTGGCCGGCGGTTTTCACCCAGAGTTGAATTGATGCAGGGTCCATTCCGGTTGTGTTTATTGTGGTGTCTTTGGAATGCGTACATGGGCTTCATATAGATTCACTACCATAGTTGCGGTCTAGGTTGTCCCTTCATCCAGTTGGGGGTTGTCGTGGGGCTGGGGCTGGGCTGTGAGGCTGCAGTCTTGCATGTGTGTGAATGCAGATGATCTTTCTACCGTCTATGTCAGGTGCAACGGTGCTTTGGAGTATCGCAGCCGCATGATGAATTAAAGCATAAGCAAAATTCAAGAGTTAAAAACCATACACCCAGGTCCTTTGAACCTACAGTACGACTGCAAGTGACGACCAATCAGATTTGTCATGCCACATGAGAAACCCTAAGTTAACAGATCCGAACTAGTTTGTAGCTACGGTTATCACGGTACAGGGCTCAACACATACATGGTAGCCCCAAGAAAAAACACTATCAGGGGTACCTGTGTGACGGTACCGCACCCCGCCACCCACGCTAAACGGAAGCCCGTGGGCTGTCTGAGCTGCATTGAAGTGTAGCGTTGCAAGGACGGTGGCCGCAGGCCTACCGCTGCTGCCAAGCTGCTGGGCTGGCTGCGGCCCCCCCCCCTGCTGAACTGTAGCCCGCTTGCCCCGTGACCACCGTCAAGGTTGATGGTGGAACGGACGACAGCGCCATAGCCGTTGACGCCGTTGACGCCGCTGCCAAGCTGCTGGGCTGGCTGCGCCCCCCCCGCCCCTGCTGAACTGTAGCCCTGTAGCACTACAACAGTGTTATAACAGCAATGTTTAACTTGCCTGGCTTCTCAGAAATGAGACCTGGACCAGCAATTGCTGGCATTTCACGGGAAAAGTTACCTGCTGTCCTCTGCAGGTTACTCTAAACAACTTTGTGTAATCACTTTTGAAATGACTAGAGAAGACCTGAGCATGCAGGTAGTCAGAGGTGAACGTTTCGTCTATGCCTAAACGTTCCACGAAATCCTGCAGCTCGCTTTCTAAAGGAGTATGCTTGTGTTTACAACGGCAAATCAAACAGTTGCTATCGGAATCAACACCGCCTAAGGACTGACAGCTGTTCGCTTTGGCCATGGCCAGCGAAAAGCATGCCAGAGCCTGCTCTTTAGCGCATACGTTCCATAATTATAAGTTGTATAGCAATATCAATCAGGATTCTTGAAAACGCGCTTACGCCCTGCTTATTTTTGCATATTTAGGCTCGGACCCCTAAGACCTAGATACCCAGCCAAAAATCGGGGTCCCGTGTCGTACGTATCGGGGTCCCTAGGGGACCCCCAGGTTTACATATACCCCTGGTATACCACGACTTCAGAAAAGTAATATATATACTGCGGATGCAGTAATCGTAATATGCCAAGGATGCTACACAGATCACGTGTCGTTGATGTCATGACTGCCGCGTGGACTGTTGCACCGCGTCCTGAGTTGGAGCAGGGAGCCCTTGAAGAGGCACAAAGTGCAGGCACCGGAGTAAATGCTCTGTCCATTACCGGTGTTGACACAGCAGCGAGCGTGTGTAAGTGTCACACAGCACTGAGCCAAGAAACGCCCGGTGCACAACGTGCGGTCCACATTGTTGTTGGCTGCGGCAGCGCCTGCATGTCCACCCATGCCGAGCAGTGCATCAGCACCGACCTGTTGCATGGGCAGCAACCGTGCCCGTGGCAGTATGTAGCCATCCCTGCAGCAGTAGCCGTGTCGACACCCACGGCCATGCGCCCACATCATCACTGCGCCCACAGTGACCACACCTGCAGCCGCACCCATGTGGCGTACGTACGAGCACGTGCACATGCGTGTCACTCAAAGCCAGGAAACTGATAGCGAGGCATCTGTTTCGTGCCGTACAGCACCATCTTACATTTGTAGTCCCTAAAGGCAAAGGCGATATGGCGATCAAACGAGTATAGCTGTTGCAGTAATGACACAGGAACATTACACAAAATGGTGCATCAGACTCCATCAGACAGAAACTAAGCGTACCCCTCTTTCATGCGCTTCAAGCAGGCACTCGCACGGACATACATACGCCCCGTACGGTATCTGCTAGTACGTACCCAACCTCTAGCTACCTTGTGGCGAGGACAACCAAAAGCGCCAAACCCCAGAACAGATCACCCGGACTCTGAAACGGATATTATATATCCTGCGGATTGTGCGGCGACAGTGCAGCCATCAGGAGCTGACGATGAAGCTCAACTCCAACAATGTGAAAACCAAGCGCGATAATTTCAAGGTTGTATTCCTCATACGGAGGGGGCCTAACGCGTGAGTGATGGTTGCTTGTGCGCGCGCAAGCATCCGTACAGATTAGGTGACCGCCCGGGGCGGGTGTAGTCCTCAACAGTTTTCAGTACTCAATGCCCCCGCACCGCACACAAACACAGGAGTGATCGTTCGAAAATTGTTATAAACGAAACCGATGTCTGCAACGTGAGTCCTTCTTCACACGCATTAGCCAAGTGTGCCATATCAATGGGGCGGCCCGCCGCCGATGACATTGCCAGGATGGCAAGTAAGCTTGGGGCGCAAGATATAACAGTAGTTGCATGCAAGACGATTACTAAGCTATCAGTTAGCGCAAGCGAACACCAGCAGCAGACGACAGGAGACGCAAAACACGCTGCTAGAAACGGAAGCAAGACGATAAGCTTGATCATTCAATGATAAGGAACATAACAATTTGGCAGCCGTAAAAAAAAGGAAAAATGAGACGAACATGCTTCAAACCTAGCATCACTGCCGCGCACGCATACTGCAAGTAAATGTGTAGTAAGCAGGAAAAAGGAGATATATAAATTACCTTTCTATGCGCTTGCTGGCAAACCTGCACTCAAACCTGCACTCAAGAATTTACTGCACCGCCCTTCCACAAACGTTATTATGCGATCAATAAGAGGCGCAAGTGCGTGTGGTAAGTACGCGGTACCGATCAGCCCGAAACAAAGCGTTACCACCCATTCAAGAAGAAGCTTTACTTTTTCATTTCTCCAAGCCATGTTGCGAATGCCGCCGCCCAACGACTACCGAAATGTTGACCGTACTCATGAACGTTGACCCTAAGCCACAGCTGATTGGTATGTAGGGCAGCAGGCGTTAGAAGAGTGGCCATCGAACAGTGAGATGGAGCTGTGCACATTCCGTCCACGTAGTTAGGTTGGTAGTCGAGCAGTGCATGCCATGCGAGGTAGAGGCCGGGGAAGAGGGCGGGAAAGCACTTCAATACGCGGAACACGTGCGCGCGTTCAAACACGCCTTGCATAGGATCGCTTGGGGTACGATCTAATACTGGACCTTTACAAGAACTCGGGGAAATACAACGGCGTAAAGGCAGCAGCAGCAGCAGCAGCAGCAGCAGCAGCAGCAGCTCGCACAGTAACGGCCAGGAGCGAGCTACACGTGATGGTGATCAAAGCACTGCGAAGCACGTCACACTGACTTACCAGACATTAGACACGCAAAACTCTTGCAAAGTGATATCGTTCTTCAGCTCCATACAAATCTCTGCACCGTTAGCAGTTGCCCGGTTCCAAGTCAGGCCAGAAACTGCACGCAGTGAGGTTAAGAATTTGCGGGAGGAAGGCAGGGTAAAAATAAATAAACGATGTAGCAATAGTAAATTGTAAAGCGAAGTCCTCATGTGTACGCTGATAGGCCATGATTAACAAGCAGGAGAAAAGAACAAGCGGCGGTCAGCAGCACCTGTATTGTTGCAGCTAGTTAAGACGCACGAGGAAGGCGCAGGAATGCCGCTGTTCATGTAGTAATGGCGACCAGTATCCGTTGCCTACCTTTGGCCGTGTTGCTGCCCTTGTCGCCCCAGGATGGGGACAGCCACCTGGTCTTGCCGTCGGGGGTCGAGAGGCGAAATCCCCGCAGCTTGCCGCGGCGGTCCTCGTCTGAAGCGCAGGTAAATTGATAGAGCGGGTGAGCAACCATTTGCGCAAGACAGAGGTCATGGACGTGCCCAATGGTAAGGCCGTCAGCGCAAGACCAAGCACTGAGCAAGATGCCGCACAGAAACAGAAACAACGGTTTACACAACGAGGGCAGCAAACAATCAAAGTCTGTCCTTCGTTCGCGCGGCACAAACTCACTTGCCCAAATCTCGACCTTGGCCACCTTACTGCTCGAGTTGCAGCGGCCCTGCATGAACACAAAAGTGAAAGGGTCACACGACGGGAAAGAGTACAGCAGAGCTCTTGCGCCCACTTAATCTAATCGTGTTGTAGCCTACCGGCAGCAGAGCAAAGTCATTTGGAAGGACGCCCAAGGTGAAGCAGTACAGTGTCGTATCATTTGTACGGCCTTGCTCAGACGACGCCGAAGGGCTCACGTAGAAGGGTGTCGAGTAGCGTTTCCGCTGGCACCTGTTGTATCAACAACGTTGGAGCGTTTAGCAGCACGCAAGGACGGCAACTCCGCTCAGAGACAAAAACGAATTGCATAATTACCAAACGCCGACACGAAGACGTTACACGAACTACTCGTCGAACACCAACAAATTGTTACACCCTGATTTTCAACCCCACTTACCCGCAAAAAGGAAAATCGCTCTGTACCAAAGAGCAAGTCCGCGACTTTACAACATCCATGCACTTGTCGGTCGTAATCCGGAACGAGTAGCCATACATGACGGGAGTGCAGGCGCTTGCAAACGAGTACAGCCAAAACTGTTCCGCCTGAATTCGAGTCCACTCCTCCAGCTGCGCGGCATCAGACTCCGAAGCAAACTTCCCGCAAACAATGATCTTATCGGAGCTGCACTTGCTGGCGTCGACCGAGAAGTTTTGCGCCAGCATAAGGCCCATCGAGGCAGCCTTTTCGTTAACATCGTACGAAATAGAGGTCTGCACTATTTCACATGTGAAACTGTCAAACTGGTACGGCGGAAACACACGGGCTGGATCAATCGTCAGGTCAATACACATGTCGCAAGAGGAAATCGGAGGTGATGGAGAGGGTGGGCTGGGGGATGGTGGCGAAGGAGATGGCGGCTCGGGGGATGGTGGCGAGGGAGAGGGAGGCGAGGGAGAGGGAGGCGAGGGAGAGGGAGGCGAGGGAGAGGGAGGCGAGGGAGACGGGGGAAATGGGGATGTGGAGGGGCTAGGGTACGGAGTACCCGGCGATGCGACATTTGTCCCAGTACGGGATGTCGTACAGCAGTCAAGGGTCGTGTCGAACATCGCGGTCAGGCACGAGCCAGGCGCCATGCCGTTGGGCGGAACACATAGCTGCTCCAATGTCGTACAGCCTTGGCCGGCACGGTTGGGCTTGAGGGTCAAGCATATCTCGGTGCCGTTGCTCGTCATGTTTAGTCCAAGCTGCGTTACGCGCAGTAGGGCACTGCCAACGGGTCCGTTGTACGGCTTGTCAAAGCTGGGCCCGACCTTTGTAGGGACGCCGTTGACGGTCGCCGACACGGAAGCGCCGCTTACGACGCAGCTGTCGTACACGTTGAACTGCGAAGAAAGACAGAGGACGCTTGCTACAAGGACAAAGGACTAGTACAAGCGTTTGCCCCGGCGAAACCCACGACATCACCAATACATTTCAAGCATCAAAGCGCGGCGGCCTTGACCCTCGCCTCCGTCTATCCATACGAAGCTTGCCAATCATGCAGGACAACCCATTGAGCCGTATCAGTCCTCGTTTGGTGAGAAGTATACTCTCATAACGACGGACCCAAGAGCACCCAAAGGCCTCGTGTGTGGAGTTTGTTGTAAGAAAGCAAGCCATACTAAACCAGAGAAACCCAAGGACAATAAACAGAAACCGAAAACTTTAAAATGCTCGCTACAACCAAGATCTCACAGCGGTCGCGTCCTCACCTCAATCTTTTTCAGATCCCTATTGCAGCACTGGTTGCGAGTGCAGCTGGCGGCCAAGATGGTGAAGCAGTACTGGCCGCTGCCCTTGTAGGTCACAACGGGAGCCAAGCTGTAGGACGCAGGAATCCGAATGCACTCAAAGTAGGGGAAGTAAGTGATGAGCCCTATCTGAGTCGAAGAAGCGACTACAGGGGCGGCAGGAGGGGGCTGCGCCCTAGCACCAGGCAACCTGCAAATTTAGAGCGATTGCAATATTAGTTATGAAGTTGTGGGTTATCAGAAGCTTTCTTGTGAACGTGAAGAAATAATCACATAAAACAAGAGCCGCAGTCGGAAACCCAAGAACCAAGAATCCTTATAATAGCATCCGGTAATAGCTTTATAAATTTCGTTTCACAAAAGTGCGGAAACAGATAATGCATGAGGTGGAAAGGTCGGCCCAACAATTAAACTCAAATCGCTGGAAACCAAACCTCGCGCGCACTGCGGTTCAAAGCTAAAGCGAGAGTGCGCAGCGGTCTTGTCCTCCTCTCAGAGCTTACCCCCAAAGAAGCGCCATGAAGGTTGCGGCGATCCAAAACAGCCGAGTCATTTCCACCGCCTTCAAACCCATGTTGTTTGGCTCTAGGCGCCTCTTAGCTCCGCAGCCGCGATTGGTGAACGGCTGCTGCTGCCCCTGCTGCTAACTGCAGGCCACCCAGATATAGCCTGCTGTCCAGCCAGAACTACCTGCTTGCTCAGGAACGTGTCAGGCCGGGGCTTTTATACTGGGAACCAACCAAGCAGTGCTCGGTTTCTAAAACCGAGGGCCTTACGTACGCCTTGGCGGTGCGTGCGAAGTAAGTTAGCAAAACCGAATGTACGACTATTGTTTATTGGCGGGCGAGGCTGCACGGCTATAGCTGCTGAGGATTTTTCTCTGCCACAGGAAGGCAAGGAAAGGTTGGCAAACTCCAGCAGTCCGCTGCTTATGTTTCGATTTGGAAACCGGCAATGCAGACAAAGGCGCATTATATTTCCGTCGCTTCCAATAATCCGCTCACGCCTCGGCAGCTGCTCGCAACAACGAAAATAGACAAATCAAACAAATATCACTGTCATACATGCATCGGTTGCGTCAGGCAGAATTTTGGTATTTGTTGGGTAATGAAATTATTCATCGGCTTGTGTGCTTGGCTACTAGTTTTCTGCTGCTGGGTGGCCTAACAGTGCACTTCTGCGAAATGCCAATCGCGCATTCTCATCAACTCCCAGTTTTCTCAGCAAGGAAATCCAAGTATGGGAAAGGGCCGGTTTTCTGCGATTTCACTTTTTAGCTTGCCGCCGGTTATCCTTCCAGTCGTCCTGTCTTTCGTTCCACCCTTGGGACGTAATTCGTGCCTATCTCTCCGTACATGCACATGTGTGTTTCTCCCGCAAGCCCTGTTTGTTGTTTTTGGTAGGGTAGGCAGAACACAGCAGCCCATGGATTTCGTGGCTTGCTTGACTGTTTGCGTGTGGCTTGCCATGCAAATTAGCAGAGGGATGCAGTACGGGACGAATTTTCGCATTCTTGAATGTCCTCCGTCTTGGGTGCCCCGCTATCCGCATTCCCTTGACCGACCCCCACTTCACATCTAACCCTACTGCACGTGCATGCGGAACTTGTAACTTGTAAAAATCTAAAACCCTACTGCATCCCTCTGAAATTAGTTAGGCTAAGAGCATTTTGTGGCTGGTGTTTGTGGCATCTGTGGAAAACGTTCAGCGCTGAAGAGGGACGCGACTGCACCAAAACGAAAACGGCAGGGTGGCATTATTCCCTACCAGGTCATTGGGCCTTTCAACAGCGCCAAACAGGCTGTTAAGGCCTGTTTGGCACTGTTATAGGCTGCTGCTGTAATGATCAATTTGGCCCTTTGTGGCCATGTTGAAATCCCCAATGACTTGGTAGGGATTTCAATGACAGAGGAGAGGTCGTACGTGCGCCACATCTCCTGCGCCGTAATACCTACTGCTATATGTGCCGCATGCATGTGCATAAGCGGTGCGAACCGTTTTTGGAACAAGATGAGAAAGAAAACACGAGCAGGTCGATAATCAATGAAGCGTACGGAGAAGGTCAAGCCGAATAATAAAATAAGTCATACAAGTATAGTAGTAAAGCTTGCATGCTGTCGCACCTGGAAGATGCGCACATGCCAATGTCGAAGAAGGAGAGTGCAGTGCAGAGTAAGTGAGGTACACCGAGTAGTTGAGAAGAGTGCTAGCGTTGGTCATGAGGGCTGCCAGGTAGACCGGCACGCGGGCGAGGCAGGGTGAGGGGAAGGAAGCCACCAAGCCAGAACGCAGAACGCATGCATGGATGGGGAAAAGCACAGAAATTTATGAAATTGATTGATTGACAAGCTAATAGAAACAAATTGATGATGAAACACAGGATGAAACATGAACAAAATTAAAGAAGCGCCAGACGAGAACGCACTGACGCATAGAGACGTAACAGTAGTTTAATAAGCTAAGGCCGCAGCAGTTAAATCAGCAGATAATAAATAGGTGGCAGCGGATTGCCGTGCCACACATATACATACACACATACATACACACACCAAGGTAGACTTTAGGTTGCTCTTGGCTTTGCCGCCTCCTCTATCTCTTTCCTGCAGCGCCATGATGCTCGAAGCAGCAGCAGCAGCAGCAGCAGACGAAATAAACACGCGCGACACCTGCCAGAGTCCACCTTTCTTGCAGTTGCTCCCTACAGCCACATACAGACAAGCGCTAAGAAGTTCAGTACGGTTGGCTACGTACACACGTATGCACGAAGTTGTATTTAGCGGAATTATTTATTACCGGTAAAGAAAAACCTTTCTTCATATGTTTCCCGGGCAGCAGTTCTCGGCCAGCTGGCCCCAGCAGCCAACGTCAGCAAAGAAACGTTTCACCTCCTCGCTGGACGGTTGGAGGGCGTTTCTTATGGCGTACGAACTGGCTCGCGAACAGCTCTGCACAGTAGAAGTATCCGTCCACTGCTATTACCGTCATTTTACAAATATCTACAGCTCGATTGGTGACTTCTTTTTTTCTCGGAAATGAAGAGTGAGTAGGGGCGTCGTAGTACGGTCGTACAGCCATGCTCGTTAGTTAACGAGTATGCAATTGTCTCATCGTCGTCTTCGTCTCAGGTGCAGTAATGCACGGCCAGCTAGCCCACTGGCTCTACTCTTCGTGAGTCTGCACCCCACTGTAACAACCCCCCACACTCACACACGTATGCCGCCATGACACGCAAAGGGGGGGGGGAAACAGAGGTTCCCTGATCAAAAAGGCAGCAGGAGCATGTAGGTCGGTGCGACATACCTACATGCCTACATACCCACAGACCTACAGACCTACAGACCTATACATCTACATACCTACATACCTACCTCCAACCATACATACGTGGAATGTGCGATGGAATTTACGACCGACGGTCTGCGGTGCTCTGTCTGCTGCCGGCCTGAAATAGAATGGCGTTAATGTCCCGAGGTCTAGCAGGCGATAGAGACTTCGTACGTACGATGAGCGGTGACTTGATTTGCTTTGAGTTGCGAAAGCGGGTTACGTAGTACAGCCTTCATAGCGCCTTCAGATGCAGGAGCAACACGTACGTACAGACATACATACAGATAGACGCACACACGCATAGTGCGAGTATGTAAGGGGAGATTCGTCGACGCTGACTGCTGCTGCTGCTGCGGGTGGAATATAGAAAATCTCCTGCCAGCCATTGGGGCTTATTGGGGCTCATTGTTTGATCAGTACACATTGAAGAACGAGGCTGCGCGATGGCGCCTGGATATGTTGGAGGTTTTCTTTTTGGGAAGTGAGGCTGTGTGTGAGAGTGTGTGTGTGTGTGGTGGTTACTGTGTGAGGCTGTCTTTAGGGTTTTAGGGTTTTCAGAAAGCCTCAAGCCGGCCGCTTCACATATCGGCCGCAGAGCGAGTTGCGTCCCGTTCAAATCATGATGTGTGCTGTAAAGCCGCGAATCATCATTTCATGTAAAATAACCAACAAAGATCCAAACACCCGTAACATCAAAGGCGAGGTGGTCATGCATTGACGCCATATCACTTCAGTAGTTGGCGTGGGGGGATCATTTCCACTCACGGCCCCCCAGGCCAACCAAAACGAAGCAACGAACCAACCAAACCAACAACCAACCGACTTCACGTAGCCGATTTTGCTGCACACACACCGTCCCGTCCTTACCACAATGCTATCGTCATTAGCAACATCATCATCGTTATGATTACTCCCATCCCGCAAACCGACCCCGTCTAAAATCCCCGGCTCCCCCCCCCGCCGCACAACAACGCCACTCTTACAGGCAATCGTTTTTACGTGAGTGCGAGCACGCACGACCCAGCACCCATAAAACAAGGATAAGAGATCAGAAAAGGAAAGAGGAGAAAGAGGGAAAAGAAAGGAGGAAACAAACGTGGATTATATATAGCACACCACCACCACCATCACCACCACCACCACCACCACCATTGCGCCACCAACACAGCTTCTAACACAGCATGAAAGGCGGCTCCTGTGACGCATTTTTCCATTCGTTCTAACAACACAAAACAGCTTCACCATCGTAGATCAGCGATGCGAGTTAGGTGAGGTGAGGGACCATCGCATCGGCTTCACCCGGCCGACTGGTGGTCAGTTGACAGCGCCCGATCGAGACCAAACTTCGAAATCACGTACATGTTCCAGCAACACATCGCATTACCCACCAGGCTGCTAGCCCCGGGCCCCTTCATCAGCGCTCTTGGCATGTGTGGGCTCTTCCCCCTCTTTGTTACGACACCTTTGGAGGGGGGTAACGCGGTCACTCCAGGAAGGTGTGAAACGCATACATACACACGCACACACATACACACACGCGCGCGTACACAATTACACCAAATAAAATTACATCTACCTCCTTTTCGTCTGCGGGCACTGTGGAGGGTCACGTCGCCCTCTCACTCTCTTCGCCAAAGGTCATTTGTCCTCTGGGACTCTCCTCGCTATCTGAACCTCCCCCTCTCCCCCCTTCTCCCTCTCCCTCTTTCCCTCCCCAGCAGCTAATTGCCACGTAGGAACAACACCTGCAACAAGCCGCATACAGCGGCTTCTACAGCTGCCAGCACTTCTTCGCCCTGGCGCCTCTGCATCCCAATAGCACCTTCCTTGGTCTTTCTTTCTCTGTACCCCTACTTCCACCTCCCTCTTTCTCTACCCGGTCTATCTATCTTCCTTTCTTCCATTCCACACCTTTCCGGCGGACACAGCGGACTCCGGTCCGAACGTCCGCCCGTTCTCGCGCCGCTTCCTTTACTGCACATCCTTTACGGGTGGCACTTGGGGTTTTTGCTTCGCCCTTTTCGGTCCATCCTCGAACTCCTTTTAGTAATGCCTTCCCCCACGTAACTGTCAACTGTCATTGTGAGCTCTTGAAAGAAATCAAATTGTCAATACCAAGCTATTTCTCAGCCCCCTTTTCCCGACGGAGATTGGAGCCACCCCACTACTCGCGCTCCACCTCCTCGCGTTCCAGGTACCTTCGTCGCGACTGCTGCCGCTGCTGCGGCCGTACCCCGCCTGAGTACCCTCCCCCGCGGAGTACGGCACCCTCTCGCCGGGTTCGTGCCCAGCCATCCCGCCCCGCCGCTGGCCCCGGCGCCGCGCGGCTCTTCTGCAGCACCGCCGGCGGCGGGATCGCGGCGAAGAATTTCTCACGAAGTGCTTTCAGGTCGACAGCGGCCGAGTCCGCTTCAGCATCCTTTCCCTTATCGTCTTCCTCTCCTTGCTCGTCAGCGCTGCCGGCGCCGCCGTCCTCATAGACAGCGCGGTCGTCCTCCTCCGTTGACTCGTACATGGTGTCAGGCGAGGCAATACCCGCCAGACGTAACCCAGTTGTACGATGAAGATCGTCCACGTCGACGTCGCTTCTGCTCACACCGCCGACGCGGGTCGCGCTGCCGTCGACGCCGCCGCCGTCGCTCTCTCCGCCGCTAAGGACCGCAAGTGGATGGCTTACCGGAAATGCCTCCGCCGCCTCCGCCGCTGCGACTGCAGCGACTGCCACCCCGTTGTTTTCTGCTACAGCACTGGCGGCGTACGACCCGTTGCCGTTGTCGTTGCCGTTGTACTGGCGGGGTTCATTAAAGCCGTCACCGTTTCCGTTGCCATTCCCATCGCCGTACACCACGGCGCCGGAAGACAGCCCAGTACGGGTAAAAGCGTCGCCATCGCCGCCGCCACCGCTGCCGGCAACGGCGGGCCCAACTTCCGCCGTCAGCTCTTGCTGTTGCTGCTGCTGGTCTTGTAGCTGCTGGTGCCGTACTAGCTCCCCAAGTAGCTCCTGGGCGGCCGGCGGCAGCCGCTGCCGCCACTCCGCAAGCCGGGCTTCCGCCTGCAGGTATGGCGGTACGGAAAGGGCGAGTGCAAAAATGAGGGCGCGAGCGTATCTTACTCCCATATCTCATTGGCCACATATCGCACCATTTTCCGTTCGCCGCATACTAGTGACCTGCACGACACGCCACCCGTACGACACCGTCCCAAACACCGTACCGATGCCGTACCTGGCCGAGGACAGAGATTGCCGTGGCGAGTTCGACCTCCAGCAATCGCCTTGCCTCCGCCTCTTCCGCTTCCGCCGCCTCCACCGCCGGCATCCCCGTCGCCGCCCCGCCCTCCTCCTCCTTCTCACGCTGTACGTCCCCATTTCCATTGGAATGGAATTGCACCTGTGCGTGGCGTTGGGACTCGTCCGACCCGTTGAACGCGTCTACTGGCTGTTGCTGTTGCTGTTGCTCGTTCCCGGAGTTCGAAGGAGATGAGTCTGAGACGACCGCCGCCTGGTGCGACATTATCGGCTGTAGCGTCAGCTGTAGCTGCAGTGCGGATACGTTGGCCTGCTGCCGTCGTACCAACTGCTCCAACCGTGCTACCTGTCACAACGAATCGGAAAAGGGAGAGGGGACCGTTTTATGGAAAGAGTGGCGAAGCAGTGGCGAAGCAGATCATGTTTGATACACAGGTACGAAGGTCCGACAAAGGGGAGGCTGTTCGCGGGAAAATATGGCCCGGAGCGGGCGATGTAGCTTTCACAGGTGGGCCCCCGCACCAGAATTTGTAATGCGTAGCTTTTAACTTGAACCTTTTAATCTGTAATTTGTAACATGAAACTTGTGTAACTTCAAATTTGCATTTTGAAACTTGTAACTTGGAGCTCGTAGCCATGGTAAGTTTGTTGTATATGGCTGACGCAGCTTAAGGTGAAGCCGGAACGACGACGTGTACGACAAGAGGAGGAAGCTGAGGAGAAACACCGCATGGTGGGGCAATGCAAGAACATGCGAGCCCACAATGCTGCCGTACATATGATGATGATATCATGTAGGGCCAGACAAAAAAAGTACCGCAACCGCTATGGCGGTTACCTCGGGCGGTTAGCTACAACCGCCAACGTCAAACTAATTATGTACGGCGCGAACCTTCTTGAGAAGCTCCAGAGGCAACTCGGCGGCCGCCGGCGGTGGCGGCGGCGGCGGCTCTGCAACTACGGTTGTAGCTTCCGTATCGACGACCACGCCGCTGCCGCCGCCGTCAACCGTCGTACCCCCTGCAGGCGACGTAGTCGGCATCGTAGCCCTGGAAAGCCAGCGCAATTGGTTCAGTCGCCGCCCCGTCAAGCCGGCGGCGTACACCCCGCCCGCCGCCGACGCCGCCGCCGACGCCGCAGCGTAGCCACTCGTTTCCTTGTGCTGCGACGATACAATCAACGACCGCATAACCGGATCAACCTCCATATCCTCGGATGTCAGAATCGACGTATATGCGGCTTCCAGATCCAGATCGACAGCCCCCCTGCCGCGGGCAGTTCCGGAGCCGCCTCCCAGCGGCCGGCCCCGCCTGCGCTTCACCCCCGTCGAATCCGCCGCCGCGGCAGCGGCAGCGGCAGCAGCGCGGTCTGCCGCGACCTCCGCGCGACTTCGCCGTGACCGCCGCAGCCAGTCGTACGACGGCGATGTCGGCGCCGACGACCGAGAGGAACCAGACGACGACGACGACGCGGCCGAAGAGGAGTTGGACGGGGAGAGACGCGGTCGCCCGGCACCGATGCGGCCCCCACGTCGCGCCATCTGCATGTGCATGTGTTCGGCGAGATGAACAAAATACAGGCCGCGAAAGGTATTTAATAAACTCTTTAATTTACATACATACCTGCATACCTACATACCTTCATACAACAAAACTCCGCTTCTAATACCGCCTCCTACTGAAGTGACATCGCTATGGGTGTTATGGCGGGTGACCAGCATCCACCTAATGCTCAGCGGTCGCCGGTAGCCGAACCACGGAAACTGGGCGAACAACCCTCAGACCTCTGATGCCCTAAAACTATAAATCGGCTCTTAAACTCTTTCGAGCGGGTAGCTTGCTGGTGCTGTACTACTATTCATAACTACCTCTGTTGCCTATTGCGGGTCGGTGTGAGACTTGAGAGTCTGCGGGTCCTGGTTCCCAACCCCACCCCCACCCCCACCACCCCCACCCCCACCCCCACCACCCGCCCCCCACAGCGCATCAGGCGCAACTGCACCCAGCCTGCCTGCCTGGAGAATAACAACCCCATTGGCAAGGCAAACATAATACTAACCATTATTTGTATTCCAGGTCCGGCCTCTGATCGGCTTCCGTGTGAATTGATTTGCCGGTGCTATGTTATGCGGTGTCCTTTCCTCCCTTTTTCTTTCTCAAGTGCCCCGATATCCCCCCCATACATACTCGCATTCCTGGACCGCTGCTTGTGTCTGTGTGGTAAAGCGACTGTGGATACTGTTGTGTGGCTTCCTACTTCAACCTACGTGACGTACTTCTTTTCTGACAACTCAGTGAAACCAACAATCGACAATGAAATCTGTCATGGAGTACAACAACCCACATCGCCACTCCACGGCACTCGCAAATGCGCGCAGCATACCTAATGCACGACAGCGGCCCATGCGCCGGTCTGCGGCCTCCTCAACAGCAAAAACATCAATTCCTCTTTCCCACATTCATATCACAGCATTTTCTTTTCTTTTATCTTTTACACACAAGTTCACCTGAGCATGGAACGTGGAAGACAGCATCGTTCCATATTCCATGGAAAGATGCTCTATGCTTCAATAAATATTTTCTGTAATATGGAAAATCCTTGGAGGCGCGCTTCCCCCCTCCGTCATCGCAAAACCCAGCCCCGCCCCGCCCCAGCCCCAAATGGCATCCTATCTTCTCACCATGTTCGCGAACTCTAGACGCAGACCTCCTTCAGTGATTTGGCGCCACCGAGAGGACACCACACCCATCGCGTCGCGTCGGGTCGCAAATTCCTCAACGGAAACGAGACCCTTCTCCAGCAACCGTCGCAACCGCCAACGAATTACGTTGGCGTCCAACTTGCGCTCCACGTCGGACAGAGGTCGCCAACGGCCCAACAGCCACAACTGCCGGGGTCGGGGTCGGGGTCGGGGTCGGGGGAAGTGTGTTCTCGGGTGTACTTGCAGATGAATATGCATATGCATATGCGTCTTTAAGGACTGAGCCGCGATTAGGAAGTGTTGAGGATCGCATGGGAAGATTTTTGTGTTATGTATTATGCATGTGCGTTTGTGTGTGTATGTGTGTGCTGTAGCAGGTTTGGACGGGCATAGGAATTCAAAAGTATGGGCTTGGGAGGTGAGTTGGGACGTGTGCCTTTAACAATAACAATTATAACAACAAAAAACTAGTAGTAATAATAAATATTATAAATATATAAATTTAAAGATAAACATGATCAGAAGAAGAAGAATGTACAAAAGTGAGGCCTCAAGAATTTATAGGATCAAAACGGGGCGTTGGGGGTAATGGAAAGAAGTGGGACGGAGGCGGACATGCTGCTGCGGGGCGAGTGCGCTACCAGACGGCAGCTTTTCACTTCATTTTTTCACTCACAGCTCCAACGCTCTCATAAACGAATATCTTCTCAGCCTATTATCTCATAAATTAATATCGTATAATATCCTAATATGTCATTAAATCATATCTCGTAGTATCCCATAAGATCACGAAACCTCTGAGTACACCACACAGCCGCCTCCACCTGCAGATCCTGAGGCGACATCGACCTCAACGCCCGATTGATCTCGTCGTCGCCCTCCAGCCCTGCAGCAACCAAATGCCCCTGCTCGTCCAACTTCGCGCCGCGCACCAAGTACGGCCACGCAGAGGAAACTTGATGTACGACAGTCAGCTGCGCCACGTGCCGTTTGGGCCCTATGATGCCCCAGGAGCGCAGCTGATCCAAACGGTGGCGGAGGAGATTAGCCGCCGCCTGCTTTTGAGGCAACGAATTGTCGCCGCCGCCGGCCTTGATAAAATCAATGGCGGTTTGTCGTAATTCCGCCGCCGGCGACAATAACTGGAACACCGTCGGCTGCTCCTGTAATAATACCTGCAGCCGGTGTGCCGTACGCTCGTCCATCAGAGCCTCCGCTTGCCGCCCCGCCGTCACCAGCTCCTCAGCCGGCGGAATGACCCATGGGGCGCCGGAGCCCACCGCCGCCGACCCATACAGAGGCTGGTATGTGCCGCCGCCGACGACGCCGCTGCCACTCCTAGCAGCTACAGCGGCGGCGGTGGCGGCGAGCTGTTTCTCTGGCTCGTCGCCGTGGCCGTTTAAGCTCTCGGCCGCTGCCGTAGTAGCTGGCGCCGCCGCTACGGCCTGCAGCTTCAAGGTCGTCGACGGCCTGCCGTACAGGTGGTTAAGCTCCACGGGCACTTCTGCCGGCTCCGTCAGGTCGATCCCCGCCGCCGCCAGGCGCCCCTGGAGAGCCGCCACGAACAGCGCCTGTTGCTTGACGCTGAGCCGAGGGATTTTAGATCTACTGGCTGCAGCGACGGCGGCATCTCCAGCATCGCCATCGGCACGCGATTCGACAGCGGCCGCCGCCGCCTTTTTACGTTCTCCCCTGCATTTCGACATCGCCAACTGGTGCAGCTCCTTACGTAACAAGGTCGCCTGCTGATGCCACAGCGCCAGCTCCGCCTTGCCCGCCGCTAGGCGTTGCTCGTCCAGCGGCGACAGAGAACCACCCGCCGCTGCCAGCAGCAGATTCCGGAGCTGCCGTACATTATCCTCAACTGCGATGCTGTACGGACGCCACTGCACCGTCGCCCAGATTCTCAACACGCGTTCCGGGTTGAGGCCTAGCGTCGCCGCCAGCCACGGCTCCTCCAAGCCCGGTGCCGCCGCCGGCGGCGCTGCCGCCGCCGCGAAGGCGGCGGCGGGCAGCGTCATCGGTACGACGAGCGCTGGCGACCGGTTCCTTCCAACTTCTGCCTTCAGCGCCAGCCTCGCTTCCTTAGCCGTCGCCTTAAATTGCTCCGGATCGGATTCGAACTCCTCTAGGAGTGCCGTACGGATCCGGTGCACCGCCGCCGCTGCCGCCGAAGGCGGTGCAGCCGCTTCCTCCGCCGCCTCAGCTACCAGGTGTACCGTTGCGCATCGACCGCGCGGCTTTGCGAGTACCTCCCCTCTCGCCAGTCGAGCCCGACGTGCCGCCGCCGCCATCGCCGCCATGCGCGCCGCGTACTCCTGCGGTTTTAGCAGCCCGCCGTCCCGCAGCTGTCGTAGTCTCTCGCGGCCGTAGTGGTGGTGGTTTTTGTGCGAGTGCGCGTCAAGGCGAATCCACGCCGACTCCAGCACGGCTTGAAGCTGGTCGGGAGGCTGTAGCAGACTCTCCGTACGGATAGCGTCCCAGGCACTTGGAACTGTTGCCATGCCAAAAAGGGAAGCATTCAAAATGGAAGGGAGGAGGGTAGATAACTTTATTGCCTGGTAATAGTGTAATAGTGTAAGAGTGTATTTCATTAAAACTGGTCTACATTTCTCCGCGAGTAGAAGTATCTTTTATGAATTTCTTAAGAATCTTCGATGGAACTTCGAAGGACCTTTGGCAGCGAACTACCTAATATGCAGCCCTTATTGCATTTGAGGGCCGTACATGCGCAGATAGGCCGTACGTACGCTGCTCCAGAAAAGCAATACATGCAAAAACACACGCAGAATGACAGGCATTGCGCTGTAAGTTATACCGGCCCCCTTCCCTAACCACAAAGGACCTAGCAGAAGTCCTCACGGCCCCCTCCCCCCCCCACCCACCCTGGTATGGGAGAAAGCTTCTTCACAGGCGGCCTCCTCCGCCGGGGGACATCCATCCCCGACCCACCAAGTCCCCCTATCGAACCCAGCCGGCAACTGCCCATAGCCCACGTGCCTGACGCTAGCTGCCCGATTAGATGATGTAACGCACATACAAACATATACGTACATACAAACATGCACACAAACATATGCGGCTACATTGCTACGTGTATAATATACGGAGTACGGCATGAGACAACGCATCCCACCCACTCACGTGCCGCTTCCTGTTCTGGATCCATCACGTGGGTTGTCGTACGACGAGACCGACCCGTACGGCTCCTGCCACCGCTGCCATCACCGGCCCCAGAAGACGAAGGCGGCTTCCCTTCCCCCTCTTCCTCGCCTTCGCCGCCGCCTTCGCCGCCGCCGTCACCTTCACCGTCTTCATCAGCATTCGCTGGGTCAACGGCGGCGCGCCTGCCGCCGCGCGTCCTCCGCGCCGCCGCTCTCATTTTCGACTTGCCGACGGCGTTGCTGGCGGCCGCGATGGAAGTGAGAAGTTGCCGGAGGGAGGCGGCGGAGATGCTGCCACCGTCGAATCGTGCACGGACCTGCTCCCGGATACGTTCCAACTGCTCGCGTGGGAGAGAGGGAAAGGGACGAATATCATCCACCCACATGCACCGGCCCCAAAACCAAAGAAAACTAACGATTAGCACAGGTTTCACGTCTGTTTCAATCGAGATTTCGATTCCATTCAATTCGATATTTGACTTAAACGAACATGTTATATTACTATTGAACAGAATCTTTGCATAATTCAAATATCCTTTAGTACGGCAACCAATTGGATCCAACGCAAACTTAGGGAGACGCATGTGCGCTTCTACATTGAGAGGTGCGACCGCCGTACACCACACCCGCGACCCACCAGTCGTTTCCTTCCTATGTAATCCGCTGCCGACAGCTCGTCCAAAAGCCGTTCGTACAACGCCTGTGTTCTCAAACAGACGAAAAAGTAAAGGGAAAGGAGGAGCAAAGGAAGGAAAGGAAACGCGCGGGGAAAAGGGGAGTAAGACGAACCAATTACGATTGAAGCGGATACCAGGTATACGCGGATAGTCCCACCAGGATTAGGCGACAGATACTGCAGGAAGACTTGCAAGTTATCACTGCCCAGTAATGACCGGGATAGTAGCCATCAAAAGGACATCCACAGTTTTGCGCAGATAGATAGTCTGTCATTTCACAAAAATCTAATCCCGATGATTCAAAAATAGTTGCAATACGATGATGTTGATAATAATAATAATAATAATAATAAAATAATAATAAGTCTTATATAGTTATTAATAATCTTAGAACCATATTGCATAATTATTAAATAAAATTACAATACTGATGTATATACAATACATATTTACTGTTTCGATACATTATGAATAATAATAAATTTAATTACAATAACAAAACAGCAACAACTACCACCATATACTAAACATTCCGGACGTTTCCATAACGAAACTATGGTAACAATTCCCCATTTCTAGATATTACTCCAAGCGCATTTCAGGTCCTTTCATGATCTCTCCTCTCCCACCCTCTCCTACCTTTGGTTGCAGCACCGCCAACTCGGCAGCGCGAAGATAGTAAGAGCTCTTACGCCAGGCAGCGCGCTTTGGAGTGCCTCCGCCTTCACCTTCGCCACCGCCATCACCACCTTCCGACATGAAGCCGGACGACCCGCCGCCTCCTCCTTTCTCCCCCTCCTCATCCTCCTCTTCACCCTCAACGCGGCCGCTGCCACTATCGGTCCTGGAACCGTACGTCGTCGCCTCCTCCGCGTTGGCTTCGTACATGGTGACGTCACCATCGTCGAAGTCCGACCCGTCGGATCCAAACTCGCTCGACGCGCTGTCGAAGCCGTCGAAGTCATCTTCCACGACGTTAGTTTCGCCATTATCACCGCCCGCCGCGGTGGCGGCGGCGACGGCACTCGCTTGACTGATGACGCTCCGCCACTCTCGCGCCAGCGCCAGCGTCGCGCTCCGCATTGCAACCACACCGGCTTGCGCCGCCGCGTCGTCGATCTCCCCGTTATCTGCCATCCTGTTTCATACAAAACGAAACCAGCGAGCAACAGCGAGCCATCTTTCATAAAAAATTATCGTTCCGGCACATTTGTACGGCTCGGCCGTACGGAGTCGCCATGCAGGCCATCCGAGCTGTCACGGCATGCGGCGGCGGTAGCACAAGAATAGAAGACAGAAGGTATACATGATGCGGAGAGGCAGAAGATGTACGACACGACACGCGAACCGCCCTCACCGGTCCAGGGAATGCAGCATCCGCCGCTTGAGTCGCTTCCGCGCCCGCGGGCCCAGCGGCCGCCACTGCTCCGCCAGCTGTACGGCGCCCCAGTCGGGTTCCGCCACCACCCGCCGCCAGAAGGCCGCATCAGGCAGGGCCACCGCCGCCGCCTCCGCCTTGGCCTCTTCCGCCGCCGCTGCGCCAGCTGCTGCCGCCGCCGCTGCCGCCGCCGCGTCGTAGCCATTGCGAACCAAGTACGACTGCGGAGAAGACGGGTTAAAACTCCGCAATCAAACTTTCGCCTTAATTTTGGGCGTGATATCGCTTTATGAGACGCAAAATTAAAAAATTATCAATTTAATGGGCAATAATAATACCTATTAGTACCTATCAAGGGCTCCATTTAAGCAAGCAACAAAAGTCAAATACGATTAGCTGTGCTATAGCAGATTAGGAGAGGACGACAACGAAGTCACGGAAGCGCGAGTGGCTAGTAAAGTGTGTCCCCCTGCCCCCCCATGATGCCTCCACAGCCGCCCTACAGCCTCAAAATGATGGCCTCCTAAGAGCCACCCCCCCCCTTTACACCCATCCCAACGCCATCCCCGACTGCCCAAAACATTTCGCGTCCCCCCCCACATACCCATACACACACAGCATCCATACACACACACAGACACACAGACAAACAGACAGACAGACAGACAGACAGACAGACAGACGCACAGCATCCAGACCACGCACCTGCAGCGACGCCCGTCGCAAGATTTCCTCCGCGCTCCGCAACGTCGCCGCGTCCGCCAGCCCTACCTCCATCGCTCTTCGAAGATTCCGCCGAAGTCCCTGGACCTGGGAGTTCTTGTGGCTCAGGGGCAACCCCTCCCAGTTCTGAATCAGAGCATCCACCACACGCGAGTCGGCGGACTCGGCGGACTCGGCGGCGGCGGCGACGGCGGCGGCGCCGCCAGGCGTCCCCCCCAGTATGATCATCAGCTGCTCGTTGCCCCGGAGCTGTAGCACCACTACGGCGTTTCGCATCACCGTTTCTGCTACAGCCACCGCCCGGGGCTCCAGTGCGCCGGCCGCCGCCACACGACCCAGCTTGCGGCGGGCACTCAACAGCAGTCGGGAGCGGCCGTTCTGACCCATGGGTCCCATGTAGTCCGCTAGCTGCGTCGTACGGGTTAGCTCGTCCAGATCATTACGTAAGACATGCTGTACGACGGGGTCCTGTCAAAGGCCGGGCAAGGTTTTTGAGGGTGACGGGGGTTAGGAGCGTTATGGGTATTGACAGATTGCAGTGTGGTTGGGGCGCGAAGCGGTTTTTTATATTAGAAGGCACACATGAGTTTTTTAAAACCCTAAAACCCCCAAACCCCCGCGAGACATGTTTAAAACCTCTATCTCAAACCTCAGTGCGCCTCACCAGAAGGGCCGGCGGCAGATCATCCATTGCCATTTGCCGTACCACACCTAGCACCGCCGCTCGTGCCGTACAGTCCATCTCCGCCAACCCGGCGCCCAGGCCAGCGGCCGTCGCCGCAGCCGTACGCTGTGCCGCCTCCTCCGGCTCACTTTCCGTACCCTCGCCGCTACTGTCGGCGTCGACGTCGGTGGAAGCCGCTGTCGCCGCCGCTGTAGCTTCCGCCGCCACTTTCTTCGCAGCTGCCGTATCAGCGTCTTCACTGGCGACAGCTTCCGCCTCCGCCGCCATGCGCACGCCCGTCAGACGTTCCTGACGTGCTAGCGCATATAGTCGAATCGCCTCCTTACAGGTTTCCTCTATGGTACGGCTGGCGGCGGCGGCCGCCGCCGCCGAAGCAGCGGCGGCGGCGCCGGTGACGACCCCGCCGCGCAGGCTGTACATGTCCGCCACACGGCGCAGCGCTACGCTGGCATGGTAGCGCACGGAATCGCGCGTACGGCCCTGCCACTCCTGGAGGAGTGCCGTACGCAGCTCCGCCGGCGGCAGGCCCAGGAGTTCAGGCGTGAGGTAGGCAGTGGCGACGGGGCGGCCGCCGCCACCGCCACCGCCGCCGCCGCTGCTGGCGCTGTCGACGCCGCCGCTGCCGTTCCGAAACGACTCCAGATTTTTAGCCGTCATCGCGTCCACCGCCTGTACGACACATCGACGACACATCGAAAGGTGGCTTACTGCTTTCATGATATCGCAGCCCAAAAAGGTTGGGTAGGGTTTGGGACCCGCAAGTACGACACACACACACACACAGGTAAACCCTCACCCCCGCCCGCGCACCACATTGTTCATCCACCATCACTATTCGAGTCGCCATCACCTCAGCACGGCATCAGCAAGCATCTTACACAAAACACACGTCACCTGCCAGGCACCTTCCCTTACAAGATAGCGCCCTCCCCACCCCCTTCCCCCTTCCCCACAACCGCCGACTGGTCTGTCCTGCTTCCTGCCTACATCTGCCTACTTTCCCCCCTTGGCAGCAGCTTCAGCCGCTCGCGTGGTTCGTCTTTTCCCCCCTTCCCCCTTCCTCTCTCCCTAAATGAATCAAAGCAAAGGTAACGCGGCTCCCTCCCTGGACGCGCCGACATAACAGCCCGACATGGGGACTCACTCGCTTCAAGTCCTCCAGCTGACCGGTACTCAATAAACCGGGCCCGTGGGCCCTGTGGGCTGACTCCTTGACCCTGAACAAGGTGGTTAGATGGTGGTTGGTTGGGGGGAGGGGGAGGTCGGCAGGCCATTCGTAATAAATAAATATTAACACAAATAATCGTTAAAGCGTTAAAAGTTATTTTAAATCATTTTCGTGGCAGCATCTTATTGTATCGTGTTATATAATAAAATAATTTTTTTACACAATATTATGTTTTATATTTACATCGTATCCATTTAACGCATTGCACGGGTATATCGGCACGCCAGAGACGCCGTACAAGGCACACGGGGGCACCCACCATCGCCGATGAAAGCGCAGCACCACCTCGCCGCGCCCGGCTACAGCCTCCGCCACTGCGCGGCACACAGCCGCCGGCGGCTGTAGCACCAACCACAACGTCACATACGCCACTCGCCCCGTGTAGTCGGCCCGACTACCCCCACCGCCACCGGCGCTGCGTTGACCTTTGCTACTGCCCGCCGACTCGCCGCCTTCCGACTCTCCGCCGCCATCACCCTTCGGCGGCGCCGCCGCCACCTCCGCCCTGACCGCCTGGATCTTGGCGTCTGCGATTATCTTGAGTCGAAGCTCCAGGGAAGCCCGGTCCAGGGTTCCGGAGCGGAAAGCGTCCTGTTTAGGAAATCGCGGCGCGGCAGTAGCAGCCGGAGCAGCAATCTGGACTAGTGTCTAAGCAGTACCAGCAACATTACTTACTGTTAGCGACATCAATAGCGATATCAATTCATTAGCAGCAATAAGTATATAACCATTTGGTTGGTGCAATATCTACTATCATTGCTTTAGCAGTAGCAAAATGAGCACTTGCAAAAGGTATAAGTAAAATATGTTGCCGAGTTTTCGTGTCTGGGATTTGCGATATTGAGGGGCTCTTGCATCTTGACCTGCTCTCATATCCACAATACCGTTTTACACCATCACCTCCATTACCCCCCTGCCCCTAACAAAAGCGCCCTTCCAGAACCCGGAAATAAGAACGGAATTCCACGGAAGACGAAAAAAGTGTAATTAACATTTCCCTCCAATTATACTTTACGTCCCCTACAATTACAATTTACATTCCCCCAAATGTATTTACATCCCCTCCAATTATAATTTACAACTCTCTTCCCCCCCCCTTAACCCCCCCATTCCAGATACCCCTCTTCCCCTTCCCCGTCCCCTTCCTCACACTCACAAGTACGGCATCCTCCAACTCCGTAGCGGCGATACCGATTCCCCGTACTGCCCTCCCCCGCCACTGCGCCGCCAACAGAGCAGTCAACCACCGCCTCCGCCGCCTGCTCCCTTCCCCCTCCTCCTTTCCCTCCTCCTCCTGCTGCTGCTGCTCCTGCAGGCCTTCAAACGGATCCAGATCTGGATTCCGGTTTTCCGGTGAAGATGAACCCAGATCCGGATCTGTCCCTAAATCCGTTTGCAGCAGCATCTCTACAGGAGAGCGCACCGAAACCACCAATCGCAGCGCCTCTAGCTGCTGCGGTAGCAGGTGCGGTGCAGGGTGACGGCCAGAATCCACCAGACGCTGAAGCTCCTCCACCGCGCAGTCAACAACCTCCTGTCGTCCGCATTGAATTTGAATAATTTGAAGTGTGTTTGGAACGAACACGGAGCATTCAGTCAATCAGATGTACTGTTGTTGTGGATCCACTGGTTGTTGGAAGGGGGGGTTATGGGGGGTAAGACGAACCACTGGCGAATGGAGCAGATAATAAAGACGGGTGGTGGGGGGGGGGGGGAAATAGGACTTGTGCACGTGTGCAGCTGAGCCGCCACAAGGGCTCCTACGCGGACTGGTACGCGGCCCACCCACTGGGGGTCACACACGGGGGGAAGGAACTCCAGTTACAAAAGAGACAGCCAACTAAGGAGCAACGAAGCAATGAAGAGCGCGATGGTACCAATGTGCGCGTGTTTTTGTGTGTGTGTTTTTTTGTGTGTGTACGTGTGAATGTGTGTGCGCGTGTTTGTTTGTGTTTGTTTGTGTGATTTTCCTCGAGGGCTGGACAAGAATCCTTTTTCCTTCTACAAAGCAAGGTTTCCAAACTTCTCACGTTTAAATTTTTGCCCCTGTGCAACAAGTACAAGTGAAAAGGGGCTGTATTTCATGAAACCCACCTCCCGCAGCGCAGGCACACACATCCTTTCACCCCAGCAGCAAATACCAACCTAGCCTTCACCTAATCCTTCCCCGCTCTTTATTTATCGCTTTGTTCTTCTTCTTCTTCTTCTAGTCCGATACCATACTAGTTTCCTTCAGCGGCGCTTCATTGCATGCATTCCTTGTTTATTATTCGCCGCTGCTGACCAACTTCCTTGCTTTCCGGCTTTGACATGCCCCGGCCTCTGCCGCTTGTGCCGCCTGGCCAGGTAAAAGAGTCCTAGGGGGCCCGAGCTCTGTCCTGCTTGTTTCACGCTATGTCGACCGGCTAGCCGGGTTGGTTGGGTCGGTTGGGGTTGGTTGGGGTTGGTTTGGGCCAGGGGTGTGTTAGCTGGGGGCCTGGGAGAAACACATGCATGTCAGCTAGCTAGCAGCATCTCAGCCAAAAAATCAGCAAAAAATAGTATACTACTTTCGCCGCTCTACGTTGGCGTTGATCTTCCGATTACTTCACGATGCACCTTCCGATGTACCTTTTCCTTCTTTGCCGCCTTCAGTTCTACACATAACCGCTGCTACGGCTTCCTATGCTTTTCTGCTTTCCTTAAGCCTTTCCTTTCACCCCGGCGGCTAGGTCGTCTTCTCGCTTTCTCGCCTTCTTTGAAACCTTTGGATTTGGCAGCAGCTGGTAGTGAGTAACTCGTTTCTCGCAACCCGCCGCTATGGCCACGTCGCCGCCGCCAAGACCACTAGTCAAGCCATCATCCATAGCCAGTAAATGTATTCCTGATGCAAACCCTGTAACAACAATGAAGTAACACACAGGATCTGTCCTCACCTGGACTATCCACTTGTACCTGTCATCCGCTGCAATCGCCACTGGTGGTTCGTCTTGCCCTCCCACCCCCCCACACACAAGCGCTGTTACCCCGCCACCTCCCAACCCCCAACCCCCAAACCCACCCGCCACCCCGTTCACCCACCTGCAGTATCTTCAGGTGTCGCGTCCGCCACGCCTCCTGTAACGCCAACATCATAACCTCAGGGCATGCCCCCACCAATCCCCCCGAAGTGTAAGAGGAGGAGGGGGAAGAGGAGGGGCGCGACACGGTACCCTCTGACGCTGCTCCTGGTCCCGCTCCAATCCCTACCGCTTCCACGGCGTCCTCGTACTCCTCCTCCTCCTCCTCGTCCTCCGCCGCTGCTGCTGCTGCTGCCTCCGCTACCACTCCAGCGCGCTCTGCTTCGACGCCACTCGCTGCTACTGCCCCCACTTCCGCTTCTTCGGAATCCTCAAAGTGGGTTCGTTGCCTTGTTCCCGGCCTCCCAGGCCGATTCAGCGCAGGTCCCAACCCGGCTCCGAAACCAGACCCGAGCCCTGCACCGGAGCCTGGCTCCAGTCCTAGCAGCTGCGGAGCCACATCCAGCCAACGCCGTACTCGCCGTACGGCTTCGAGCAGTGCGGCTGTTCGTTGCTGCAGCCCTTGCTCGTCCAACCGCCCCGCGGAGACAAGCGCCTGGGGATTGGTGTGTGGGGAGAGTTAGTTGGGAGCGGTTGTTTAAGCAGTACTTGTTAGTTCCGAGTGTGTGTATTCGGCCCTCGCAACTTTCCCCCTTTCCCCCTAAGCGTCCCCCTCCATTTTCTCCTTCACGCCCGCCCGCAGGTAGCGGCAAAACCCCGTACTCTCCCGGTATCAGCCTCCCCCCCTGTGTGTTTGTCTTTTCCCCTTCCCCTCCCCCTCCCCCTTCCCCTCGCCCTGTGTGTTTGTCTTCCCCCCTCCTCCCCCATCCCCACCTGCNGCATCTTGGTCGCCTTGTCTTGGTGGTACCTTGTGGAATCCAAGGAGGCGCACTGCCGCCTCATGGCCGCCTCCACGCGCTCCGAAACCACCTCTGGCGGCGATAGCAACAGCTCCTCCGTCATGTACGCCGTCAGCTCCGGGACGAACTGGCCCCCCACACGACGAGGAGACTGCAACGGAGCGGACCACGGCGACGGCGACGACGACGGCGGCGGCGGAATCACTTGCTGCTGCTGCTCGCCACCGCCGCCGCTCATAACATCCGCCGCCGGGCCGCCATCACCACCACCATCGCTACCACCATCATGCGCTTCCGCCGCGTCCGCCGCCGGCAGTGCCGCGATGATTTCCGCATCAGCAGCGTCATCGGCGGCGGCGGCGCCGCCGCCGCTATCCCTCCCTGCTATGGCCTCTTTCGCCCGCTGCACCGCGTGTTCCACCGCACCCAGTCGTACCTCCAGATCCCCTTTCCGGAGGAGCTGCGCCGTACGAGCAGACTTACGACGGCGGCGGCGGTCCCCGGCGGCGGTGGCCCAGGACCGCAACCTCTCCGCGGCCGCCCGAGCGTGACGGCTGGCCTGCAGGAAAAGAAAAAACAACGAAATCGGTTACAGCTACAACGAACCTTTCTAAACATTTCTTTGCTTTGTTGGAGGCTTTCCACACGGTCTCATTGTTGATGTCCCCTGCAGCTGAGGAAGTCCCTTGTAAGGGGCCCGGGGGCCCTTTTCATGATGACATCATGACGGGTATGGGAAAAAGTGTTTATCACTTCGACCCTTAAAACCCTAAAACCCTACACGGCCTTCCCCCCCGGCTCCGCAGAGGCTGTCCCCAAGGCCCCCCAACCCCGTTACCAGCCGACCCCCGCGACCCCCTCGCCGAGCGGGGCACGCTTCCGATCGACCCCAGCCCCCCTGTACCGCCATCCGCTACGTCCACCTCCACGTCCACCTCCACGTCCTCCTGACCAGCGTTACTTCCGATACCGGGAGACTGAGAGATCGAGCCCTGTCCCAGATCACATCAGATCAAGTCAGGCCAGATCACAGCCACGGCGCCTACCACCCCAACCCTCTCCCCACATCAAAACGCACCTTCAACTTGGTCTCGAAGCCACTCCAAAGCTCCACTAATGAAGCCTGTGACAAGGGGAAAAAGCAGTAGCAGCAGTAGCGGTAGCAGTCAGCACGCAGGGGAAGCAGCAGTCGGCGGTCGTTGCGCGGAATTTTTATATGGCCGGCGAGGGCTCGGAAGCCCCATCATCACAAACCGTGTCCCAAGGGAAGAATAGACTGGGAAGCACGCACACACACGCATGCACACATACGCACAGAAATATGTACTGCGGGAGAGCGTTGTTGCAAAGACCGTAGAATCCTAACTGTAAAGGCTCCGGTGCCGTACCTCCAGCGCAGCCGGTGACGTCCCCAACAGCAGCTCCTGGTCCAGATACGCCGTCAGGTCGCCAGACCGTACACGTTGTACGGCCATATCGTCGCCGCTACCGTTGCCGCCATCGCCGCCAGGCAACTCATCATCAGGCGAATTGAGGGGCATGTTTTCCGGAGCAAGGCCACCGCCGCCGCGGATTCCGTTACCGTTACCATTGATACAGTTGCCATGACCGTTGTCACCGTTAATTCCGTTACCGTTACCCTGGTTTTGGCACAGCTGCCCCTCCTCATGGTCTCCGTACACGTCGTGCGGGTTTCCTGCCTCCAGGAGGTCCCCTGGAGTCAACTCCAGAGAGACCCCGGCTTTCCCCGCCGTACGTACTCCGCCGTCGGTAGCGGCGCAGATAGCGGCGGCGGTGACGGAGGACTCCATCGTAAGCACGGGCGCCACAGCACGGGCCACGGCGGCCCCCCCGCGGCTGTGTGGCATGCCCTGGCGGAGAGTAACCAGTGTCCTTGCAGCTGGCAGCGGCAGTGACGCAGCCGCTGACGCCGCGTCCTGAGCCAGTCGTGAGTGTTGAGGTGCAGCTGGAAGCGGCGGCGGCGGCGGCGAAGACGCCAACCCCGGCGCATCCTGAGGTGGCTGCAAGAATTGAGGAGCAGCTGCCGCTGCTGTACCCACGTCTCCGAGAAGGTTGCTAAGCGGCACAAGGTGCGGATGAAAGGGGGTAGGGTTGCCGCCACGGCCAACGCTGAGGCCAGGGCGGGCTGGACCATAAGCGTTGACCGGCACCGTTGACCGGCGCCGGGGCCCGCCAGGATGGCTACAGCAGGCCGAGAGCGTGGATGCTGCTGCTGTACGATCTCTCCTGTCGTTTGAGATGCCTAGACATGGTTAGGGTCGGGCATGGGGCAAGAGAAGGGTGGGGAGTAATGGCTAAGGTGGTCAGGAAGTAATCACAGGCTCATCGCACAACAAGGTAACAGTTATGGTGGTTGTTGCGCTCAGCTTGCGGTCATTTTGTACTTTGTCATTCCTTACCAGGGTCGTCCATCATCTTCTGGAGCATCTGCTCCTCTGCGGGGCTCACGGCGACGACCACGGATGGCTTGCGCCGCTCCCCCCAAGGTGTTGGCACGTAAGCCTTTGGCTGAAGCGTCCATGAGCGACGCGGAAAGCGCCATGATGCTGGCGCTCCTCGTCGTTTCAGGCTAACTTGGTACAGGAAGTTTCCATTTGTGGCACTGGGGCTGCGTTCTGTGCTGTGTAACGCTGTCCGTTCCTCGTGCATCCGCCTTTAGTCCTATCAGTTCAACTTCATGCTAGCACGTTCCATAATGGAAGCCTAGTGGAGAGTTGTAGGAAGACCATGAAGGTTAGTTTAGGCACAGTCAAAAATGGAAGTGGAAGATCAGGGTAATCCTGATTACAACAAGCTTAGAGGACACTGCTACTCATGCCAGGCATGACTGCAAATGGGCACGTTGGTCGTTGCCAGGGGTTGTCTGCGATTTGGTGTAAAATCTTGGCATGCCATGAATACATCTTTAAATGTTGTTCCTCTAACAATAACAGCAATGCCTTTTTTTAAGTTTATATTTATGTGTTTTAGGAATGAAGCATACACTGCCAATTCCTCTTCTCTGAGCTAGAAGACGAGTCCCATAGGATCCTTTACTTTTCTCGTGGCGGTTCAGTATGCAGGGCTGTTTGCAATTTACTGCTTTTCTAGCCTCTCGGGGCCTGTGTATGCTCACGGCGGCATCGCAATACCTCGCCCATGGTTTACTCTCGCCATCAGTCACCAGCGCACAGTGCTTGCCAACTTCCGATTATGCTGTCTCGGGTACAACGTCAACCTCAGAAACAGCACTTCATTGGGGCTGCAGAGCGTTCCATACCTCCGCATCCAACTGCAGGGATGATGCGGTTGCCCTCCGCAGCGGCACTGCATCTTCCAACATTCCAGCATCCATAGTTTCTCAACGCTCACCGCTTCTCCTTGATGGCTCGCGCGCAGCCGACCCCGGCGAGCCGCGCTACACGGCGCCCTACTGGATCCCCGAGGATGTCCGCAAAGCAAACCACCTGCCGCAGGTCCTGTTCACCGATCCGTGGAACCCCCATGACGAGCCCGAAACGCGAAGTGGCCACGCGCGCCTCTGCTACGACTTGCTGCTGCACTCTCCGCGTCCGCTTACGGCAGAGCAAGTCCGTGACGCCGTAAACGACCGTCTTCGGGACCTCCATCAGCGCCATGCTGGCGGCAGCGGCGCCGCCACCGCCGATGCCGTACCCCCACCCCCCCCTCTCCTCGCGACCACAGCTTACGTCAAGCACCTGTTGGAACACATGCGCCGTACACGGCTATTGTACGGCAAGAAAAACCCCGATTCGATGCTGAGCGGTGGGCACCCCGAGCACCCCCGATTGTACTACGCGTTGAAGTACCAGGCTGCACGGTACGGCGACCCACAGCAGCTGGCGGAGCATGACGCAGCGCGCCGGGAGAAGCAGGTGGCGAGGGCGTTTAAGCGACTACGGCACGGCAAGCCACCATACGCAATCCACCGCCGGTGCGAGCTGAGCTTGTTGTTTTGTAGTTTGTTGCATTTAATACGTGCACACATATTTCCGCACATCTTGTGAAAACTACATTCAAAATTTAGAGTCGGGAAGCTGATGAGCCTTTAAAGGAAATGTACGAGAGGAGGGAAGAGAGAAGAGCTGTCGGGAGGGGGGGAGAGGGAAGCCGTCCCTTCCTGGCTACTGGGAGGGTTATTGTCCCTGGAGGAAGGGGGGGAAGACGAACCACGTGAACGAGTGAAACTGAGGCCAAGGATGGACTGATACGCCGGAAGTATGTGAGAAAGGAAAAGGGGTAGGGGACGTTATATGGTGGTTGAACAAGAAGCAAGGGATCGAATGATGACGTCGGGAAGGGAAACACCGCTGCCACCACAAACACCATAACCACATCAGCAACTACCACAAACACCTCGCAAACACCTCGCAAACACTAGCTTAGTACCTGTCAGACACCGGCAAAAGGAGTAGTCCTGGTTTCGGGAACGGGTCCATTTCTGTCGTGAACGGCAGTCTGTCGGGTCGCGGAGGGCAGCTTTCCTGTCAGCGGCTCCGGTGACTCTATATTTCCGTTTTCGGGGGTTTTGTTATGACCCGAAATGCGGCCGAAGCATTTGCCGATGTCTAGTACCTGTGTTGTTAACCAAGGCGCTGTAACAACAACAACAGCAGCAGCAGCAATGCCATCTTATTGCATGTAACTAACCTACAGTTGGTGCATCTGTCGATCCCAAATACCCACGGGCTCCCCCCTCCCCCTTCCCCCCTTGTACATCCGCCGCACTGCCGCATTCTTTCCCCCCTTGGCAGCAGCTTCACTCGCTCGCGTGGTTCGTCTCCTCCCCCCCCCCCCCGATTAACCCCCTAAACCCCCCCTCCCCCCAGCAGCTTCACTCGTTCGTGGTTCGTCTTTCCCCCCTCCCCCCGAGCAGGCGAGCTTACTTCAGTTTGTGGCAGCACGAGGAGGCGCAGGAGGCGTTGCGCGGTGGGGGACCCGGACTACCGACGGACGCGGTGCTGCCACTGCCCTCAGCGCCAGCGGCCGTCAGCAACTAGGAGAGTCGGCTGGATAGAAGAAGACGGGTAGCTGGATAGCTACAGCTGCCGACAGGCATTGGTGGTAGCCTGACATCAGCCTGGCAGGCTGCTACTGCCGCTAGGAAGAGGTGGTGTTCAAGTGGGTTGTTACGGGTTTAGCCCCGATGGTGCCGCCGCGGGGCCCGCCAATGGCGCCGCTCTCCGCAGCAGCAGCAGCAGCAGCAGCGGGCTGTGGCGTCAGGACGGAGCCACCGCATCCTGGCCCCGTGGTGCCGCCGCCGCCGTCGCGCACTGGTTAGAGGGGCCCCTCTCTCCCCCAGTGTGTGTGTGGGGGGGTAGCGGTTTTGTGGATCGGCCAACGAGGATCTGCGGGTGTGGATGAGGGTGTGGGTGTGGAGAAGGGCTGCCTGCGGCCCCCATGGGGCGCCGAATGGACTGGCGCCCCACTGGAAGACTTGACGTACGTACGGTGTGAAATGCGGGGGTGTGGGGGAGAGCGGGAAAGGGAAGACAGCGGGAAAGACAGCGCTATGGGTCCCGGACCAGCAGCAATAGCAGTAGCAGCACTAGCAGCAGCTAGAGTAGGCAGCGGGCTGCCGTCAAGTCGCCCTAGGGAGGGGCCCCAGTGGGGCTGGGGCTGGAACACAAGGGGAATTGCGTTTTGTTGTGAAGACGAGGGAGGGTGTTTTCGTGTGTTGTTTTGGGTGTTTCTTCTTCTTGTCCCCCGCATGTGCTGGGAGAGGGCGTCCTGGTGTAGGTGCGCGCGCGCAGGGTGGGTTGATGTTGGTGTACGGCGGTCTGGGCGCCGTACTGGAGGCACTGTTCACGTGCACGTGCACATGCACATCTGTGATGTTGTGCGGTCGAGCACCTTCGTGCAGAACATGACGGGACGCGGGACCTACTACTCAGACGACGATGCTTCTGCTACTTACTTTTGTTAAACGATTGAGAATTGACGCCCCGGCTTGAACACGGATCCCTTGGCAGCGCTTTTTCGTGTAAAACACTCTCTTGACTGACTTGTAAGCTTCTTTACTTTTTATTACTTAATTTTACGCTGTAAGATTTGTACTCTGAATGAGCAAACTCACGGACTTCCGACAGGATGTAACTGAAGCGGGAAGACAGGCCGAACGGGAGGGAGAGAGGGATCTGGCGAACCTGTCATGAACTTTTCGGGTCGGGGGCGGTGAGGGGGGGCCCTGGAATCCTGCCTTGTGCGTGTGTGTCGATGTTCTTGTTTTGTAGTCGGGCTTTTCCACTGGATTTGGGTCAAACGGGTCAAAATGCCAAAGGTGGGAGGCTTTCAGTTAGTTTCCTCCCATGTGCGCAAAAGAGACCGTTAACGGCCTGTACGAACCAACGCCTCAACAAGCTTTGTAGACGTTTGCACGTCTGCCTGTATTAATGACAACGCAATTAACTACATAGGTACAGATTAGGCAGCGCTAGCGATAATACATAGGCAGATTACAATAAAAATGCTCGTCTCTGGCCGACAAGTGCTTGGTAAGGGCCACCATCGAGCAGCGCGCAGCCAGCGAGGTGCTCATGTCGTCCGCGCAACAGCAGCCCCGATAAATGTTGCGTCTGACGTTAAGCACAAGTTGAAGGCGGCTGATCGGGTGCGGCTTGGAGAGTCGGACCTTCTGGTTTCTGGTGAGTGTTGCGAGGTCGCTGTGATCTGACAGTTTCTTACCGCTGGAGCTGATACACCATTTTTATTAAGAATGCATTCCGCAATTAACCATATGCGATCAACGAAACGCTAGGGATTCAATCACGCTAACGTGGTAGGAACCACGAATCCACGATTGTTGTCGCGGTGGTAAGCACACGGCCAACGACGTCGGATCCAGCTTTTAAGCCAAAGCTTGTTTTTTCGCATAAACTTAATCGCTGCCAATCCAATGCACGTAATAAACGTTATTCCTCAGCACGCCGTTGGATAGGCATGGGTCACATCAATTCCTGCACCCATCCATCCTGCACGCTGACCCCAACATGCAGCTTGCTGCTTGGGCACGATGACTTGGGGCAAGCAGAACACCGAAGCCGAGGCTCACGAGCAGTTGTCGTACGCATGGGACCAGGTCAGTGGGTTCAGCCGTACCACCCTGCGCGGCACCGTTCTGCAACGCGATACCCATTCTGGCTGCGGGACATTTGCGGCTGCTGCAACGATCTCCTTTCCTACGTTTCGCAGCTCAATACCTACCCTAATTTATCATAACACACGAACGCATGTGCATGGCCGTCGTGGAGGACGAACCCTTGATTGCAGCTTTGATTAGCAATATGGCCTGAGCCTTGAGCACCACAAGTAATCTAAAACGATCCCACGCTGCTCCGAAGCCATAGACGTGGGAAACACCCGCACACGAGGTTGCGAATTTCAACTCCCTCCCCTTCTTCCTCTCCATCATCCTCTCCCTGATAACAGACACCATTTCGTATTTTTTCATGCTATTTTGTTCGACGAGCGTTCCTTGGAAGGAAAATGTGAACCTTTCTCGCGACAAATTCATAAGTTCATGTTCAGTTTACCGTCCTCTACCAATCCCAACTGTCAACCAACCACGGACTGTCAACCGCCAACTATCAACCGCCAACAGGGCATCAACTTCCTGGACACGGCAGAGATGTATCCCATCCCTATCGAGGCAGCTACCCAAGGCCGTACAGACCGCTACATCGGTACCTGGCTCAAGAGCTCGGGTCGTCGGCGTGAGGATGTGGTGCTGGCAACGAAGGTGTGACGATGATGACGATGATGATAAATAGAACGATGTGCTGGATCGGATTGGTCGCAGTGCGTGTGTCTGTATGTCTGTATGTCCGGGGGTCTGTGTGTGCTTTGCTGGATGTGGTTGCGAAAGGAACGTCGCCAATCCCCTGAAATGCAAACAGTGTCGAGTAAAAGGATATGTGTTGGAGTACTGGCCAAAACAATCAACTGATGATGAAATGGTGGGGGTCATGAGATAGGGGCGAATGAGGATATCAAAGGGTCAGCAATGGCAGGTAGGCGCACCTCGCCACGGCACACCAGCCCAGCTGGGTAGCTCAACACAGTAGTCCAACACACCTTTCTTTTCTTTTCTCGTATTTAGTGTTAGGATAATAGGTTGAGTAGTATTTTCTTCACGCGTTTTCAACCCATCTTGGACAGCTCTAAACTGGCCCTCTGCAGCGGCTGGTACATAGTACGGCGCACACATAACGTGGATTAATACTAAGGCGCTAAGGCGCTCCGCAGCATCCCTGCATCCCCGTGTTGAGCATCAGGGCTATCAGCGGCCTGAAGCTGCTGCAGGGCGCCCGGGGCCCCCTCAGGCCCCTTCCGTTGGCCCCCGGGCGGGTCATATACACCTTTGGAGGGGGGTAACACGGTTGTGGCTACTTTACAGTGGGGCTGAATTACAGGAGGTGCAATTCACATCACACATGTGCAATAATGCAGCAGCAAAGGAGAAACTCTTAATCTTTTGGCAGAGAGGGAGAGGAGGGGAGGGATGCCACTGAGTTAAATGGAGCTACTCACATGTTGCCGTACTCCGTACGGAGTAGTTTCGGTACGGAGTACTGCGCAACGCGCGCACTCAATCGGCCCTTGGCCTGCATTTTGTGCCTACTTATGTGTTTAATATTAACATCTTTGCGGGTGTTGCTGTCACAGGTTTGCGGCTTCTCTGACCGGGCAACATGGGTTCGCAATCCGCCGCGTACCACGCAAGTTAGTCGTGATCAAATCGTGGAGAGCGTCGATGCATCGCTGAAGCGCCTGCAGGTGTGAGAGCAGCCCGTTTTTATTTATTTATTGAATAAATTGATACCTGTCTCATACGACAATGAATGTAACTAGTGGTAAAAAGGCGATGGAAGTGACGGTGTCTGTTGCGTGCTGAGTGTTGTGTGCTTTCGTTACGGCCATGTTGGCCATCATGGCGCGCCTTGTGAACACAGCACAAGTCGTACGGTGCGATCATGAGAATCGGAGGACAACCATGCATACTGCCGTACATGCTGCACAACCATTTTCCCAACTACTTCCTTCAACCGTATTAACCAATTTTTGTCCCAAAGCCCAGTGCCCACCTGCTGTCGACCTTCCGCCTGTGCCCCGGTTTTGTGTAGGTTGACCACATCGATCTGCTCCAAATTCACTGGTACGGCACGTATTCGTACATGTCGTACAAGTACTAGCAATATATGGGTTAAATGCTGTTATGTTGTTCCCCCATTTATGCATGTTTTTTTGCAAGCCCCGCGCTGCCTCAGTGTTGTCCAGGAATATTTCGACGTGGGAATTCCTTCTTAGGGAATATTTTTTGCATCTCGTCGGCCCTTCCTTGCCCTGCCCTTTCAAGGCTATTCGTTATTCCTATAAATTTGTTCACTCCGCTCTTCTTTGTACTGTACGACAGGCCGGAGAGGTACGTCCCATTGTTTGGTGCCGGCCCGTACGACCCCAAGAACGACCGCCCCGAGACCATACCCTTCGAGGAGCAGCTGCGAGGCTTTGAAGAGGTCATTAAGGCTGGCAAGGTACGACATGCATTACAAGATGGCTGTACTGTACGACCGTCGTACAAGCGCCATCTTGCTGAAGTCAGTGTGGAGTTTCACGGGATAGCATTACTGTGGGAAGAACATGCTCCACCCTGATGCATATCAGGTTCGATTGCACATCATACCGTTACAAGCGGTTTGTATGGACCAGTCAAGCTGTACGAACCTTTCGTACAGGTGCGGTACATTGGCGTGTCTAACGAGACGAGTCTTGGCGTGAGCGAGTTCTGCCACATCGCCAAGGCCACGGGATTGCCCAAGATCCAGACAATCCAGAACGCGTACTCCCTCTTGGTGAGTGGCTGCAGGGGAGAGGAATGAACATATGTCTTCGTTCATTTCTACGCGTATAGTCCTAGGGTGCGCAATGGCAGCAGTTTCGACTCATTTGCTGTAAAATTTTATTAATCTTAAAAGTTAAAATTCGACAAATTAACGAATTAACGAACCAACTGCAGGTTCGCGTGCCGTTCGAAACCGACCTTTCGGAGACCTGCCGCCACCACCGCGTCAGTTTGTTGGCGTACAGTCCGTTGGCGGGTGGCATGCTAACCGCCAAGTACAACCGCCTGAGTGATGAGGCCCTCCAGGGCGCCCGCTTCAACCTCTTCCCGGGATACATGGCGCGATATAAGGCCTCCCTGGTGCAAGAGGCGGTTGGAAAGTACGCAGCGGTTGCGGACAAGTACGGGCTGACGGCGACAGAGCTGGCGTTGGCGTGGTGCAAGTCTAGGTGGGTTGGTTGGCAGTTCGTTGCTGTTGCGGTTAAGGTGCTCTCCTTCCGTATACAAGTTTTGAGGAGGTGCGAAACATTACTGTAGTAACTGACATGGACAATAACATCGAGCTAACGAAAAGGATACTACTGATTGTTTTTCCCTAGCATCGCTGCGGTCAATAATATTAATAACCTAATGTGGCTAGTAGTTTATAAAACGAAATGATTACAAGGATAGAATACTATCATTATTGAATTCTGAACTGCCGACCCGGACCCATCTCAGCACGACTTGTACGGCGTTTTCATGCAGGTGGTTTGTTGCGAGCACCATCATCGGTGCGACCACCATGCAGCAACTCAAGGTGGGATCGGGGAGGAGTCAAGAGTGGGGAAAGGGGGGGAAAGAGACGGGGGGGGGAAGCGAGGGGGGGGGGGCTGCGGGGAGGTAAGAGAGAGGGAGAGCGAGTCGGAGAGAAGGAGGTCGACAAATATTCCTGATTGTTTGCCGGTATAATACCAACGGGCCATGGGCCATCATCAACCATCACGACGTCGCGAACTTCCCGAGGTGACCTCAAACGCTTCGTCACCAATCTGCATCTCGTCATAAAAATAAACCGCCACGAAAGCTGACTGTCACCAACTGTCACCAACTGCCACCCTTATTTTTCCAGCACCACACCGCAGGCTGTTTTAGGGGTTAACCTTATTCGTGCTCACTAGCGCGCTCGGTAACGGCGATACATAAATGCATACTACATCGTTTTTCGTCAATTATATTAATTGTATTTATCGAAAAACCAACTAACACCCAACCACCCACAACCGCAATCCGCGACCCAAAGGAGAATCTGTTGTCTTTCGACAAGGAGCTTTCCGAAGAATGCATCGCCGATATTCAGGTGGGTGTACGGCATTGAGTACGGGTGTTTGGCGGCACGGATGCGGTGGCATCGTGGTAGCGGTAGGTGGAGATGCGGTTTAGTCGGTTTCGACGGTTAATGGGGCCAGCGCTCCCCCTCGGAGGCGGGGACTCAGATAGATCGATGGATAGGTAGATAGACAGACAGATACAGATAGTAGACAGATGAAGAGCGAAAAAGTGGTGTCGCCCGTGTGCGGGAAAGGGCTAGGTGAGGGGGAAGGCTTCTCTCGGGGTGGAGGGCCTCGTTCGACTTGACGTCGGATTTCCGCCACTACCACCACCAGCAGGAGGGGGAGGAGGAGGAGGTGGGGTGGTCAGGGTGAAATAAGGCCGCGGTGGGAGCCGCTGCGCGTTGGTCGGTTGTTGGTTGTGTGTTGGTGTGGATAGAAAGGTACGGTAGAAGGAAAAAGGGTGGAGGCGCAGAAAGGGTGTCATGGAAACGCGACACCCATTTTGCAAAACCGATCAATCTTTCAATATTCTGACATGTTGATGAGGACAAAAAGGTGTCTCTCTTGTTTCAAGCGAATTGAATGTATGCCTTGCCTGTTCTGTTTTTTTTTGGTTGCGGATTTACCAATGTGCTTTTGTTTTCTTCCCTTGGTTTCAGCTGTCGCCTGTCACCTTGTGAATTTAATACAACGTGCATATATTGCCTGTTCAGGCGCTCTACCGCGTGTACAAGGACCCCACCGTCAACCCGCAGTGAGAGGCGACAAGATCCTGTTCCAGGACAAAAAGAAATCCAATAAATGTTGGAGATTTGGACAAAATCTTGATCCATAAAATACCCTTGTTGCCGCGAGGGCAACCGGAGCTGTGGGCGATAGGATTTTCCAATTTTCAATTCCTATCGGTTGATGCCGCTCCCGATGTTGAGGCGACCGACGAAAGGAGTGGAGCCTGTGAAAAGACTGCGAAAAGAAGGATGCCGCCCCCAAGCAGTGGAATTTTTTAAGGTGCATGGAGGGGAACGAACGGGAAAAGACCCGACAGCTGAGCGGGAGAGCCGATTTGTTTTTGTTTTTATCACAAAACTGTGGGCGGTGTTGGTTGGACAGAAGGGTGAGGCATGTCGGAGGCTGTCTGTCTGCCTGTTTGGCTGGCTGGCTGGCGATGAGAAGTGTGGCTGGGGTATTTGGAGGGGGGCCCTGCCGAAGGAGACGTTGAGGTTCATCCTCCGCTGTCGTGACGCAGGTGGTGATAGCTTGTGAGAAGTATTTAAAGAGCGAGAGGAGGGAGTAAAAAGTGCATGTGGTAAGGGGATTTTGTATAGGGGAATGGATGCATTTCACCTCCAGGAGGTACGTTTCTGGAAGAGGACGGAGAGGAAGTGTGCTGGTGTTAATGAAAAACAACGCCTTCGCAAAGCTCTCGGCGCAAAAATGTAAAAAAAACAAAATGGAGGAGGTAAGAGATGAGCAAAGCCCCGTTGGCGAGGAAGCGCGTGTGCGCTATGTACCCCGTGCGATCCGCACTGCCCGCGCAAGTGAACCCAAAGTCCTGATTCTTTCGTCGACGCGCACTCTATGGTCCATATACAATGGTCCGTATACGACTACGGTGCTGTCTACTATACTTGTCGTACGCATGGGAAGAACTCCTTAGAATGCCGCGGCGGCGCAATGAGCGACACGCCTTCTGCTCCGTCTCACGCACATCTCTTACATGTCCTCCAGTTCTCCAGTTCGACTGGCGATGGGGAACTGGGGTCGCGCACTACCAGGAGGCTATGGATATGCTCAGACCGTTCTTGTTGAGATGGAGGCGGCGCGCAATGCACCGTCCATGGATTTGCATGGGCGCCTTAGCAGCAAGTGGTATACACCAGATACATCACTCCAACGCCCCTGCACCCGCCGCACCCGGCCCTTGCAGCTATCCATAACAATGAGAGCGTACAGTCCAAACACGACCCTGTTCCTCCACTTGCAGCCCAGCGCCGTACATCCTCCCTTGCGGAATACTGTGGGGCGACTGGCTGCACCGGGGCCGAGCCCTTTTCGGCTTTAAAGGAGCTGATTACACTAGTCTTTTCGGGGTCTTCAATTGCGCGGCAGCGGCCACTTATCAGCTCAGCTTAGCTCAGCCGGTCGGGAAGTATTGCTGCCGCTGCTGCCGTGTCCCGAAAGCGCCGCGACCGACCGTATACGGTACGTAGCCACAGTTGAATAACGTGTCAGGTATATTTTAATGCATAACCTTTACTACGATATGAACAGATGGAATGGCAGTTATAGTTATGAGCTGCTGCTGCTGCTGCTGCTGGTCTTATGCAGGCAGGCAGCGACACGTTTAACTAAGTCGGCGGGCGGCGGCGGGTGGCCGCATCGGCCCTGTCATCATTCGTCAGCTTGCCAGGCTATCCATGGCCGGGGTTGCTGCATGCTGTGATTCGGGTTCTCATCTCTCCATCTCTGCATTTTTGCCCCCCCCCCTGTGTGTGCGTGTTTTGCTAGGACGGTGGCGGGAGGGGGTTGCAACGGCGGTGAGGGGAACCCCGTAATGGCTTCTCCGCCCTGAGAAATCTTAAAAGATAATACACGCTTTAGTTCAGATGGAGGCGTAACAACAATCATAATAGTAGTAAAAATAATAATGTTATTAGTACAAATAATTTATTATTATTTTCATTGTTATTATGCTGGTAGGACAGCAGGTTCTCCAGGTAGACAGTTAAAGTAGTTTTGAACTGCCGTACCTATTGAGAAAGCTTTCCATGCAGCTGGGCCCGCACAACTTCTTGATTCATGCCCTCTGGCTCGGTGTATCTCACCGAAGCATCTGTATTGATTATGGACAGCGGCGAATCCTTCCATTCAACATACCGTAAAATATATTTTTGCAGGTTCGGATATCATAATGGAAGAGAATATAAATCCTTCTCCTGCTTCCTTTTTTCCCTTTCTTTTTGAAGTCTTTTGCGTTTTGCAGTTTTGCCCAGTAGTGGTTGTACGCTCACTTCCTATATAAAGACCCAAAACCCGAGACCCAAATCTTTCACAGCCGGTTTACAGCTGATCTCCTTTCCCATGAGGGCGTTTAAATGCGTTCCCACACATTTCGGTGCATCTTAGGATGAAGGCTTAATGCGGCGCTGCTGGGCTGCGCAGCGCCATACGGCACCGCATTACAGGTCCAATCCCAGAGGCTATAACAGCCTCTGCAAGCAAGGCATTTCCAATCCCGGGTCCGCCATCCACGGGCAGCATAATTTAACCAAAAGCTTACAACAGGGACCCGAAACCAGTATGCTCCTCTACTTGCTGTCGCACCTTGCTCGCCGCCTCTATCTCCCTCCTCTAAACTACAACATACTTGAGCCCACCCACGTAACGCGGTCTCCCCGCTCCGCTCTCCCAGGCGGCCTTCCTCTTGACATTGGCCTTCTCTCTCTCCCAGCCCCTGGAGTGCCAGCCGGCAGGATCCCGAACACTCTCCCCCCCTCGAGCACGTCGGGCAATTTTGCACCTTTGAGAGACGTTATCCAACTCACTATCGCCATTATCATCGCCATTATCATCGTCATTCATCATCATCATCATCATCGTCATCATGGTCATCATCCCTCTTCCCCGTCGAGACTGCTGACTGCCCAAACACGGCGCCGCAATCCCGTCCTCCGCACCCCAAGCACTAACGTTGCTGCCGCCTTGGTCTCCCTTATCTCCCCACCCTACGCCAAGAACAACAATAAAGGCCCAATTCCCTCCCCTTCTAACTAACTAACTAACCGACCTCCTCCGGAGCCCCTAACGGAGCCATTACCCACGGAGCCACATCCACGCTTTCCTCCTGACCGCCCCCTGGCCGGCTGCTCTACCAGGGAGTTGACGACTCCGTTCCGCTGAGAATGCGAACTCCACTCCACGGTAATGGCAACAATCACCACCACTACCACTGTCACGGGCGCGTTTCAGGGTAAAACCCTGGAACGCCCCTCTCCCTCTCCGCAGCCCCCCTGATGCCGCCCTCCGCAACCCTCCACCCACCCTACTAAAGAGATGTTACACCGGTCCCTCCGGTCTTTGTTTGCATCACTCGGCTACGGGGCGGCCGGTAAATGAGGGCCATCACGATGCGACATCAGCAGCACCCCGCGCGCGCGCGTGTGTGTATGTGTCTCTAATTAGTTAGCAGCGCCATTCTCCTGGGCTGCCTCGCAGCAGGGAGCGTCAAGACGCTTCTTACGTCATGACGCATCCTCTTTCCCTCTTCTTCTTCTTCTCATCTCCTCTTCTCTCATATGACCGAGGTTGCCGTCGCTGGGTGCTGTGCTGGGTCGGGATAGTACTGGTAGTGGAGCTCGGTGACGTCATCGCCCCGTACCTTGGTCCAACCGTCCTGGGTGACGTGGTACACACTGACTGTGCCGCCAGAAGCGCAGTCGCGGAACCCGGCGTGATAGATGGACCGGCGGCCCAGCTCGATGGCCTCCTCAACGCTGAGGTCCCAGCGGTAGCCCGAGTCCAAAACGCCGTACGCGTACAAAGATCCGGATCCAACGCTGAAGATCTGGCCCTTGGTGCGTTGACCGTCGCTGTCGACGTAGTACAGTCCCGGCCCGGTGGAATCCCAACCCGCGACCATCGTGCCCATGGACAGGCCCATTCCGCGGTAAGAAAACATGGTATTGGCGAGAAGCTTCGACGCGGCGCAGACGGTGATGCGTTTGCCGTTGTTGAGCTCGTAAAGGCGGCATCGCATGCCCAGGTTCCGCTGCCAGAACTGGCAGTCCGCGGCGCCGCCCGCCATGGTGCCAATCAGATGCTTGTTAATTTCGATAACTTTCTTGACAGTCTGTGATGAGATGAAAGAGCCCATCGTGGCGCGAGAATCGACGGCAATAATGACGCCGTGCTGGAAGATGAAGCCCAGCGTCGTCGTGCCGTGGCACGGCTTCACCATCTCCACGACTTCCCGCTCAAACTTGTCCAGGTCTTGCACTGCTGGTAACGGGAATGACGCCGTTGGTACGTCCAGCTGCAGATCTGGGCCGAGCCCTGGGCCCTTGCGCCCCGCGTTGGGCTCAAGTATACCTAGGTCTAACTTGAATTGCATTGTAATTGCCGATGATTAAAAGAAGGTGTACGTGCCCGGATACCTTATATGGAACAGAACGTGCCTTACGTTGTGGCGGGAGGATTCCTTGGCATTCAGTGAATACGTTTTCCGATATGAATGGGTCAACAAAAGGAGAATGTCATATAAGGATATTTGCCATGGCATAAAGTTTGGCTTACCAATCAAACAACGGAAACGGAGGTGTACGTCTATCTTGCGCAAGATAAAAGCTAATCTGAAGCCGGAAGTCATCAACTACATTCCAAGTCATTAGAACTGTTCATCAATTACATGCCATCGGCAACACGTCACGGGCGTCTACTGTCGACACTGTCGGCAGCCGATATACCCGCCAGTTGAATCGCAGCTTACGGCAGTCGCTGCAAGTACATGGCGCTATCCAAATGGCTTCGAAGCAGTAGCAACGCAAGGAATGAGCTTATCAACTTGACAACCAGGAATCAACGAAACTCGGAAGGTGAAGCCTCTTTCTCGCCTCTCTTTTGCTGACACCGGAAGGGCATTGTCAGCTTCTAACATGTAACGGTATCCTCAATTTTTGGAGCTGAAAAAAGGAGACCCTTACGCTGTCGTCCCTAATTTGCGGCCCCGGCCGCCAGGCAACGCGCTCAGGAGCGGCTTACATGCTTCCAATTCTCCAGCGTTGCACATCATTTGGCCAGGATTCGGGACATGCTTCTTCTGGCAAGCTGGTACGTCTAATGAACTTCTCTATGGCAACCCCCCCCTTCTCATCCCACCTCTCCTCTCCATCTCGCACGCAAACCCACCCACCCACCCCCAACCTAGACCACCCACCAACTTGTGCATTATTTCTGATTCCGTACCAAGGCGTCATGAGCCGGCTGGCCGAGGAATTCCAAATGGGGCTTGTACCCACCATCGCGAGCAGCGGAGGGGGATTGGTAGCTCTGCTGGGGGCATGTGAGGTGCCGCCAGGGGAGGCTGTACGGCTGGCGTTTCGGTTGTGCCGAGAGGCGGGCGTGTATGACAGACCGTTAGGTTTGTTGGGCATCTGGCGTAACCTTGTGCATCGGTGGGTTTGTGGCTCTTGGGTTGGGGGGTGAGGTTGGGGCTGTGATGGGGTCTGCATGGGACTCTGGGATGGGAGTTGCTAAGGGGAGGGGATTTAGGGCGGGTAAAAGGTGAAGTTGTGTTTTTTGGAAGGTTGATCTCTATATATTATCTTATGTAACCCTAAGGTGATCTCTATGTAAGGTATGAGACCTACATGCGGCGGGCCGGAGGGGTTCATCGGAGGGACGAAGTACTAAACCATTTGATTTTTTACACGAGTCTCATGTCTAGTGCGGAAATGTTTTTTTTGCCGTGCATGTCCGGCAAGTGTGCTGTACATGCAGGAGGGGGTAAAGCCATATGCACACGCCATGGGTGATGAGCTTCATTGTGTACAATGATTTGAGTGGTTTCGGAGCCCATTTATCTTCACCTTACAACAGTCAGGCTTCTAGCATGATGTGTTCTTTGTCACTGGATTGCTTCTCAATGCCGTATAGATGATTCGTACATATTCCCCCTATCATGACTTGCTAAGCTCAAGGTCCTCCACTTATGTGGAAGATATGAAATTATGCTTTTTATACTGAATGCTGTAATCTTGTCGTACTAGGTGGTTGGACGAGCTGCTTCCCCCGGATGCCGCCTCCCGCTGTTCCCGAGTGGGTATCGTGGTTACGGAGCTGCCATTACTACAGCCAGTCAAGGTATGTACGGCACATCGTACTTTCGTCACAGCTCTCGCACACCAATAACCAAACCACAACTGGATGGTGGCATCGGAAGACACTGAAGAGTTTTGTCTGCTTAAATAGCGGGGGATGCAGCCATCCCATGAATTGTACAGCCTGTTCCGAAATGGCGCGGTCCAGTCCTGGAATGGCGTACCGTTGACCTTGCTTCCAATCGATGACGGGGCTCCACGAGCCAGGGACCAGCGTCCCAGTCATAGCCTGTGCTACGACCCCCGCCCATACTTCTGCAAGTATGGACTTCCGCCTGAGGCGGCGTTTACCTGTAGGCATCCATGACAGCATCCCGCTTGCTGTCTGACCCAGATGTTGGAGCCATAGATCTGACAGAAAGGCGGCAAAATAGGCAGTTGGAATTCAGTTAGTTCCTGCGAACTTGTCCAGCAGAACTTGTCCAGCAACCGTGCTAAGCGAGAAAGGAAAAACTAGACAGAAGATGTATCAGTTTGGGACCGATTTAAGAAGCGGAATACAACAACTATCCCCCTGTAGTAGCTGGCTGCTGAAAAGGCCTCTCGAGATGCTGGTGGTCGCGCTACGCACGTATTTGTAGAGCCGTACTGTGTACCAGCTGCTACACCCCCCCTTTTGGATGCAGCATCCTCAATGAATGGTAAGAAACTAGCAAAGCAGAATCGGGCCAAAAAGTGTGGGAGTTAAACACTTACCTTTAACCTGCAAATCTTACCTCGCCCGTGCTTGTTGCCGTGCTTCTTCCAGCAGAGGTTTCAGATCAGGGGTAAAGTTAGCTTCTGGTTCCCAACTGTTGTGCTCAGCTGAGTACCCAGCCCAGTTGACGAGATACTCATGCACAGTGCGCTTACAGTGGCGGTTTCTGCCTACTTTTTAGGAACGGTAACTGAGTACCCGTTCAAGCACGTAAAATGTCTACTTATCTGAAAGCCAAGTAATGGGTCCTGGCTCTTGTCACGCCATATGACGTGCTAACAAACATAAGAAATGCGGATGGATCACAGTAGGAGCAGGTTTTGGCTGAAGCGCATCAGCAGATGCGCATCTGCTGATGCTGTGTCAGTAGTACGGAAAGGTCGGACTAGAGAGACATGGAATGTGGGGTGGATGCGCATGTCAGGTGGTAGTTGCAGCTCAACTGCAGTAGACCCAACCATGCAAACGACAGGAAATGGTCCCACCCAACGAGGTAAAAGCTTACGAGAACCATCCACTAAGGACCGCAGGTTCTTAGTGCTCAGCATCACCAACTGGCCCTGCGGGAAGGTGATGGCACGTCGGGATTTGTTAAAGTAGTCCGCCGTACGTTGCTGTGCAGCTTCAAGGCAAGATTTAGCACCAGTCAGTCAGGACACAAAGGACTCGGCAAACGTCTTTGCTGCAGGCAAGTTGACATCCAACTCCCACCAAATAGGCAAGGCAGGGTTGGTTCCGTAATTCAGTCACATATGCCCGTCATGTATGCCAGTTGCGTGATTCACAGCATTATTAATCGTGAATTCAGCATATGTGTCCCAGACAGAAGGCGTTAGACCGGCATAACTGTGCAACATATTGCCAAGAGTGCGACTTGAACGTTCTTTGTCCATCGGTCTGTGGGTGATAGGCGGTGCTCAGGTTAACACGCATGCCTAACAGATCACCCAGGGTGCCCCAAAATCTGCTGGCTAATGGCGATCCGCGGTCGGTCACAACATTCTTTGGGACACCATGCAAATACACTATGTTGTCAAATGACAGACATGCAGTTAGCTCAGCTGTGCAGGATGATACTGTAGGCGCCAAGTGCACCATTTTCGTGAGTCGGTCTACCATGACCAAAACGGCATCGAATCCTCCCTCAGTTTTGGGCAAAGCTACTGCAAAGTCCATGGTAACACTTTCCCAAGGGGTGGCCGGCACAGGCAAGGGACACAGGAGGCCGTGGGGCTTACCAGACAGGGCTTTATTGTGTTGGCACAGCTCACAGTCCTGGACATAGCTCTCAGCATCCTTAGCCATCTGAGGCCACCAGAATTGACGATGGAGAACCTCGATCAGACAGGTGCAGCCAGGGTGCCCAGGAGAGCATTACAAAGCGGGTCACTATTTGGAATGACAACCTGCCGAAATTTACCTGCAGGGTGGATCCAAAGGCCACTGTTACAGGTTAAGTGGCCAGTATTGCTCTTGTCAGAAAACCAGGGATCCATGGCATAGGCAGCATGAAGTCGTTGCACAGGTTCAGATGGCACATAAGATGCTGTAGCACGGTTGTGTGTAACGACAGACAGAATGGCTGCATGCAGACAATGTTGCCAACTTAAGGCATCAGCAACGTTAAGGATGCCTTGCAGGTATTCCCATGTGAACTCAAACCGGCTAAGGTATTCCATCCACCAGGCTTGAAGACAGTTAAGGGTAGGCATGCCTTGCAGAAACGTTAGGGGTTTCTGGTCGGTTTTGAGGGTGAACTGTCATCCCTCCAGATAACACTGCCACTCCTTAAGCGTGTTCAGTACAGAAAGAAGTTCTTGTTCCCCAGTGGTATAACGGGTTTCTGCCCCTGAGAACTTCTTACTAGTAAAAGCAATTGGTCTCCCGATTTGCAGCAGTACAGCTCCCGTACCATGCAAGGACTCATCAGTTATGACCACCACACAGAAAGGTTGGGATTAGTCAGGAAACACATGATGATGTCTTCAGAGAACACGCTTAAGTGTATCGAAAGCTTGCTGGCAGTCAGGACCCCAGCAGTCAGGAGATACAACAGCCCCTTTTCGTGTCAGATTTGCCAGAGGTGTGGTAATAATGGCATAGTGTTAGATGAACTTATGGAAGTAGTTCGTCAGCCTCAAGAACTTCCTTCTGGGTTACGGCTGTATTCAGTTGCAATTTAGGCTGCATATGGATAGCTGCTTGGCACCCAACGAGTTGAGGCTCAAATCGCTTACAGATAGTGGCAGCAGCAAAATTCACACAGTGTTCGGAATGTGCAGCACTAGTATTCCCTTCTCCCATCCGTCCCGCAGTGTTGAAAGGCGCCATAACACAAGGTTCCCTTCCGCAACTGCAAGGTGTGGGTCTCATAATTCAGGTGAGCCCCATACTGATCAAGGGTAGCGGACCCTAAGATAAACGTGGCTGCATCAGTAAACTTAGGCAGCACATACGGATGGGCATTTAGGTGCAGAGGGCCCAAGGATATACGAAGGGAAACTTGACCCAAAATGACTTGCCTACCCCCATCTGCAAGGGTGACAGATGACCACGATGCCGGTTGAGGTTTTAGTCCAAGCTGGTCAACCATGGACATGGAAATGAAGTCATTGCTTGCACCAGAGTCGGCCATGGCAGTTAAGGAATATCCAGCGACACGAATGCCAATTAACGGGACTCTGGGCCCTGTTGACGCAGCAACTTTTGCACACAGGACTGAAACATGGGGCTCCGTGTCAAGGTGCCCCAGGACAAGAGGGGGATCGTACCAAACGTCAGGAGTATATGGCAGACCTGGAAGGGAAACAAGTTGACCCATCATGTCTACATTGTTGAAGAGCTTGTTACCAGCATGAAACTGCAGAACCCGATGCATCCCTGTCAGCAAGGAGGCAGCCCTCTGGGATACGTGTGCTAGCAACAAGAGATATGCCGTGGTGTCAGGTCGCTGATGTTTGCAAGTAGATAATGAGCAAGCTGAGACTGAAGTTCTTGAAACAATGAGGGGGAAAACGAAACAGTATGCCCACCCAAGTTGATAGAGGTTAAACACCGTGAGTTAGCAAACAGATTACAGAGCTCATCAAAACCAGGACAAGCAGTATGAGCATCAAACGAAAAACGCCGCCCAATGGCCTTCTCAACTTGGTCCAACAAAGTTGGTAAAATAGTCCGGAGAGTACATCCAACTGGACAGATTATGGGCACTGTTCAGGCTCGTAACCCAGGGAGTGCTTCCCTGACACTGCCCTGGGCAACCCCCTATTTGTCCCCGTTCCTAGCTTTCTTCTCTGAATGCAACGGGCACTCTGCCATTAGGTGTTTGTCCTCCCCACAGTGGAGGCAACGGCCAATTTTCCGGCAGTAGTCATACTCTGCCGAGTGCAGTAAACCTTAAGTCATCCACTCTGCTGGATTCAGATCCCGGCCATGCTTGCCTAGCACCATCATCCCCGTTCCTGCAGCAGTGGCCCTGGGCCGACCCTTGTCCCTAAGCTTGCCACCCCGACCCCTGCACCCACGGTTCGACTCACCAGCACCGGAAGCCTGGTGAGCTGTGTTCCGCACAGCGGCAGCAGTAGCAGCCCGGGGCCTGACCTCCAGTGCCGGGAGGTCCCTGTCGTCAGTGATGATGGGCGCGGGATCCTGCACAGCGGTGGAAGCATGCAGAAGCGGGTTTGGGTTTGAGAATGAAGTTCAGCAAGTTGACGGGCCTGAACACCAAGCATGTGCTGCACAAGTTTTGCATGTTCCTGAACAGGTTTCCTGAAGCAGTTGCACGTTCTCCTGAAAACTCAGCAGAAAGGCCGCGGATAAACCAGGAAATCTGGTCAGCCTCCCAAAAGTCAGGATTTGGTGCTATAAATGCCTCGAAACGACGATGTGCACGGCTACCGTTTCCTTCGCCCGCATCTGATGTTGCCCTGCAGCATGTTTTTCGAGCGCCTCCAGTTCGCACGTTTGGATCTGCAGAGCAAAACGAATTAACAGTGCCTCCAAAGGTTGCTCTGAAGTATATATTGCAACCATGTTAGTCCAGTCATCATGCCAGGTTTACGCGGCGCCTTCAAGAGCATCAGCTAAAAACAGGTAACGTATACTGTCATGGTTTCCGCCTTGCACGAAATCAAAATATTTCCGGACATCACGAACAAAGGCGTGTACGCGTGGTGCAACTTCCTGCGATAAGTCGCTAAGCTTAATATCGGCAGAGATACTAAGCCTAGGTACCGGAATATTTCGGAAGACGCTGATTGGAAGAGTTTTGTCCGCTTAATTAGCGGGATGCAGCCATCCCATGAACTGTACAGACAGTCCCGAAATGGCGTACCGTTGATCAATCGGCAAGTTACAGGTACCACAGTACGGCATTTGCATAGCATGAGTAATGTATCGAACATTACATCATTAACTACTATTTGTCGTAAAACCGTGCTTCTCAAATGGGCCGATTACCATATGAAAGTAATGTACTAACCCTGCCACTATTACTACCCCTGACACTACATGTCCTCCTCAGTTGGGCGGTTGGCGGTGTCGCAATGACCTGATCTCTGCTGCACTGGCCTCCGCGCACATCCCCTTTGTACTGGACGGCTCACTGGCCACTCGATACCGGGGCCGACTGGTGGTGGACGGCAACCTGCACTATGCCTGGCTGGGCCGGCCGGGGGCTCTGGTGCCACCAGGTGGTTTCGGGGCTAAAGGATGGGGGAGGGGAGGGTGCGGGGGCCAAACTTGTCGGTGTTATTATTAAGATGGGTTAAAGTTGAGTTAGATGTGGTGAAGAACGACGGCTCTGTCACTGCCGGTGCCAATGAAATGCTGCGGCTGCCTTCACACTGTGAAGGCAGCTCTGAAGGATAGTTCTGGCAAAACTATCACTGCACTCACTCGTCATGGCCGCCATCACTGCTGTCTTGCCGTGTGCTTTGTTGCAACCAGCCCAAAAGTAATAACCAATAGTCATAGGCACGTGCAAAAATATTAACATGTATTTATAACTATTGTGTGTTCTTAAATATTATAAATAATAGGGCCAAGATGTACCAAACGCCGACCGCCTTGCCAAGGCAGCCCGAACAGGCACATCAACCAACGGCACAGGTTACACAGGCCGTAGAGCAAGCAGTCACAGGGCTTCCACCACCTTACATGGCATTCTAGCAGCAGATGCAGCAGCAATTGCAACAGCACCAGCAGCGGATGCAGCAGCAGCAGCATCTGCAATAACAGCATTCCCTGCTGCATTTGTTGCATCTGCTGCTGCACCTGCTGCCGGAAGGCCATGTAAGCCGGGGGAAGCCCTGTGACTGCCGTACGGCATGCTGTACGGCTTGTGTAACCTGGGACGTTGCTTGGTGTGGCTATGCGGGCTACCCTGGTGAGGGCGGTCAGCATTTCGTACATTTTGGCAATTAGTTTAAATGGCTTTTGAACCATTGAGCCATCACCAAAGCTCACAGCCTTACTCATAATCTTCCTCTGCACATTTTGCATGCATCTTATTGTGTTATAAATGTTTTTGTGTAATAATGATAATGCCAATTTTTTGTGCCCAAATAAAACAAAATTTAGGTATCCCCAGTGTGGTGTTCGATCCGCGGGACGATCCACACCTCCAACAAGCTCTCCCTCGTGGTTTAGGAGCCTGTATCCGCCGCATGGATGACCGTACGGCACTCAAGCTGGTGGATCTGGGTCGTCGTTATTTTGATACCTTGGTGCTGTGCGGCAAGCTGGACAGGTACGGAAGCTACAGTTGCTGTACAGAAGGTGGCAGACATCTGTTCGTGGGGAGGGGAGGAAAGGAAGGTCGCTTGTCAAGGGCAAAAGTTCTTGTGGGTAGGGCGGTGTTCTTGTTGCTCGGGGGGGTCGGGTTTGGGAAGTGCTTCGTAACTCATTATGCTGCCTCGATGGTCGTGACACTTCCACCACTTCACCCTAGCCCAAAAATAATGAATCTACCAGCCAATTAGAAACCAAAAAATGGTTTTGCCATCATCTTCACTTGCTTTCAATGTACCGCCTGCACACACTCTCCTTCCGTACGTTGGCTGCTGCTAAATATGCGTGCTGCGGGCTGCGTAACGTGCCTGTGTATGTTTCGCCACGGTACCGCTGCCTTTTAGTGGCGCTGCTGCCACTGTATGGCTTCCCCTCCCCGCCCCCTCCCCGGGGCTTTTACGGACGCCTCATGCATCTGTACTGAACTTGCAACTCTTGTAACTCTCTACTCGGTGGTGCTCATGCTGGTGGCTTTGATTGGTACGCGACCAGGAGCCTGCTGAGCGCCCTCTACGCCAAGAACCACCGCCCCCTACTTCCCCAACCTTCTCTTCTTCCTCCTCCTCTCCCTCCTACACCGCTTCCTGCTACTGCTACGGCCACTGCTGCTGTCGTTACGTTGCCAGCTCCGGACCTTGCGGTATCGAGGCTAACTGTTTGATTACTGGTGACTGGTCTACTTGGGAGGCCAACAAGGTTGTTTGTTGCGTATGCACGAAAATGTTCATCGGATTTTTTAATTCCTTCGAGGACAATTTTCGGAAAGGTGATGTTTTCAACAGTTTCTTTCAACACATCGCTGCGCGTCGTCAGTGCCGGTACCGAAAGCGACCTCAGTAATAACACATCACGATTGCCATATGTTTTTCATTTTTGTGTCAATTTGTGTGCCCTCATCAGCTTAGACACTTATTGTCCTTGCCGGACTTCGAATTCGAAAAGCGAATGATTAATTGCACGCGCAGCAGTAATTACGACTTCCTGCGGGGAGGAGTTACAGCAACCCACAATAATCTTGAGCGCACATTATTCGCTTTTTCAACAATCCAACGGTATGCTAGGAATTTCTGTTTTCCTTGATGGGCCTTGTTTGTGGCGTCGCCCAGTCGAGTTTAGATAAATCGTAGATAAATCGTAGCTCTTGGAGAGGGAGCCTTGGGGAGCGTGCTAAGCCATATGATAACGGAACAAGGGAGTCGGTTGAGGCCCAAATGGAATGTACGACGGAGTCCATGGGAAATATGAGACATGCGATTATATAAAAAGCAAAGCGGATGTAGTAACTGTACAAGGACGCTATTGTTTGATGGAGGGGTTTTACTCTGTTTTTACGATGAAGTGAATGTCCTTGATGTTTTCAAACCTAACACTCAGAGGGAGCTGTCCGGTGGTTGCGATCCTTTGAACGGGGAAGGTGGTACTGCACCGGTGGCTGTAACGGTGGTTAACGGAACAGTTCCTTTGGGTAGGTTATGATGGTGTTTGTTTCGGTTGGTTGGTTCCACACATTGCTACTAATGAGCTTCATTAATTGAGAAAATCGGCTTGCGATATTGCGTTGCTTCCTCTCCACCTCATATACCTGCGTTTAATCATTCCACGTCTTTAGTGGTGGCAATATTGGAAAGATCGTTGGTGGTTGGGTAGGAGTGGTTGACAAAGTCCTTTAGGAAATCTGATAATTAAAGAATAATTTTGACTGGAAAATGACTTGTCAAAAACTATCATGTTTATCAAGGAACGAAGAGGAATGATTGGATTATGGTTTACAATTGTTTATGTATACGATGGCGGACTACAACCCCAACTACGTTACCATCGCCACCACAACTACAACCACTCTCAGACCGCAAGGACAGCCCACACGGACTCATCCTTCATCACATCAACATTTTTACATTTACATTAAAACTCCAATACAAGAGAATTTCAATAACCATAACACTACAGTCTTGAACATTTGCTCGTCCATTATCCGACCGCTCCATGGAAAACTTCTTTCAATATACGCTAGAGATACATCACATCGCTACCGGCCGACTTCTCCGGCACAAACCATTTGTACAGCGCCCGTACGGTACGGCACTTCTGTGCGTCGTACTGCAGGCCAAACGCCGCTGCCAGCGCAGTGCCGATGGTGTCGCAGGCTTGTACGGAGACGGGCAGGTCGAGCGTCGTAGCAGCAGGAGGCTTATGACCTGAAGGTGAGGAAGAGTTGGGGATCCGTTAGGCAATTGGGCTTGAAACTGGGAAACATTGGTTGGGCGAATTCGAGTAAGGCTTCAGAAGAGATGTGATGATACGCGTGTACATACACAGATATACATACACGATATATTCATATACACACACGTACACGAATCGTCGTACCTTGTGTCAGCAGGCAGCAGGCAGCAGTACCCGACACGCTCAGCACGTGCAGCAATGACGCGATCATTCCGTCTCGGACGCGAAGGTGGGATAAAGCAGTAGCAGTAGCAGCAGCAGCAGCTGGGCGGGCGGAGCCGCCAGCGGCAGGGGAGGATGAGGAAGGTGGTGATTGTGGTGGTGGTACGAGCGGCGGCAGGGTTGGATCCAGGGGAGGTCCGCCGTTGAGCAGGTGCTGGTACAGACCTGTACGGGCGGGCGGACAGGGGTTAAGTGTTGGAGCGGAGGGATGAGGGCAAAGATTAATATGTTGAAGTGTGTGGAACAGGGGGGCATATCCTCTCCCCTGGCCGCTACCCGGCGAAAGCCTGCCTTCCCCGGTATTTCGGGGCACCCTCACCCAGTCACCCTAGTCAGCTTCTCAGTGGATCGCGCAGGTTCCGCACCCACCACCGGCATCCAACGGAATCTGCCGGATCGATGGCGGCTCAACTCCATTCATGGTCAGCTCGCGGGTCAACTTTATCCCAGGTCACCACCGTCCATCGACTAGGGGCGCTATACCCTCCACCATCGGAAGGATTTTCGACCTTGACAGGTCTCGATCCCGGGATCCCCCGGGGGCAATGGTGCGTGCTTTAGTAGTGCCTGACCTGACCTTAATTAAATTACAAACATAAACACAATACATTATTATATAAAACGTTGGTGTGATGCAAAATGCCAACAAAAACGGATTGGCTGCGTTTTAGCGGGAAAAAATAATAAACGGATTTTTTTCCGTTTCAAAAACAACAGAATCAACCTGAAGACGTTTTAAGGTAGAGAGGGAGAAGGAGAGAGAAGGAGAGAGAGGAGAGAAGGAGAGAGAGGAGAGAAGGAGAGAGAGAGAAGGAGAGAGGGAGGGGGAGGAGTCATACATGGTGCAAGGTGCAAAGGGCCTCAAAGGGTACCTAGCCGGTACCTTGGAGGGGGGAGCCATCGTATGCAAAAGGAAATCAGAAGAGAGGTTAAAGGAGCGAGGGAAGCGACTGCCAGAGCGCGGTAGTTCGGTTGAAGGAGGTGGAGGAAGTGGGCTGGAGGGAAGTGAGGATGAGGTTGAGGATGGGTTGGGATGAGAAATTGCCGGAAGGGAAATGCGAGTGTGGGGTAACGTAGAGGCCTGTGTTGAGGTGACGGGGCGCGGAGGGCGGCTGATGTGGCAGGGTCAGTAGAAGAAAGGGGTAGGCAGGGGGGCTCCAGCAATACGGGTACCTCTAAGCGGCTGGTGGCGCCACTGCCGCCTCCGCTGCCACCCCTCCTGCCTTCCTTCCCCCCCTTCCTCCCCTTCTTCCCCTTCCTCCCCTCTTCGCCCCAATAAACAACCACCCACCCGCCGCTTTGGGCTGCTGCTGCTGTTGTAGCAACATCGCCGCCACCATCGTAACCTCCCGTTCGCGGCCACCGTCCGCCGCCACCGCCGCCGCCGCTGCTGCTGTTGCCCCGTCGTTTTCCGTAGATGTCTCCTCCTCCCCATCCTGCAGCAGCTGCTGCTGCTGCTGTTGTTGTTGCCCGGCTCTCGTCAGCAGTTCCAGCACCGCCGCCGCCAGCTCCCCCTGCCACTCCTCAGGCACCGCCGCATTCAGAACCAGCAGAGAGATCTGTATGTATGTACGTATGTGGGAGTAAGTACGTGTGTATGAGGGGGTAGAGATAGGTTGGGTCGCAACTCGCGACCCGGTCGGTCCTCGACAACGAATCGATACCTAGGTCCAGACGTCTATCAGACAAAAGGCTGAGACATACATACATACATACATGCATACATACTCGCACTCATAAGGCAGGCAAAAACACACACGCTCATAGCCTCACACACACATACACAAGATGACGCCGACTTACCGCCGGTGTGCGGGAGCCGCTGCCGCCGCCGCCGCTGCCGCCACCACCAGCTGCCGCTTCTTGCGCTACCGCCGCCACTGCCGCTGCCACCGCCGGCGGGGTAGGAGGAGGAGGACTTGCATTGTAGAAGTTTCGCAACACGGCCAACGCAGCATTGTGTGGTGGAGATGACGACGGTGATGAAGATGGAGATGGGGGGGAAGAGGAGGCGGATAATGGGCCCGCTGCTGCTGCTGTTGCTGCTACAGCGGCGGTGGTGGTGGTCAGTGGTACTGCTAGGACCGGGCGTAACTCCGAGTTCCCGTCCGACATCCCTTCAGCCTGCTGCGAATCCTGATCCACGCCGCCGCGGCCGCTTAAGGTGGTTGTGGCGGTTGCAGGGGGTAGTCCGAGTGAAAGCTCCAGGGGGGTTTCACGTACGGTCCAGCCGGAAGGGGGCTCCAGGGAAAGAAGCACGCGTGCGCTGGGGGGGAGCAGGGGGTGCGGACGGGTTAGAGGGAGGGGGCAAGGGGGCTTTCATATGCATAAGTAGGAAACGAGATAGCTGTCGACGTTCTGTAGCCAACTTGGGGTGTGGGGAAATCATATGCAAGAGGCAAAGGAGGAGGGCTTCAGGGCTTAGGGGAGGGAGAAATGAAAGGTGCAACGGCACACGGAACAGGAACGGAGATAATGGTGGTGAGCGGCGGAGGGAAAGAATGAAAGGGTGTGAAACGTTAGCACCGGAAAGACTCCTTTGGTCGGCTAGAGAGAGAGGAGAAACAATGAGGATTGGCATGATGTGTACGGCGTCTTCGGGCAACGGGGAATGTTCCCAACAACACCCGGCACGAAAAGCAGTTGCGAAACCCGACACGTACCCAACAGCGGCCACATCTACCGTGCCCAAAATGACCTGCAAAACGGAAATGACGGGCCAGCAGCTGTCGCCGTGCGTTCGTAGGTGTGCGGAACGCCGAAATGGGCTAATGGCGACAGCAACCCCAGTCAAATGCAGAGCTTGCCTTTGGTGCGAGCTCTAATGGGTCTTTGTGCGTTATCCTGACACGATCAGAGGTAGCCATGCCTTAACGCTCTCGAGCGATGTTGCGCAGATCCGTAGGCGGCTGTGGCTAGGGCGTAGAACGAGCTCTAATGGATTGCCTACGTAACTATGAGTCTCAAAGGAGCATGCCGGTTATGCAGGGATACAAAGGGGAAAGCTACCCAGCAGCGAACGGATACCGGAAGGCTGAGGGTTTCCTCCAAAACTGTTCTGACCAGATATTTAACAAACGCAGAGCAACATGCAAATAGTTACCTAGATTCTAAAGTGTAGTCGCGTGGATTATACCTGGATCCTCCGGAATGGGCTCTTTTTGGAATCTAACCGAATACCGTAATTCGTGGGCAAGTTGATACCGTGATGATATCGACTAGCTGTTTATATGCATCTTGAGAACACACTGCTTCTGGGGTAGCTGGCTTCCCGCAACTTAGCGTTGCAACCCTGGCATTTCTGTGATGAATCCTTGTAGTAGGTAGCTACCTCCTCCCTGAGCACCAGTAGAATAGAGGTTAAGGCTTGAATGCATGAACATATTTTAACTTAGTTCCTTGAGTTCTGTGAACCAGGAGCTCTGTGGGCCAGGTTAAAGTGTCTCTTCAACTGCGAATCCATGGCAGGGACGTGTCTAACACACTGGCAGGGGCCTTCGGAGTGCTGAGAAATATTGGAGTACTTGCGCCGCGGCATATGGACGTAGTGACAACCCTCCTTGTCGGAATCAGCGTCATAGGGTGCACAGTGCATCTCTCTACAGCGACGACTGGTACGCTATGCCAATCTGTCCACAGTCCCAATTACTACATTTGATATTACCTATAAAGACTGGTTAAAAGGATATAGAGGCCCATCGACAGCTAGAGTCGCAGCTTTCTGGAGTTACAGGCGCGAAACCTTTCCGTGAGCCAAGCCATCACTTCACCGTTTCACTGTTACTGTTCACGTTTTAGAGCAGTAAGCCACCACAGACTCAGATCCTCGGTTGCTATCTACCCTCCCTATCCACCGTTTACTTGCGCGACCCCTCCACATCCCACTTCCAATCTACACGAGCAGCAGAGCTATCTGGCAAAATGCACCATCCCAGTGGATCACAACCTCCAGTACCGACAACCGCCACCCGGGTAAAAATGCAATCGCCGCAGGGCACCTCCGCAATGACCACCGCAAGTTGCTGCAGCAGGAGCAGCAGCAGCGGCCGCCTCCGCAGTTGCGACGAAGCCTTACACAGTACCTTTCAAACGCTGGCAATAATAACGATTTTCGTTACAGCAAAACTTATGACGCCTGGATGCTTGGTAGCAGGACCAGCCCACCACCACCCGCGTTGGCCTTCGGCCGCGCGCCCATCAGCCCGCTCACGGCGGCTGTTGGGCTCACGATAGCAGGCTTTGCCGCGGGTATGCTCGTTATAGCTCTGCTGCTTTGGATCAAGAACGGCGTAGAATGGGACTTCCGATTCAAGGTAAGCTGAGAATGCGCGGCTAATTTTTAGGCCCTCTTGTCTGTCTGTCTGTCTGTCTGTTGGTCCGTCCGGCCTGGATGGCTAGCTTACTTAGCAGCTCAGTATCGACGGGTGTTCGTCTTGTCGCGATGTCTGGTTTACTAGTAATCTTGCTCAACTTCCCTAGTGTCGTTCCAACCCAACTTCCCCTGATGTCGTACTACCTCAACTTTCTTGATGTCGTTCCAACCCAACTTCCCCTGATGTCGTACTACCTCAACTTTCTTGATGTCGTTCCAACCCAACTTCCCCTGATGTCGTACTACCTCAACTTTCTTGATGTCGTTCCAACCCAACTTCCCCTGATGTCGTACTACCTCAACTTTCTTGATGTCGTTCCAACCCAACTTCCCCTGATGTCGTACTACCTCAACTTCCCTAGTGTCGTTCCAACCCAACTTCCCCTGATGTCGTACTACCTCAACTTTCTTGATGTCGTTCCAACCCAACTTCCCCTGATGTCGTACTACCTCAACTTTCTTGATGTCGTTCCAACCCAACTTCCCCTGATGTCGTACTACCTCAACTTTCTTGATGTCGTTCCAACCCAACTTCCCCTGATGTCGTACTACCTCAACTTCCCTAGTGTCGTTCCAACCCAACTTCCCCTGATGTCGTACTACCTCAACTTTCTTGATGTCGTTCCAACCCAACTTCCCCTGATGTCGTACTACCTCAACTTTCTTGATGTCGTTCCAACCCAACTTCCCCTGATGTCGTACTACCTCAACTTTCTTGATGTCGTTCCAACCCAACTTCCCCTGATGTCGTACTACCTCAACTTTCTTGATGTCGTACCAACCCAACTTCCCCTGATGTCATACCACCCCGTCGCAAACAGGACCTAATCATGGTTATGTTGGGCCGTCGTCGTCAAATGCCGGTGGTCCCCTTTGACTCCCCGCCTCGCGACCCATCCGTTGATGCCGCGGGTGCAGCCACTGCTTTGGCCGCTGCCGCTACTGCCCCCTTACCCGCCGAGGGAGGGGACACGGGTGCGGTGCAGGGCAGTAGCAGTCCCAGAGGTGGTTGGCAGGTCCAACAACAATAACAGCAACCACATAGGGTTCAACAGGGGCGGGGGCAGCAGCAAGGCCTGCAGGACCACCAAAGTGGACAGCAACATCATTCTTATCACAGCTGCGCGGACGCGGGGTCAACACCCCAGCCGAACCAGGCCCAACAGTTGCGGCAGCAGCAGCAGCAGCAGCTGCAGCTTCAGGAGCGATACAACTACAATCGACACAACCAGCAGTAGCAGTAGCAGCAAGGAGGTGTGGGGGGGGAATAGAGCTGCTTGGCCACTCGGGCGTGTAATAAGTAATGTATCAATTGCAAGAGTGGTTGAGGGAGGGAATGGGGGTGTTGGGGCCGGGTTGCTGCGGGCGGGGGCAGCAGCGTGGGGAAGAGGCAGCCCCACCGGCGGAGCAGCAAGCGGCTCAGGAGGATGCGGAGAGAGTCGTCGGCCGGCGGTTCTGGTGGTTTGGGCCGTTTAACTGCTGTATCGTTGGCGGGGCTGTTGGCTCCGTTGATGAGTCTCGTCCGCTGGTAAAATGTATGTGGGAAGTACGTCAGTTTTGGGTGGGTCTTGAAACGAATGAAATTTGTGAATAGTATAATGGCGAGGCCAATCAGGTCGGGAGCGTTGCATCGGTTGGTTGGCTTGGGGGTGGGAGATAAAGCGCTGGTTTCGCTTCAAGTGCATCTGTACCGGTGTCTTGCACATGCTTTGTTGTATGTGAAGATAAATTGCGCATGAGCTTTGCATGCCTGCTTGTGTGGCATCTCGTTACAGCCACCAGTGGTCGTGCGAAATGCGCAGTTCGACATTCCGGGACAAGGTTCTGCCAGATCTGGTGCCGTGAGGTACTTCTTTTTTCGAGGCCTTTGGCTGAACCTTGGACCGGGCCTTGCAGCCGCAAACTGGTCAGGATTTGCATTTGCGGCTAGCTACCTGCGCATGGTATTATTTGGTTTGCGTGTTGCACGTAAGAGTTGACAGATGGCTGCCTCGGCTGCCTACCTCGGTTGACGGATCCATCGCTATTGGCTTGGTCGCTATGCTGTATCAACGACTCTACAAGTGCTCTTCTTTTCCTGTGCAAATGGCAATCGATGCAGTTTACTCGGAAGGCTACGGTTGCGACTGGAGTTTTTGCCTCCCACTCTTCCGCTATGCGAACACCGCGATGAGGGGGGTGCGTTGGACGAGATATCATACGAAGGCTTTTGCTCGCGTGTCTTTGCGAGTTTTTCGACAATTGACGATTCCACTATCAATCTTCAATATGCTTTTCGAGGATATTTCCGTTAAAAACCACCTCAGCAGCTTGCGTCTGATATACATATCCCCGATCGCCATCGGCGTTTTCAGCACATCTTTTGCGCAAATTATTGACTACTGTAAACGATGAAGGGAAACGTGCAGCTAGCGCTAGAGCCGTGCGCCTGGATGAATTTGGGAACGTCTCTAGTTGTGAGCCGGCACTCAACCGCTTTAAGTGCTTAGCGCAGCGTGATATCCAGCGAAGCTTCTTGGGATAATGTACTGCGATGATGGTATTGTTGAATTCTGGGAGAATCAGCGCTTCTGGGGCCTAACCTGGTGGGTCAATTAAGCTCTGAGCTGCGGCCATATGAAGGCGTGCAACAAACCAACGGCCAACAGCATGATACTGCATCCTTTTAGGTCTATATGTTGGCAGGCCATCTCTCATTTTGATGTGTCTCAATGTCGCGGGGGTTGCCTATCTACAGGGCCTGCGCATCATGAGCAGCCATAAGCAACAGGTGCTGTTCCGTAACCTGAATGTTTTGTTTTTCCCGACAGCTCCGCCGGTCGTGCGGAAACATCACTCAACTGCCAAAGTGAATCCGCCGGCAAAACCTGCCTCACAACCTTCCACATCCCTTAACACCGTACCTGTAGGGGTGCACCGCTGCTTCCATTCGACTGGCCTGCATGGAGCGACTCCCAGGGCAATGCAGTGCAATTGGCACGTCCGCCGGAACGAGAAGGTGAACGCGGTTGGTTCATCGTGCGAACTCTGGGCACGGACGAAAATGGTTGGCGATACAGTACCGTCTTCTCCAAGCTCCACACGCCACGCCCGGGGGGTCGCGCCTCCAAGCGCTCTTCCGACTATGTGCGGAGCCGCGTGTGGCGTAAGCTGACTGCGGATGCCCAGCTCCCCCCGGTGAGAGCCAACGCGAACCCTACTTCTGGAAACTTCTTCCAGATCACCCCCTCTTTGCTTTATTTTTCCCGCCCCTGAACGAGACGTCAGCGCCCGCGTGTCAGGCTCAAGGCCTTTTCCCTAAGCCCTGGACAGGAGCATGTTCTCGGCGAGTCTGGTCCGGTCCGCTCAACGAGTGGTCCAACTTGTCAACATGGCACGAGCTTTCCCGTGGACGCCGCAGGCAGCGGAACCCCACTCACATCCCCTTTGACTTCGACCGCAGGGCAGCTGCTTCATGGTTGATTGACATTCCTGCGCTGCGCTTCATGGCGTCGGCAATGGCCAACGCGGCCAACGCCAACACCCCCCCCCCACATACATATAAGTGCTCTGAAGTCTCCGTACAAAGGTTGTCCTTGATGCGTTGTCTTTGCACTCGTGACGGATCACTTGTTTGGAAGGAAACAACTTGTGATGTGTATGTACGACAGGATCTGGAGCTGCGGTCCCTTGGTAGCAGCCGCCCTCCCCCTCCCCCCTGGAGTACTGAGTCAGCGGTGGTGGGCTCTGGCGGTGACGGCGCCGACCTCGCTGCCGTCGCCGTACACCCCGACCCAACTAGCGGCGGGAATTTGCCGGCAATCGCGACCATGGGTGCCGCTGGCGTGACGGCCGTCGCCGCCGCTGCCGCGGCGGAGGCGACGACCGCCAGCGGCGTCGCCAGGAGGCAGACGCGACTACAGCCTGAGGCGGAGCGGATACTGCTCAGCGCCGTCGCCGCTGCCGGCATCACCAGCGGCCGCCACCGTGGCGGCGCTGCTGGTGGAGGCGGAGGCGGCGCCGGAGCGCTCCCCAAGCCGAGCCTGTTTAAGCTCTGGCAGCTTTTTATGGAGCTCTGGAATGATGCATGTGCGCGGCACGGCATGCGGCGGTTAGTTCCGTTGGATCCGTTGGGGTTGTACGTTGCGGCGCGGCGGCATCGGGAGCTTTTGGCGCGGCTGCGACTGGCTCAACTGGCTGCGGGGCGGCTGGTGGCGGCGGCGCCAGTTACTACTGAGGTGGAGCCGGACTTGCTTGATGAGCAGCCGTACGGCAGCGGCGGCGGCGGCGGCAGCTTCGATGACCCGGAGGACGTGCAGCGGGAGGCGCAGCAGCAGTCGGCGGCGGCGTTGGGGGAGCTCAGAGAGGCGCAGGCGGCGGGAGTGGATTCGCGGCAGGCCGCGGCGGCAGCTGTGGCCGCCGCCGCCGCGGCGGCAGCGGCGGCGGCGGCACAGCATCGCTCGCCAACCGTTGGCGAAACGCCGACGGGCGCAGCCATCATGCAGCCAGCAGCGCCGCAGGCCGTTACGCTACACGGCGGCGGCCGCGGCGGTGCTGGGCGCCGTACAGCGGCGATTACTGGGCCACCTGGAAGCAACTACCCCGCCGCCGCCGCCTCCGGTGTCAACGCTGGCGGTGACACGGTGCTGTCCGCTGACCAGGGCCTTATGCCAGATCTGACCGATCCCGCAACGCTGCTGACGGAGCTGGTGACGGCCACCAATTACGCGCGCGCGGCGTACGGCTATGTGATGGCCGCGGGTACGACCAGGCTGTCAAGGGGGGCGACTGTACTGCTCAGCCCCTGCCTTCCCTCCTCCCCCCCTTGTGCCGTTCCATTGAAGGGCAATCTCGTTCTTGTGCGCATATATCTGGTGTTTTCAGAACATCATTCCCGCTTGGGTGCTTTCTGAGTGTTTTCTGAGTACTTCTTGGGTACTTGGGTACCTCACTCGCTCGTGGTTCGTCTCCCCTCCCCCGCGAGAGGGTATTTTTGCAGAGTGTATTTTTGCATAGTTTACTGCAGTACGGGGGGGGGTTGCGTGGGGATGTAACCCGGATGGTTTCCCCTCCTGCTTTGTGTTTCACGTTGTGTGATAGCGGCCCCATGATGGGGCGAAAATGATGGTGCGAATGGTCTGTGTTTTGCACAGCAACGGTGCAGCTGCGGCGGGTGGTGGTTGTTGTTTTCCCTACAAACACGGTCTCGTTGTTGGTGCAGCTGCCTGGTTTGGCAACGCGCCGGTGCGTGGCTCATTTTCAATTGGTTTCGGAGCCCCGCAAGAAGTGAGCACGAAAGAGATTTGAGAGTCCATTCCTGTTTCTGCTTTTTGCTTTTTTCTACTAGCGTGTGGCGTGATCGAAAAACGGCTGGCGTGAAAAGCGCAGAGCGCGGGATCGCCCTTAGCGAACCTGGTTTGAGGTCCTCAAGGTCTTCGGGCCCCCTGAGTTGTCTTTGTCTCTGTCCTATTGCAGTTGCTTCCTTAAGGGGGGACGTTTGGCGGAAATCATTTTGACACGGCGTAGGTGTGCGTGTGTGTGTATGTGTGCTGCTTGCCTTCTCTCCTGACCCCTTATTCGCCAGTGGCTCGTCTTACCCCCCCCCTTCCTTCATGCCCCCCACCCCCTCCCCCTCAGGCCACCTGAACTCCCTGACCAAGCTGCTCACCATGTTCGGCTCCTCGGCGCACTTCAACCCCATCACGGGCGCCTCCGCGGAGGCGAATCTGGAGGCCATCCACCTGTTTACGGGTATGTATGTATGTATGTATGTATGTATGTATGTATGTATGTATGCCGTTACAGGGTGGTTAACTTCGCCAGCGGCCCCCTTTCCCGAGGCAGTTCCCTGCTCTCCCCTGCGAGAGGGGGACCCTAATCCGTTCACCCCATCCGACTTCAGAATGTATTCATTGGGTTCAGCAACTCATCACCAGCATCCAACCAAATCTAGCGGATCAACGGCGCCTCAACATAGTTCCTGGTCAGCTCGCAAGTTAATTTTATCATGTCCTACACCGTCCACAAGATGGAGGGCCACCTCGCATTTCAACACTTCTCAAACACCCGAGAAGTCGGCAGGCGAAATTGAACCCGGGCACTCCGGGAGCAGAAGTCAGGCCTTCACCTCTGCCAGCCACCTGCCTATGTATGTATGTACGTATGTATAAGTACGCAAGCAAATTCGTACCATAACACACACCCTCTAAGTCTCACACACACAAACACACACGCACGCACGCATATACGCGCAGACATACACACAGGCTCACACCGCCGGTTGCGTGCTCTCTCCGCCCGGGCCCTGATAAAAAAAACAGCTAAAGTGCGGTACTAAAGTAACATGTGCGGGTGAAGATAATTGGCAGTTTCGTGTTCGTAACCAATGCCAGTTGTTAAAATTTAATTGTCCCTACCTTTTTAAAATACCCACTGCATACCCCCTCCCCTCCCGCACACACACACACACACACTCCCACACGCGCTCTCTCTCTCCCACACGCACTCAGGCATCCCCGTGCACGACGTGGTGATGGCGGAGTGGCGCTCCTCCGTGTTCCGGCCCTGCCACTATCTGGCAGTCGACCGGAGGAGGAGGAGACTGGTGCTGGCGATACGGGGCTCACTGGAGCTAGCGGATATTGCAACTGACCTGACCGCCAGGTACCGTGCCGCGGAGGGGGAGGGGGGGGAAGGGAGTGGGAGTGGGAGTGCGGGTATTGGGGCGGGGGGTAGAGGCTGGGTTGGGGAATGAGAGGACGAGCGTACGGGATGGGATAGGAAGGGACGTGTGACACTGCACACAAGGGCAGTTTGGAAGCGAACTCTTGGTGCTGCTGCACCATGGTGTTTGTGTGTGTGGGTGTGTGTAGGGGATGGAGGAGGGTGGTCCGCATGCCACAGTGTGTGTGGGTGTGTGTACATCTGTGTCCTGTAGCGCTGCTAAAAGTCCTCGCAACTGCTTGGTGCTGATGATTCACAATAACCGAACACAACGGAAACCAACCGAAGCCCCGCCATGTCGCCAGGCCTGTGGAGTACGACTTTGGCGGCGGGCTGGTGGGTCACGTGCACCAGGGCCTTATGTCCGCGGCGTCGTACGTACAACTCAATACGGCGGCGGCACTACAGTCGGCGGCGACACGGTTCCCCGGCTGGCCGCTGCTGGTGACGGGTAGGGGTGGGGTGGGGAGGGGCCGGGGCGCGTGTGTACGTGGGTTTCGGAGCCTGGCGGACGAGTGATGGACGGGTTTCAGAGGCCAATAGACGAGTTGCGAGGTTTCGAATTTCGATGGAAATGGTTACGGAGGTTCTGGGTTTCGGAGATCAGGGAAATGGATACAAAAATGGTTTCGGAGCTCGGCGGTCCGAATCTAAAAAGCCCTTGCTTTACGCAGCCCTACTACCCCGACCGAAACATACCCACTTTCCGTCCTGTATGCTCAAGCGCACGGGCTTCTACATCCCCCCTCCACCTCACCTCACCTCACCTCACCCCGACACACGCACCCCTGGTACCTGCTTCAATCTTCTGGGGTTCGTCTTAACCAACACCCTCCACCCCACCCCCCTCCACCCCACCCCAACCCCCTCCACCCCACCCTGTCCTGAGCTTCCGGAGTTACATGGCGGCGGTTGCATCATGGCTCTTGGACGTTTGGACCTCTTGGGCTGTTGGCGCCCTAGACGTCGGGGCAGTTCTCGCTTCACCATTGCTTCACCTTGCACCATGATATGATTTCCCCACCCCTCCCAATCCCCGGCCCCACATCCCTACAACCCCCAACCCCCCAACCCAACTGCACCACATACAGGTCACTCCCTAGGTGCGGGAGTGGCGGCTCTGCTGACCCTCCTGCTGTTGCGCCGCGAACGGCCGATGGCAGCCCCCGCTGCCGTACCTGTCGTACACTGCCTGGCCATTGCCCCCCCTGCGGTGCTGTCTGCCAACCTGGCGGAGGCGGCTCGGGGGTGTTGTGTTTCGGTCGTGAACCAGGGCGACTTTGTGGCGAGGCTGTCGTGCTACTCTGTGGACCGGGCTCTTTTGGAGTTGGTGCAGGTAAAGTTGAAGAAGGGGGGTGGGCGGGGTTGGACGTGTGGATCGGGGGTTTGAGAATTGGGCGTCGTGTTCCTTGGTTACCCCGCGTCATCTCAACATCAGCACCAACATCAACACCATCTAATTTCTGCCCCTTCCCTCCCTCTTGGTCAGTTCTACTCTTCTGGTACACTCTTGTGCCCTGGCAGCAGCTTCACTCGTTCGTGGTTCGTCCTCTCCCCTCTCCACAACCCACCACAACCCAACCCCCGCTTTGGGCGCCTTCCCGCCGGCAGGCAGCAGTTCATTTCTGATTTCCCCCTGCATATGATTTCCCCCCTCACCCCCCCCCCTTCGCTCCCTCCGGCCCCCAACTCCATCCACTCGCATCCACCAGGCCAGTCCTGCAGCCCAGATGGCGGACAACCTGCTCCAGTCCACGGGCGCCACGTTGGCGGCCATTCAGCAGAGGCTGGCGGCGATCGGCGGCGCGGCGGCGGCCGGGGTAGGCAGCGGCCTGGGGGCCAGCGGCCTCGGAGGCGGCTTCCTGGGGGTGGCGTCGGGGCTGGCGCGCGGCGTCGGAGGTGTCGTACACTCGGTGGGAGAGCAGTCAGCGCCGGTGAGCCGGAGAGAGCGGTGATAGGAGTGGGATGTGATGTGATGTGATGTGTGTTCGTACATGTTTCCTGGTGGTGGTGGTGGTGGTGGTGATGGTGGTGGTGATGGTGGTGGTGATGGTGGTGGTGGTTGGACCCCGGGGGGAGGGGAAGATATGCAGAGTCCGACGCGTGTGTGTTTGTGTGTGTATGTATGCGTGGCGTGTGGGGAGGGGGAGGGGGAGTCGTGAGCGTACCCATCTCCGTTGGAAGGTTAAAAAAAGGAAGACGCTACAAGGCTCTCGAGATTTTGGGTCAGACGAGCATTTGGGTCGTACATTTAAAAAACGTACGACATAGCATATCCGTTAAATTTTATTATGTTGCGTTTTTTTAATTCACGGGAGGGCGTTAGGGTTTGGGAGGTGGGGGGGGAAAAATGGGGGCAGGGAGGGGGTTAAGACAAACCGCTGGCGAATGAAGTATATACCAGAAGTAGACGGATGGTCATCTTCATCTTCTCCGGAATAGGAGGCAGGGCGAGGTAGGTAAGAGGAGTTAGTTTTGGTGTCGTAACGTAAAGAAGTCGGTTGTGCCGTACTTACAGCCTGTGCCGTACTTACAGCCGGTGTGCCGTACATGTTGTACTTGCATTCGCTTCCGCAGAACCTTAGAGGGATGGAGCTGGAGATGGTGACGACGACCGCGATTGGCCGAGGCGGCGGCGGCGGCGGCGGGGGCGGTGATGGACCTCGAATTCGCAATGGCGCGGTGATGCTACAGCCGCCGCCGCCTTCCATTACGGCAGCAGCGGCAGGTACGGCAGCTGTACACGGCTGTGGTGGTCTGAAGGAGATTCCGCTGCTATCTGGAGGTGACCCTTTACCTCAACCCAACTACCATAACCACCATAACCACCAATTTAACGACCAGGGTTTCTATCATACCAATCATCTCAACCCACACCAACATCAGCTAAGTTCTGGTAACTGCCAACAGACGTCCCTTTTGCGACAGCAGCAGCAGCAGCAGCAAGATCAGCCGGCGGCGGCGGTCTTCAGCACCACGGCGGCTGTAGCGATGGCCGGCGGCGGCGCCGCCGCCGCTGCCACCCACATTCACACGCCGTCGCATCCACATTCACATGTACGAGCGGCGGGACGACGGTCCCTGCGACGAGCTCAGCGGCCTCATTCAGCTGGCGGTAACTGCCAGTCGACGCCGCTGGTTGTACGGCCTAGCGGCGGCGCCGTCAGCGACATTGACGAAGATGATAGCGACGGCGGCGACGCCTACTACGCAGACGCTGACGATGATCTCAGCGTCTTTACGGCGTTCAGCGGCGGCGCGGCGGCGGCGGCGGCGGATGCAGAGTCTGTCATCTCCTTTCAGTCTGCCGCCAGCCCACATGAGTCGTACATCAGCGCCGCCAGCAGCCCCGCCAGCCGCCTTTCCGTACATACTGAGGAAGCCGTCGATGCGGGATTCCTGTACCGCGCTTTACACCCAACGGATGTTCAGGTGCTGCAGGGCGACGGCAGCGCCGCAGCTTCCGCCCATCTTCCGCCGTACCGGCCCCGCACGCCAGCAGACCCCGCCGCTCCAGCCGCCGCGTCCGTACATCACCGCCATCGACACTCCAACCCACATTCCCAGCATAGCTGGCACCATCAAATTCAGCAGCACCACCGTCCTCACAACCCGGAGCGTGATCCGCAGTGGCATGCGACGGCGGCGGGACTCGCTGCGGCGGCGGCCGCCGCCGCCGTCGGCGGAGTGTCGTACGCCTCACACGAGCACCCTCAGCCACTGCAGGGCCAACATATTCAAAGCCAGCACCTTCCGTCGACCCCTGCTAGGGACATTCCCACACCTTCCCGTGGTGGCGACGGCGCTGGCGCCGGCGGCAGCGATCTGTACGGCATCACTACCTTCCAGTCGTCAATGCAGGCTGCTAGCGGCCGTTATGCAGCCCTCACGCCGCAGCCGACCCCGCCGCCGGAGAGTCTCATCGAGGCCGTTGTTCCCGGCGTCGGGTCGGGTGGCTGGAGCCTTGACGCAGCGGCGCCGCCGCCGCCGCCGCCACCACCTCACCCGACTGTGGTTCCGGAGCTAGGTCCCCGGCGGAGCAGCGACCCGCTGGCGTTTCGTGGCCCGCTGCACCGGCAGGCCAATGGCGTGTACGCCGCCGCCGCCGCCAGCCTTAAAGACCGCTTCGGGTTCGGCGGCCTGGGTGGTGGAGGTGGTGGTTTCGGAGCGCGGCGTATGCGGTCACGGTCGCGCGGCGACGGCGAGCGCGGCCGCGGCAGTGGCGACGGCGGCAGCGACGGCGCTGGCGGCAGCGGCGGTGGCGGCGGCTTGGACAGCATAATTAGCTGGGAAGCCCTCAGCCAGAAGCTCATGACCTCTTGGTTCGGGCAGGGCTTCTTTGCAAGCGAAGAGGAGGAAGACGAGGAGGCGGAGGAAGAGGACGACAGTGATGGTGCTGACGCAGCGAGGCACGGCGGCGGCGGCGGTGGCAACGCTGGCGGTGGTTTTGGCGGCTGGTGGCTGGCAGCGATGACGACTGTCGGAGGTGCGGCGGCGGCGGTGGCGGCTTCGCCGACGCCGACGCGGCCGCCGGCTGACGGCCTTGACGCGGCGAGCAGCAGCGGCATGACTTCTTGTTGGCCTGGCTTAGAGGTACCTTGTCTTGCTTACACTTTTGCACTTGTACTATGTTCCACTTTCAAAGCTTTTAAAGCTTTTAGAACTTTTTGTGAGCTTTTAGAACTTTCACGCTTTTAGGTATGTATAGTCAGGTGTGGGCTCAAACGGATGGAAGGAATCCGAAATAATTTGGTGGTGGTGTGCGATTGCCAAGCTTTAGACATTGCTGAGTTGTTTTTCTCGTTACCTTACGGTGCTTCGTGCTGCGTTGTGTTTGTACTTAAGACGTTTTCCTCGTTTTTGCTGCCCCTTCCCCCATCCTCCGCCTCTTCCTCCTGTGCCCCCCATCTTTTTCTCTCGTTGCTGCCCTCACCTCCTTCACCCTGGCCTGCAGGAGCCTCCAGGGCCACATCGGCATCCAGACGCCGTGGGGGCGGCCTTGCGCGGCAAATACGGTGCAGTGACCCATGGGTCGGAATCGTGGGCCTGGGCGGAGGCCGCCGCTCCAGTCGCCGCCTCTGGCGCCGCCCCTGGGACATCTGCCGGTGCACCGCCGCCAAGCTATGGGAACCAGCAGCAACGGCAGCAGCCTGCGACGGCAACGGCGGCGGCGGCGGCGCCGGCGGCGGCGGAAGCCGATTCCGTCTGGCCAAGCGGCAACGGCGCCGCCGCTGGCAGCGGACCCTCGGGTCAGCGACGGATACTGCTTCACCGGCCAAGCCGCAGCATGCCGGCGGACGAATTACGGTACGCGGCGGCGGCGGCCGCGGCGGCGGCGACTGTTGGCGGCGGCGGGTATGTATTGCCCTCAGCCGGGGAGGGGGCAGCGGGGCCGGGGGCACCCGGCGGCTGTGAGTGGAGCAAGGTCGTCGATCACGGCACAGGAGCCGCCGCCGCCGCCGCCGCGGCTTCCGTCGGCGGCGACTCCGGCGCGGCGGCAGATGCAGCGGCCGCGCAAGCCGTACCACACTATCTTCACTCCGTACATAAGGAGCTGTACCCTCCGGGCCGGCTGTTATGGATGGTTGTAGACGACATCGAGGCGTTGCCGCCGGTGGTACGGCAAAAGGTGCCGTCGTGCGGGTACCTTGGCCGGCACACCAACGCCACCGGTGGCAGCGACGGCAACGGCGGCGGAAGCCGTAACGGCAGCAGCGCTGGCGATGTAGCCATTCAAGAAGGCGGCGGCAGTGGCGGCGGCGCCACGGTTCCTGCCGCTCCAGGTGCTGCCGTCACCGGGCTGTCGGCAGCGCTACCCGTGGCGGAGGCGGCTGCAGCGACGGCGGCTGACGAGGACAGGGAAAGCCATCACCGTCGCCAAATCCTGCCACCGCCACCGCCGCTGCCGCCGCCGCAGCGGCAGCAGCAGCAGCAACCACAACAAGATCGGCAGCAGGGGGACGCGGAGGCAAAGGAGAAGACCTACCGCCTCCCACAGGATTCGTCTTTTGTGACTGACATTAGGGGGCCCGTGGCGATAGGACCCGATGTGGCGGCGTCCTTAGCGGCCGATGGGGACGAGGCCGGCGGCGGCAGGCCGACCGTAGCGGCGGCAGCGGCGGCGGCGTCGCCGTCGCCGTCACCGTCGCCTAGTGGCTTTTCTACTCCACCAAGCAAAGTCGCCGCCGCCGCGGCGCCACCCTCGCCTCTGGAAGTGTCTCGGGAGGGTCGTACGGAGCCAGCGGCGGCGGCAGCGGCGCTGGATGCACAGGCGGGCCGTGGTGCTAGTGCTACTGCCTGCTCTAGGGACCGCGCGTCGTCGCCGGCAGTAGCACCGCCGGCGGAGGTGGATACGCTGACGGCAGCGGGGCCAAAGCAGCGGCGGGTCAGCTTCTTCGGAAGTCAAGACGAGCCGCAAGTGCCGGAGACTGCCGCTGCAGCGTTGGAGGCGGCAGGAGCCATGCCGCAGCGGGGCAGTAGCAACGGTAGCAGCAGTGGCGGCGGCGGCGGCGGTGGCGGCTTCTTCCGTCAACAACCCACGTCGAGCACTGGTGGCGACGACGACGGGCGGGCAAGTTCCTTGTCGTCCCCGTCTGCCCTTGACGCGTGTGCCGCCTCCATCGCTGTGGCCGTTGCCGGCGGCAGCGGCATCGCCGGCAGCATTGGCGGCGGCGGCGGCGGCGCTGGCTCGGCCCCCTTCACGACGCGTGTACGGGAGAGCCTCAAGCGCATCAAGTCCGGTGTCGAGACGATGCTACGCCAGGCACCTTTGCCTGCCGTACCCTCCATGCCTTTCTTGGCCGCGGTGCCGCCCGGCGGCGGCGGCGATGGCTTTCCTGCCTCCGCCAATTATAAGCCCGGTGACGGCGGCGGCGACGGCGGCGGCGACTCGGATGCAACATTGTTCGGTTTCCAGTCCGCCGCCGCCGCGGCTGCTGCCGCTGGCCTGTCTCAGTTACAGGGTCAGGAACAGCAACAGGCAACGGCGGCGGCGGCAACGACCCATGGGTCACAGAGCCAAGCCCAGGGTCAGTGGCTCTTCCTCGTAGAAGCCGACCGTGAAGTCTTCGAGCGGATGATCCTCATTCCCGCGAGCGTTACGGACCACCTGCCGGACGCCTATTTCCAGCGGTTGAGACAACTAGCCAAGGGCGGCGCAGCGGCTACAGCTGCTACTGCTGCAGCGGCAGCGATGGCTGCGGCGGCGCCAGCTACAGCTGTCCAAGGCACTTCGTCGTAGGTGCGTCATCAGTGCGGGGCCGGTGAAGCGGGCCGTCCCAGAACACTCTGCGGCTGTTTGTGTGTGTTTGTCCGTGTGTCTGTCTGTGTGTGTCTGTCTGTGTGTGTCTGTCTGTCTATGTGTTTCTGTTACACATCGATCCGGGCCTGACGCTGGCCAGGGGCACCTAACCCATGTCCGTCTTGAAACGGCTACAGAAAAGCCACCAGGGCACCAGAGCGCGGGGCCCGCGGGCTGTAGTCCGCTGATGGCGCCAGCAAAGCCCTCTGGCAGCTGCGTCGCCCGTCAGGGGCGTTGCGGAGACGGAGACTCGCCCGCCGGTGGTGGTGGCGGCGGCTGAGGCATCAGAGAGGCCAACTAGCAGCTGAGGGGGGGGGCAGGGCGATGAGCAAGCACACGGCCATGAGTTTGCTTCATGGCTTCCGCCTTGCGGTCTAGTTTTGGTAATCCTGCAGCCAGTGCTGGTGGCCATGAGCAGAGGGGGGCGGTGTTGTGTTGAGACCAGCGCAGTGAATACCTTTTGCGATGGTGTTGTTGTGGGTTGTTGCCGGGGAGTGTGTGTGAGAGAGAGAGGTGGGAAGTGCGTGTGTGCATGCGTGTGTGTGTGTCTGTGTGTGTGTGTGTGTGTGTGTTTGTGTGAGTGGATGGGTGTATGTGAGAGAGAGAGAAAAGAGAGAGAGAAAAAAAAGAGACAGGGAGATAGCGCTAGCGACTCGCTTGGTGGTGTGCCTGCCCGGCGGCGCCTGAGTGCTGAGGGAGGGGGGAATAGCACAAAATCGCCGTCGGTGCTCAATTAAGATTCAGAAAAGAGCAAGAAGCGAAAAAAGCAAATGAAATTTGAAAGAGGAAAAGCCACTAAAGCCGTTTTGCCAACGAATTTGGATCCTTTTTTGGTTTAGATATGGCCCTAAAACGCCCAGGACCTGACGTGGAAGGTCTATGGGTGAATTCTAATTCCGATTTGGATCCGATTTGGATTCGTAATTTGGGCAAAAAAATAACGGCATCTGCCTGCAGGAGGGCGCTGTTGGTGTTCCCTTGCGGACTTCAAAACTGGCAATAATTCATGAAAGTGGCGATAATGTCGTCGGCTTATGGAATTTTATTTAGATCGCGTCACATACGAACAGCAGCTCACATACGAAAGCTCGTCCAGGTCTCCATAATCTTCAAATTCGATCATGGAGACATGGCGCACTTCCAGAAATTTCTTCGCTCGGTCGGCAGTTGTACGGCAGTACTTTCGTGTTCTGGCGCGTCGTGAGATCGGGAGGATAGGTGGTGAGATTCGCGGCGGGGGCGGGGGGGGTTTCGTTCCCTTTCCAGTGTGTGCCTGGGGTGAGACGTGTCGGCCGGCAAATTGTGTGTGTATGTGTTCGTACGTGGTACGTTTATTCCGAGCCCCCGCTGTTTGCAACAGAGCTCCGGTACCTACAGACCTGGGCGCCGGAGTCATAACTGCTAGAGTAGGATAGGACAGAGGTGGTGGGTGGGAAGCGAGGTGAAGACAGGGCGGGAGGCGGAGAGGGAGAGAGAGAAAAAGAAAGAGCTGGAGAAAGGGCGGGAGCGATTAGAGAACGCGTTTGTCTGTGTGTTTTCATCATGATCTGAGCCGCTAGGAGGAAATGCTTATGTGTGTGTGTCTGTATGTGTGTGTCTGTGTATGTGTGTCTGTATGTAATGTAATGCGTCCATGTTTTTCCCGCCAAGCGTTGCCGTTGCTGTTTGTTCTATAGGTTGCTGACAGGGGCACGGACCTCTCTAGCCGGGGGGGCAGGGGCCCGTGCTGGTCACCTCCCTGTAGTCGGCGGGGGCCCGGTGGGGCGGTGAGTGGGCCGGTGGACGCGATGGCGCACATGTCTGGTGGTGCTGGAGGTGTGTGAGGTTTGGTTGCTGCTGGTGCTGGTGCTGCTGGTGCTGGTGCTGCTGGTGCTGGTGCTGCTGGTGCTGGTGCTGCTGGTGCTGGTGCTGGTGCTGGTGCTGCTGGTGTGTGTGAAGGTTACAGGTATCTGACCGGGCCTGCCACTGGCCAGGGACTGTGTATGTATGAGTGTGTGTTGCTGCTGCTGCAATTGCTACACTTGGTACTGCTGCTGGCTGCTATTTGACGACCTGCTGCGTCAAGATGATACCCGGCGTAGAGTCTGCTACTGCCGCCGACCCGCTGCCACTGCGGCGCTGTCAGTCTGGCCTTCTTCCTAGGTTGCGAGTTTGTTGGGGCGGGTATCCACATTGGAGTCAGTCACGGGTCAGTCAAGGGTTACCACCTAGTATACGCACATATACCCTCACGCACATACATACATACATACATATATACACAACACACACAAAAAGAACGGTGACATGCCCCTCTGCATGGGAACTGTTGTATGCCATCAGTTCGGTCCGGTACAATGTACGTGAGGCAGATCGCGGCGTTGGAGGTACACTATGGTACGGAAAATGCTTACGGACGTGGCATATGAACCTTCCCATGTAAGCACGAACAACGCAACCTATTGATATGCAGTTTGGTAACCCGGTTATGTCGTCACCGGGCCCTGCGTATTCTGAACTTAATGGTAATGGTAATAGTGGTGGTGGTGGTGGTGGTGAGATGACAATGCCATTGTTGATGCCAACCTTTCCGGAGAGAAAGGAAGACATGACACTTTTGGCGCTGGGGGCTGATGTCATGGCTGGTAATCATTCAGTAACTTCGGTGCGCGTGTCATACTTGTCATGTGCTGCTGGTGTTTTGCCTATCTTCGATGCGTGAAGGTACGCTTGTCGTGCTTTTTTCCGCACACTTGCAGAAAAAAAGTTCGTCTTCCCGGATGGGGAGAATATTCTCGTGCTAGTTCGTGTTATGAACACGCGCAGCGATTTGGGTCACGGCATGAACGGTCGCTGTTTGTGTGTTTCTGTTGCTTTGGACAGATTCCCTTCGCCCTTACGCTGATGCCGTATATCAGTCAGTTTGGACAGCGCAGGAGGAGAAATGGGAGGAGGAGAAGGAGGAGGAGGATGCGTAAGTGTCGATGCGGAGGATGCGAATGGTCATGTGTGTGTGTGTGTGTGTGTGTGTGGAGAGACGAGCGTTCCCTGCGTCGGGTGCTGATGTGCCTTGTCGTGCAAGATTGTAACGCAGAACGGGCAGGGAGCTACATGCAGAGCCGCCGGGATCAGATGAGCAAATATATAGAATAATAATAATAATAATAGTAATAACACAATATGGCAAAATACGCTCATTGCAATGTCCCCAAGTGCCCTCTAATGCTCTCTAACGCCGCGGCTCCAAAAGAGATTCAGGAAGCGCGTGCGTGCGTGTGTGTGGGGGGGGAGGGCGAGCGTGGCGTGTGTGCATGTATGTATGTGTGTGAATGTTACAAGTATCTGACCGGGCCTGACACTGGCCAGGGACTGCTGCCCAGCCCCAACGGAGAGACCGCCTAAGCTCTCTCCCGCGGAGGGGAGAGGGGCTTGAGGGATCTCTGGCCCCCTCCTACGAACGCAGGTCCGCTAGCTCCGCTCTTTCCCCCCGGGGGAGGTGGGAGGCGTCGCACGCGCGCACGAGTCAAGGCTCTGTCACTCGAGTTTGCGTGTTAGACCTCGAGTTACGTTACCTTCCAAAGGTGTAACGGGCACGGAAAAGTATAATTATCCCATCACAAGGAAAGCAGTCCCGAACTAACCGATTATGTGGTAGAGCGGTGTGCCTCAGCTGGTATGCGACCTCGCCTTTTTGCCGGATATAATGGATAAGGTTATCCAACTTTGCAAGCTGGTCAACTGCTACCATATCGCATCCTCCACACCTCAGCCTGTTCCGCTTGAAAGCCCCCAGCAGCCCCGGCATGGCCTACACTTGCTGGGCTATATATGCACGGCCATTGCCCAGAACATCAGACTGTCCAATCGACATCCTCTTGGAAAGTTTAAATCTCATTGCAGTTGCTTCAGTGTGGATGAAGAATAGTCCGTTCATGTGATTGCTGGTTTTGGTCAATCCATACGCGTTTCTTCTTTTCGCGGTTTCGCGTTCCATTGTCGGGGGCTGCGTTTCCAGGACACCGGTTCGTGCTTCATATGACGCTTCAAGGCCTTCGTTTGTCCAAAAAACTTGTAACTTAGAACTCTCGCCGTTACCGCTCTCAATAGCAAAAAACACTAGCTAAAGCGCGGGAAAAGAAACCTTTCTGACGCAGTCTCCATTAACGCGAGATTCCAGAACTACGACCCGGAGCAAGTCGAAGCGATGTAACCGGCCGAGTTGGGGATTGAGTACGGAACTAAAGGCTGAGTACGGGTCGGTTTCTTCGGCCTCTAGGAGTGAACAGGCATCAATTCATCGACCTTACATTTAACAACTTTGTGACAAAATTAGATTGTTGTAATATAAACTTGGTTATTAAATAACTCCTCGGCATGAGATGCGTGTGAGCTTCGCATCGGGTGAGCATCCGTTCTCGTTTTGCGCGGGCACATTATTACGGCAGACGGCGATGTCTTCCAAACAAATGTGACTACCAGTCTGGCAGCAAAAATTGAATATTTTACTCTGATCCTATGGTTAACATTCAAAGTTTCTGCATCACGTGCTTCTTGGGGGTCACGGGACATAGACGCCGCCCAACATGTAATCTCTCGATTTCCAAAGGCCTTGGCTTGGCACATACAGCGGGTTATAGGGCGTAAAGCTATTATAGCCCACACTAACTATAAGCGGGCATCACGTACTGGTTAAGCGCCTAAGGGAATCAAGTAGAGGCACAGAACCGTACGGTATCTGCGAGGTCACATCAATTGCATCCCCCATTGAGTGCAGCGGCATCATTCTTTTTCATTAGGTTGTACTTTAACTGGATTCATAGATTTACCTATTTTTTCAACCAGCTTTGGAATGGCAGGTTTTCAGCACACACTAACGATACGGCAGATTCTGCTCGCACAAAACACAGATTCCTCAAAAGGAACGTACATTGACATGAAAGATTCCAGTCTGGACTAGATTATGTGCCATGCCTGAATACTTGTTTTATCTTAACAAAGCTACTGGCAATCACCGATTTTGGCGAGCCACTGAATCGCTCGTCTATGTAGCGCACTTATACGTCTAAAAACGCAAATTTTCATCATTGCACAATTGTGTTTTTAGCGTCATTAGCTTACTGACTTATGCACAAGGCCAAGAGGCCTTCACTTTTGAAAACCTCCGGGGCCTGACCGGCCGGGCATGACGACCAGCCACATTACGATATCTCCTGAGCAACAGAATTACAAGCAGTGACTTTCAAATTGATGTCGGAGCTTCAAGCAGCGTTGGCAAACAGCAAGTGGCGGAAGATGGCAGATGCCGCGCCGCCCGCTGACTCTTGCAAGTTTGCATCTTCCACCCAGCCTCACGCCAACAGAAAGCTCAAGATCGCCGCTTCTTTTGCGCGCCGTCTGAAAAAGTTCCTGAGCAGCATAAAGCGGCGGGCCCAACAGCATGATCCATTCCCCAGCGCTACCTTCCTACCCAACACCAGCAACAGCCCTTCTGACAACAACAGCAATCTAGCAACACCTATTTTTGGACGATACAGTGAAAAATTTACAACGACAGCAGCGCTCTCGTCCGATACGAATTCGGCGTCTTCCGTTCTACGCGGCGGCTCAGAGAGCGAGCTTCCTGTCCTGCGGAACGTCTCCTCCTCACCCAGTCCCTACGGCAACAGTAATAACGGAAATCGAAGCCCACTTCTTAGTCCAACCTTACTCGGTGGCTTTTCTCTCGGCGCGATCAAGGTTCAACACCAACAACAAACGCCCCTGCAACACCACATTTCAGACGATGCTCTCAGTCGCTGCATAAACAGCCCTCCTAGCAAGCTTCTCCATCTTACCGCAACCACCACAACCACCACAACCGCCGCAACCACCGCAACCAAAGTAGCTATCGCAGACTCCCCCCGAAGGATTGAAGCGGCGACGTATGGGGATGGGCCAACAGGCACGCAACGGCAGCAGCTTGCCAGCTTGTACGGCACCAATCGCAAAACTGAAGCAGATCCGCACCTTGCAGTTGCCTCCTCTTCCTTCTTCAGCTGCCTCTCGGGACGGGATAACCTAGTGGACCGCTGCGGGGCGCCGCCTCCGCCGCCTCAACAGCCCCCACATCTGCGACATCCACTGCTCCCAAACCATTTAACTTTGCACCCTAACGGCAAGACGGCTGCTGCAGTAGATATGGCGGCTTCGGCGGCGGCGGCCATGTCGACCATGTCAGCCTCCGCGGGTTCGACGCAGGCCCCGCCGCCGTCACCAGAACAATGGTTGAATGCTTGGGAACCCATCGCGCCGACCTCCGCACGATGCAGCGAGTCCGATAGCTTCGTGCAAATAGGCCGCATGCAAGGTAGGGGCTTGCAATCGCCGCTGCAGCCGTCGCTGCAACAGGCCCCTCTCTGCTTCGCGTCCATTCAGGAGAATAAAGAGCTTGATCAGGCAACATGCGCCATCCTGTCGCCCGGTACGACACCCCGAACCGGCAGCCCCGTAGATCCCCTGTGGCTTTCTGCCAAAACCGAGCGGCGGCTCATGCCTGCACAGCAGTACGACAGGCCATCCACAGCACGCCGCCTCGCGTACCAGGCTCCAGAGATGGCGGCTGCCGTACGAGCTGCTGCTGCTGCCGGCGGAAACATTGTCTCAAACGCTGCCATAGCCACCATTGCTTGCGGTGGAGTAGGATGCGAGGGAAGGATTCGAGCTGGGATGTTGGCGGCGGCAGCGCTGCAAGCAAATGGCACATGCAGCAGGGGTGGCGGCGGCATTGCAAGTTCGGATGCCGTACGACATGCTGGCTCGGTGGGCAGCGTGGGAGTGACGGCAGCGACCGAGAGGACGATGGTACCTACCGCTACCGCCGCCGCCGCTGCCACCACCGATGCCGCCGTCGATGTTGCCGACGGCGCCGCCGCGTCGCCGGCGGTGCCGACGCCCTTCAGGTCACTGGTGTGCGATGGCTCTGAAGAACCCATGGTGGCTATATCCTTCAATGCCATCGGCATCAGTGATTGCGGCTCGGGCGGGGGCCCCAACGGCAGCGGCGCCGGCGATGGCGCCGCAGCCACTACAACCGCCGTCAAGCCGCCCGGCACCGCCCAGTGTGGCTGTAGCCCGGCGCACGCCGCGACTACTGCGCCATCGTGCGCCACAACTACTGGGGGTGCCACTGCTACTGTAACAGCGGCTAGCTGCTACAGTGTACCCCAGACAGGCGTCGCCGCCGCTGCAGCCTGCAGCAAGCGCGCCGCCGCCGCCGCTGCTGCAGCTACTGCTACTTCTGCAGCTACTGAAAATGTCGACTGTGGTGGAGGAGTTAACTTACGAGTCGCGAAGCCGCCACAGCCGCCACAGCCGTCGCAGCCGCCACAGCAGTCCGTCGGGTCCTGTGAGATTCTGGCACTCAATCCCGGAATGCCCGCCGCAATGCGGAGGTCGTCGTGGTGCCTTGACAACTACAATATCACGAGGTAAAGCACAAACACATATGTAAGGTAGAAAGCCTAATTAAGTAACCTTCTAGTTCTAGTACGGCGTAATAGGCCGTTATCATCGTGGGAGGTCTAGCGGTTGCTGGCAGTTATTCGTTAGCTAGGTGATTCTCGCCATCTTCGTTGCGTTGCATAACCTCGGGGTTGCGGCGGGGGGCCGGCGAGAGGTCGCAATTCGAATTCTTCAGCCGCGGGTCACAGCGTTGTTTCTTTTCTGTCACTCCCCAAAACATCTTTTGACGCCTAACGGCGCACGGAAAAGACTGTTTTCGGACATTTTTCTGCCTTGTCATTTCGGAACCCGCGGGCAGCGCCGGAGAAGGGGAGCCTAATTAGGCATTTTTCGGCTGTGGGTACTGACTGCTGCTGTGGTGGGTTCCGCAGTACCTCCTGCAGAACCCATTGGCAGTGGCGGTAGCGCGGCACATTGCTGTGAATGACGAGAACTATACCTTGATGCATTCCGCCCTGCTACTGCTTTTAACCTCCTGCTGCAGCTGCTGCTACTGCCATACCTGCTACTGCTGTTCTTTGCCACACAAGCTCCCTGCGCACATTTTGCCATTTCTTTGCCATTTTGTTGCCATATTCAGGAGGTTATACAAGGGCTCCACTTCCGCTGTTTACAAGGTATGTAAAAAGTGTCGGTGTGTGGCCGGATCCGAAACCTCTTTCCGTTTGGACCGTTTGGAAGATTTAGTAAATGATGATAAATGGGGACACACGGGGGCCCATACGGGAAGTTGAGGGCCTTATGGACGGCCAATTTAAAGGCCTGGGACAGAGATCATTCAAACGGGGGGCATTCAGGCCACTGGAAACCTTCACCTATTTATTTGTGTCCATCAGTAAACGTACGAATGTACGGCGTTTGTATCTTCATCGTAGCCCCCCGGCCCCCGGCTGCTTACAAGCTCCACAGGCGGTTTGCCGACAGAGCGGCGTGCAAGTGGCACTCAAGGTTTACTTCCTGAACCGAGTTCCAGGTGCCGTACTGCACATGATCTGTCGCGAGATCGAGATCCACGCCGCGTTGGCGCACCCCAACATCATAATGCTCTACGCGGCTTTCCGGGTGAGCTCGTTTTTTGTCGTATTTGCCGGTATTGCTGCCGTACATGTTCGCCAGAAAGACAAAATCGTTTCGAATGCTTCCTTTTCCTCATTGAGCAACAAATTGTATATGTGATATGATAATTGTTTGTTTAACATTGGTGATTTCATGTTTTTGCGGATCTCCTTGTTGTAATTGTGAATCAAATTCCTAATCACGATGCATCGCGCGCTGGTCACCGACCGCAGTCCAATCGGCATCTGACGCTGGTTCTGGAGTATGCATCACGTGGCGATCTGTACGGCATTCAACAGGCCTGCTGTAACCGCCGTATGGACGAGCGACAAGCTGCGGGTGAGAGGCAGCTAGTATCGCATTGTCTCATGCGATCCCATTTGTCCTTTCTTGCGTACTGCTTAAAAAACTAATGTTATATATTTATTACGCAAAATTTATACGTATTAATTTCTGTCTGCTCGGTAGTTTGGACAGCCTTAGCACCACAACGAGTTATTCGCCCCATTCAACGACTTCATGAAACGTATCCATTCGCGGCCGGCCTCTCAACCTCACCATTTTCCAGCAGTTTTCCGCGGGTAATGGGGTCCAATTTATTCCGAACCAAGGTATGCTCTTCTAAGTCATGCTGGTTGAACTAATCCTCAACCGTGAGGAGGCGCTGGGCCCCCTCCAGGCCGCAGAACCCCTGAAAATGACAAACTTCATTTGCCAAGACAGGCCAAGACGGAGCTGTTCCGGGCGACTCTGGCGCAAGGAATTGAATGGAATTGTTGCAGAGTGGGAGGCTTCTGGGCCACTTGTCAATTCTACGATTTATCACACCATACAGCACCATCCACTCACCATTACCAGTACTACATCATACGAAGTGCAAGTCCACGGCGGTTGATCCTGCCTTCTAGGATCTCTCCTCATCCATTCACCCAAACATCCGCAGAGACAGAGGGTTCAGAAATCGCCACCAATCCAGCGTGCAAATCTCAATCAATTAACTGTGATCTCAACTTCACAGCTCAGATAATCCCACGCTCCCGACAACGTCGGGGGTCTCCCCAGGAATCAAGCCCAGGAACTTTATTTGTGTAAAACAGTAGTGTCAACCAGACCAGAGGAATGAACTTGTACGGCCGGACGCGAATCCATTCCTTTTCCACAACGGGGTCGAAAACCCACCACCGTCGATTTCATTCCTTTTTCAAGGAATCTAAATAAATTCTTTTAGGAAAGATACTGTTAGCCATTCTTCCTTACACCTCAACACCAACACCCCTCGTTTTTGTCAACCAAAAATCCCCCTCAGAGGTCGTGCTCGTCCCGTTGCTGGACGCGGTGTCGTACTTGCACGACAACGGCTATTGTCATCGCGACATAAAGGTATGGCGATGTTGCAGTGCTACATCGAAGTAGCGATGATCCCTATGGTGGTCTTCGAAGGGTTTGTTTCCTGATGCGGGCCGATCCGCTTGCGGGTTTCAGTGGATGCACGTGTTCCTGAGTTCCCCATAAACCATTGTTTTTTGTGTGTATGTGTATGTATGCGTATGTATGTGTATGTATGTGTGTGTATGTATGTGTATGTGTGCGTATGTTTGTGTATGTGTGTGTGCATGTGCGTGTGGAGGGGGGAAATGCGGTCCACCGGGGTCGGGGTTCCCAGTTTCAGGAGGGTGATTCTCCGTGGGGCAGTACTCTGTGAAATTGAAGGGTGCCTCTAGATCATTTATTTTCAGGCCTATCTATTATACCATGGCACGAACTTATAGTAGACCATTCTATGCCACCATGAATCTATACATGCGATTTATTTCTCAGTCCTATATCTGTTTTACATTCCACTCGCCCTCATGCCGTGAAAGTTGCCTTCTGTGCCTTCTGCTGCTGCTGCTGCTGCTGCTGCTGCTGCTGTTTGCTGTCGTCCTGTGCTGCCACCAACAACGAGGCAACAAACGCACTCCTCTTTTTGCGCTGACGGAGACTGTATGTTCGAAACTGATCTAATGGATTCCCTCTCTGAATCCCCTGACCTCCTCTTACAGTCTCGTTTTTTTTATTTTTTTCATGTATAGCTTAATGAGCATATATGCATTTTTTTCCTAATCCATTGTTATATTTATATATTCATGGATGAATGCAGCCGGAAAACGTGTTGTTCACTTCCGACTGGAAGCTCAAGCTGGCGGACTTTGGCGTCTCCATCGACCTCTCCAAGGAGCGAGCGGTCACACGCACCGGCACTGGTGGGGCCGGGGGCGCTTGGGCTTGGCCGTTATGTTCAGTTTGATCGGGATGCGGTTGTGTGTGTACGTGTGAAAAATTGACTGAAGATTGATTGTAAAATCATAGTTTGTTATCACAGTGGTTCAGGTGCCCGCTGTAAGAGGGATCAGCCTGGCATTTCCCTGAGTACTTTTTGCCTGGTGTTACATTGGTGCGAATTGCTAGGAGGTGGGAACTCCCCGGATCGAATCCGGTTGCGAACAGATCGCACACCAGGCACGATGCAGCATACTCTTACCCCAAGGTGGATGCCCGGGTGGGCGAGAAGTCTACCAGCTGAGAAAACCAAAGGCCGCCTTCTCGGACGGAGACTGACGAAATGTCACAATACCAACAAAACTCACAATCCTACGGGATCTCAAACAACCTAAATCCTACGGGATATGCCCGGGGGCGCCCGAGGACGTTCGCTCGCCGGGGGGGAGGAATGTAAGAGGGATCAGCTCCCCTGGCATCTCCCAACTGAGTACTCTTTGCCTGCCTGTGTTACACCCGCAATACAGTAGTCTGTCCTCCAGATACGATATTGCGAACTCAATCTGACGAGCTGCAAGTGGGATTTCATTTTGGTCTATGATGAGAGCTTCCTCCTTCCCTGTGTTTCCCATTATTCCCCTCGTATTGCTCGGCTGCTACTGCTATTGCTGCTACTGCTAATGTACGGCGTACATTGCACGCTGGGTGTTCGTCGCTCTTCCTTCCCGTCCTCCCCCGGCTGGATGGACATACGACCACCATGCATCCCCAGTGACCTATATGGTGAGTACATATGTCGTACGTATGTTGTACTGCTAAGGGAAGCGCGTGCGCGTGCTCGCTCAGGCTAGGTTGTAGTTGTCGTATATATGCTTGTAAGATACACACGCATGATTTTCGGTTGTTGATGTTTCGAATTGCTGTTGCTGCTGCGGCGGCTACTGCTGCCGCTGCTAGCGTTATTGCTACTATTACAGCTAACTACTATTACTGCTACTGCTACTACTTCTGTTACTGCTACTGCTACTGCGGCACTGCTTGCCGCTCCCTGTTCCCTATTTCAAGGATATTGCCCTCCTTCATTGCCATCCACAGCGGCAATACGATAGGACAGCTTGACTTCATGCATTCATGCATTCTCCGTCCATATTAAACATATTCCCGTCCTTGGCCTTTCCCGCCTACACATTCGCCTTTCCCCCTGCACATAAGGCCCCGGAAGTCGCCCGCTGTCCCCTCAAGATCCATCCGGAGGACAACAAGCTTGATGAACACCTCGCGTACGGCACCGCGTGCGACATCTGGGGCTTGGGAGTGCTGACGTACGAGCTTCTTGTTGGGTTCACACCCCTGAATGCGCCGGCGCTACCACCGCCACCGTACGACGGCGGCAGCAGCTGCAGCGGCGGCGGCGAAACGGCGGCGATGCAGACTCAGCCAGCGCTCATCTTTCCAAGTTGCATGTCACGGGCGTCCCGAGATTTCGTCGCGCGGGCTCTTGCCGTACGACCCGAGGATCGCCCGTCCGCGCATTGGTTTCGGCGCCATCCCTGGCTGACGCCGATGGGTCGGTAAGGGCCGGCATCGGCGGTGACGGTGACGGTGGCGGTGGCGGGTTGGCCGCAGGTACTTAGGGTTTCGGAGCTCCGGAAGGCCCTTCACGGCGGATGGCCACCTGACCTAGTAGGTGGGGGCTCTCTTTGATGAGGGAGTACGATAAATAGATGGAGGGAGACCAAGGGGTTTGGTAGCTGGTCCGGAGCTGGTCGGGCTGCAGGATCAGAGAGATTTTGGCCAACAGGTAACAGGACCTACTCGGTGGCAATAAAGAGGAGGACGGATTCGCTGTCCCCCTCCCTTGGAAGGTCTCGGACTATTATCCTTTTTACCGTCGTACAGCACGTGGCATCAAGGTACGGCAGGCAGCGGACAGCTTGAATGGGGTCAGTGTGTGGGAGAGCAAGATGTACGGTATCGGGTGGTACGACCGGACCCGAACTGTAGATGTAGATGTCCGTGTTGCATTTCCTGCTCCCTGCGCGTCTTATATGTTTGCGTCTTTGTGCTGCTTGTGTATGTGTACGTGTATGAATATGTGTGTGTTATGAAAATCAAGGCCATTGCCTGGGTTAACGGGCGGGGGTTGGGGGGGGGTGAAGAGACATTCACATTTCCTGTTCGTACAGCTTTACGGAGCAGCAGGTAATGAAGAATTGTGGCCGTGAAGAAAAGCGGGGCTGATTGCCGAAGATGGCCTTGTCTGTCTGTCTGTCTGTCTGTCTGTCTGTCTGTCTGTCTGTCTGATGGCCGAAGAAGAGAGCTAGAGCACAGAACTCCGATGGTGAGCGAATTGCTCGTTCAGCGCAGGGACGAATGGCGGCGGCGGCTCAACAGGCTGCACGACATGCAGTGCATAGCGATGCTACGTATTATATCATATAAACATATATAATGTGTTGAGCTTTATATATAGGCTCGCTGGCTGCTTGGCTGCTGGCTGCTATACATCTTATTCTGGCAGCATTCAGGTTGCCCTAATTTTTCGTGTCAACAACGGAATAACAGATCTTCTCCTAGAGGTCGGTCCCTCCCGCCAGCTACTACTTCGGATGGCGCAATATAAGATGCTTCCCGGAGGAAAGCGTGGGAATTATGTTTCATTCTCCTTGTGCTTTGGTTGGATTGGATTAGATTGGATGGTGATTGGAGGGGGGCGATGGATGTTTCTTTTCGACGATGCGCATTGGGTGATATGATTGACAAAAACAATCAAGGCATGCGGGAGGATGGCTTAAGCAGAATTTCCGTTTTGAGAAATAGTGTTTGCCATTGTCAGGATGTACGGCCCTACATCCAGCGTACGGCATTGGACGATTGGTAGCCATGGCCACATGTAGATGATCATATTTTTTAGGCATTGCACAGGTTACAGGTTCCTCTTGAACATTCCTCAGTGGCCAGGATTATTAGGGGTTCCGCGATCAACGGTGTCACTCGTTTGCCGTACTTGCATACGACTTCTTTTTCCCTCGAAGCGCATCCTTGGTCATTTAGTTGACATTATAACGGCCGTGCAGTTGAATAATTAATATTTATGTAAAATACCAAAGAGACTGGAGCGCTGAAGGACTCACATATATTTGTATATAAATTGTCGTTCTGTATTGAAAGCGCAATAGTGCGGTATGCAGGTATGTATGTATGTAGTCCTCTGCCTGGAGACCTTGGTAATTTGTTGCTCTACGCGGATATGACGGGGATAGGATAGGACAAGAGCTGCCCGCAGCAACAGTACCTTGCTGTTACAGCATTATTTGCGCGCATGTGCCACCAAGTGATGCGAGCATGTGTGTCGTGTTGCTGAGGGCGACGGTCAAGGGGCGACAGGGACGTGCTATCGAGTTGATGTCGTGACCCTGCTTCGCTCCTCCACTAAAACCCCCATCTCTCTTCAAAAAGCGCGCCTGCTGTTTAGGGCTTTGGGTTGCTGCTCTTGGTATAGCGGGCTTGTTCACTGAGTAATGTAAGGATTGCGGGTCCGGTCCGAGCATATATGGACAAGTGTGGCCCCCCCCCCCGGGCGCTGGTGCACCTTGCTTTTGCGCGTTTGTGTGCGATGTGGCAAGTGCACTGTGGGTGTGTTCGTTCGAGATATTTGCCATGCGGTACTGGCGAAGTGCAGCAGCAATCAGATAAGGACAGAATACAGGCATGATCGACCTGTACGGTGGTGTTGATTTGCCCAGGGTACGACAATCAATCAATCAATCAATCACAGGACATTCATCACGTAATACATTTATACCATTTATACACGCACATACACAGACTTACAAAACATTAGGCCGTAGTGGCCCTGATAATTGTACGAATGTATGATTGAATAAGACTCCTGTTGTCGCCAGGACCTTCAGTCTTCATTCAGTGCCGCTGCTTCCCCGTGGATGGGTTGGCGGGTAGGCTATGGCGGCGGCCACGTGGCTGCAGTCGCTGGAGGTGCTAACACACGCTCGCGCCATCGGTTTGTGGCATCACTCGAACCCTCGAGGGAGCGAGGTGTCCACATATACTTATGCCGTACCCGTACTGGCACACATAGACACACATACATACACACATACAAACACAGACACACACACACACAGACACACACACAGACAGCAGGTTGCGCTCCCTGAGGTTTCGCAAGGCACGGAGGAGCCGCAAGAGGGGAAGAAACATGGGATGAGGGTTATGATCGTCCAACGCCACTAGCGCCGCATACTTCCTTCATGTTGAGTGCGTAGGAATGTGTACCATATCTGTGTAGAGATGTGCTGGGTGCGTTTTCACGTATATGTTTGTCGTCTGAGCCGTACGTTCTATGTATACCGCACCCACGGGCAATGGTGCTCGATCGTTTCCCCCCCATTGTTCTTGTGCTCCTTTGCTTGCGCCTTTCGTCCGAACTTTATGCGGCTGACTTTATGGAAATGCCCCCCCCCCATCCATAGGGCTTCCAATCAATAACGAGTTACGGGTTGGAGGGATTAAAATTGAGGATAACAGATATCCATATCGATTAGCATTGAGATTGGCAAATAGGAAGAAGTTTCTGACATCACCCAGTTCCGATCTGGGGGCCTCCTGTGTGTAAGACAGGTGTGATTCCACTACACCATGATGCCACATGTATTATAAGATAAATACATTTAATAATTTATCATATATAGCCCCGACAAAGCCGGGGGACCGATGCTCCTGTCTCCCTCTACCGTATTCTCGTGGCTCTGCCGACTCTGACGTGCAAGCTGACCGTGCTTAGAATGACAGAGACGGGAAGCGGGCAGACCAGCTGCCAAGGGCTCTTACACTGCAGCAGAACACAGCTCCAGCCAGCCACGGCCGCGCGACTGCGGCCCACTGGCCGCCACGCAACCAACGCGCAGCCCACCAACACATCCCTTTGGGGCAACACGCGCGCGACAGAAAGACACACAAAGCGAACCCTAGAAGCGCCCGGACTGAGCCCCCCAGTGACAAGCACCGCCCCTCCCGGAGCTCCCAAGGCCGCACTACCAGGCGAAAAAGACCCACCTCAACGAAATGTAATGGTTTGGCGCAAGTTTAAATAGTCAGCAACTCCCTGCTAGCATGCCAACTACTGACAAGAACCTGTATTTTGGGTCCGGACACTACGGCTATACATGAATTCATCCCATCCCATTTCAGAATGTACTCTTTAGGTTCAGCAACTCACCACCAGCATCCAACCAAATCCAGCGGATCATCGGCGCCTCAACTCAGTTCGTGGTCAGCTCGCAAGTTAATTTTATCATGTCCTACACCGTCCACAATCTGGGGATCCATCTCCCATTTTATCACCCCTCACACACCCGAGGGGTCGGCAAGCGAATTTGAACCCGGACGCTCCGGGAGCAGAAGTCAGGCCTTAACCTCTGCCAGCCACCTGCCAGAGTTGGCTCAGCTTGCCCCACTACCCCGAAGCGACGAAAGAAGGCCTACAGACCAACAGCTTCAGGACCTATAGTACTCCAACGTAGCTAACGACGCAAAACCCTGAGTTAACCATTGACGGGTCCATGCTGCAGTCGTTAATGTAGGCGTACGACAAGGTTAGAATGGTCATCAAGACTAGAATGGCAAATCTGCGGGCGAATTTGAGCCAAAACAGGGTTTTAAACAAGGCTGTCCAATGTCAATTCAGTTGTTTGGACTTTTCATTGAAACTCTTGTGAACGCCATCGATATGCAGAATCACGGTGTTAACATCAGAGCACGGCCGGAGGATGCACCGAAGGTTGGCAATGAGCGAGTATCCATCCTCCTCTATGCTGAGTAGACTGATGACATTAGTCTCCTGGCAACGACACCGGAGCGCATGGCGGAGCTGCTTAAAATCGTGGGCACGTTCTGTGATGATTTTTGGGATGCGTCTAAATGTGTCCACATGCGAACCTGTGTGAACGCCTTTTTGCAAGTCTTTGCAAGCGACAGCGACGCGAGGAGTTCTGTTCAAACATCGTGTAATGAGCTCAGGCTGGCTGGTGAGGCCGTATTATTTTAGTTTAGGACCATCATCCATCTGGTGAGAACACAGACAGTCAACTATGCCCCCCACTAATGTAGCGAGCTACCTATAAGTTGCCAAGGGCCCCCTATCATGCATAACATGGTCGCGAGGACTCGCACAGAGCATCTTGCATTTTTGGAACTGTACGGACACAACTGATAAAATAATAGTACGTCAACCTTACGCCAGGAGTCCTCCGCCCAAAATCGGCCATTCTGCTGGCGTATTGAGGCGTGTTGAGGCGTAAATGTGCTCGGCGCGTTTTTCTGATGTAGGGTCGCAACTGCTTGCTAAAGTTGCCGTTGGCTCGCCTTTGAGCCGGCGGCGCTAGCGGCCCTGACGTCCTTACTTTCCTTAAAAGATGAAACCATAATGGAGACTAGCATGTTGTGAAACTTCTATGCAAAACGATTGTGTGATGTATCCCGCTGTCAACATGTTGTTCTGTCACATCAGCAGGGGAGCAACACTTGGATACGGGAAGCATGGCATGAGCAAGCCCGGAAACACATACCTCGATCAGTGTGGGACTTGAACCCGCTGCAACCCCATGGGGCGGACCGGGGGCCCCCATACGTACGATGGGTACGATGGGTACGCAACCAGAAACTGCCACCGACACAGGCACTGCAGGCAGCTATCTAGGACAGCCTTCGGCTGCCCCTTGGGCCTCTGGCTCGTATGGGCCCGTTGCATACTCCTTTGGACTTTGATAGCGGAACACAACTCCAGGTGTTCTATACACCCTGGGCGGTCATGTTGTGTATTGTATTTGAACCCGATCACATATCGCATCTGTGGGCGCATCGTCGCCAGGAAGGACACGTACGTCTTCAGTGGAGCCAGTTGGAGCTACCTAGCTACCTCCTATCACGGGAAGCTCGTCCTTGAGTGCCCTGGTGGGTGCATTGCGCCCAAGCAGAGGACATCTCTGCTGCATTAGATCCAAAGAGGAAGAAAAACAGGAAAGGCTTCAGGAGGTTTCACAAGTAACCTGCAACTGCTCTTGCGGCAAATCGTTGGCAACCAGCAGTCGGAAAGCCGCTTATTCCTACAGAAAATTTACAAGCGTACGTGGACGTCATCAGGTTCAATTGCAGGACGGCAAGATGCGCCGCCACACACGTCGCCCAAGCTGGCTGCGTGAAGCGCGTCGTCGTTTGCCGTGCCGAGTAACGCGTCTCAAAATTTGTTTACGAATATCATAGGAATCAGTGTGTGTACAAATCGGTTGGAATGGCGTGGCAGAGGCCTTCAAAGACACGTCTGTGTACATGTTTGTAAGAACACGGCCATCAAATGCAACATGCAAGGACTAAAAGCGGATTTCGTTACCCTCCAGAACGCCCCTAGGCAGGAAGCAGGGTAGAGGCACAGGGAATGAGATCAATGGAATTCCCGTACTTCGTAAATGAAAGATATACGCGTAATTAGTTGACCGTTGGCCCCAGCCCTATGTGTGGCCCCAGGGAAGGAAGAGACAAGTCGTCAGACGCAATTTACCACCGATTTAGCATGTATCGGACCCATATATCAGCAATATAGACAATATGGGGCGTTTACAGCTCGAAGGTAGCATTTTGACGGACACATCACGTCCTACTTTGGACTAGCAGCCTCAGAACGCATCCATAGCAAGAACTTCACTTCCCATTTGTGGTTTGAATGTTTAAGGGGAAAGTAAACAGTTCTCCCAGCGGCGGCGGCTTTCCTTAAGGTGCGAAAGCAAACAACTTGAGCCTCACCAACAAGCAAGCAAGTACCAGCGTACGATAATTAGGATAATGAATTAATATTTTTCATATGGAATTTTCTGAGGAATGATCAGGGGACTTCGATGGACAATCCTATGAGTAAGGAAAGTAACTATTGGCCTTCGTAAGGATAAATGAGCGATGATGTATATATACTGCAATCATATTCCGTATGGCCCGTGAGCCACCTCAACACCTGCAGCTTTCGAGAGCTACTTTTACGAGCAACGATACTCAACGAACTAACAGCATCAATTGTGCCTATGTAACCCACCATCAATTATAACAACATCATGTAATTTATTGATTTGGTTTCATGAAATAAAGTTTCCCTAGTAAAACTTTGGCTTTCATACAAAAGGGCCCCGATCCAGGGACGAAGCGCTGGCATGTCCGAGTCTCATGGATACATGGGTATTAATTAAAAAAACCATCAATTACATTAGCCGAAATATCTGAACCCATGCGCATGGTAGCAGACGTGCTTGTGAGCCTATGTGAGATACAGCCACCGCACAGATGTACGGCGGGCGGGCGGCGTGCATAATAAAGGTTCAATGATCTATCATTTTCAATGCGTTACTATAGTTGTCAACTAGGTCACGTGTGCCTCTGGAGGCTCCCTCTTTTTGGGGTCCAGGCCACTGATACTCATAAGAGGCAGCGGATCCTTCTAGCCGAACGGTCTGAAAAGTGAGCTTCTAGCCCTTCAATTATCCAGGGCCATTAAAATTTTTAAGTAGTAACACGTACGGTATTATTTGCCGTTTGGGTTAGGATGGGTTCGCGTAGCGTCGCCACGACCACGCGGACGTTCGGCTTGTTCGCTGCGGCATCTCTACTGCTCGCGTGCCAAGCTTCCGCTGCTGTTTCATGTAAGTTGGAATGTGGCTCCAATTATCCTTTAGTCGATGGTCCCTATGGCTATCCTTCGCAGCTGGACATCGATTGCTTCAGGTCTTGCAGCACCTGAACTACCAAATGTGAAGCTACATGATGAACGTAATTTTTTGGTTGAGTTTGTTTGCAATTAGCTTCGTCTTCGTTGGCTTGTCTTTCAACTTCCGACGGTTTGCACGCTACAGGAAGCTCGTTTCCGACTCATGAAGGTCTGTTACCAACGTGCCTTGCCTTGCAGATTCTGTAAGCGTCTACAACAACATCGCGGTCACAGGGGCTCCCCTCTCTGGCATCGTGTCTCAGCTGCTATCCAAATGGAAGCTCAATGTTCCCACTTTGAGGACAGTCTACTCCCAGCCGAGCGCTGCAGAGTTGTCAAGCACCAACGCCTTTATCGTATACTCCAAGGGTCAGGGCTCCTACTGGATTACGGAAGGCCTGACCTCGAACTCAACTAAGGTTAACGATCTACTCACATTTGTCCGTAATGGAGGTTCCCTTATCCTTGTCAACGGCGCCAACGGAAATGACAACACATTTATTCCTCTTATTCACGCGCTGACTGGCGGGGATACTCTCTGCATCGCGAGGAGCTACGCAGATGACACTCGCATCTACCGTCGCATCGACCCTCCATCCAACTTTGGCAACCTGCCTGTCAAGCAGTTCCGCTACACTGCGGATCTGTATATTACCGGCCTAGACTGCTTATCTGGCACCTCTATTTATTCCTCCGACCCAACCAAAAAGCTTTACGCCATCTCTGCCGGCATCACATGGAGCGTGGGACAGGGCGCCGTGACGTGGGTCGGCGCCGACATTGTGGCTGACTCCAAGAACACCGTAGCCGTAAGTAGATTTCGATATGTCTTTGGAAAAAAAGGTTAGCCGGAAGTTTCTGATTTGCGCAGCCTAGGGACTAGAATTTGAAGAACGACCTGGCAATTGCTTATCTTATCCATTAAGCTGTTGGAATGCTTCAATCAAGCATACGCTTCAGGATAGTATAGCAGAATGTCCATAAAATTGCTCTGAATTTGCGTCCACCTTTGCGCCTTGAGGACTTTCCGACTTCGAGTATGTTCAATCGGCTGACTTGGGGTGTTAGTTGGAAGCGTCTTGATACAAGCTCGAGCGAGTCGGGATGATGCTGCGATGCATACATACGTGCTGCCTGACTTGCATCTAGTCCGGTTTAACGTTTTCCTGCGAGCCGAGGATTGATTAAAAGATTCGAATCAATTCCTCCATCTTCTTCCTCGTTCCCCGGAAGCACGGATCATTAAGATAAACACTCGTGCATGTCGACATGCCATGTTGCAAGATCCGCCAGCTCTGACGCTATTCCATTTCCTTTTTCCGGTGTTTGCTCTTCATGCAGTTGGTGACAGCTGCGGCGGTCGTCGTACAGACAACCCCGTCGCCGCCGCCGCCGCCACGAGTTTCAACGTCGCCGCCGCCACCAGCCCGTGTCTCATCCTCGCCGCCGCCCGCCACGCGCTCGCCGCCACCCCGTCGTATAACGTCTCCTTCACCAGTCCTCACTGCATCCCCACCACTCCCGAAAAGATCGCCACCACCGCCGCCGCGCGTCCCGCCCTCGCCGCCACCACCGGTTGCTTCTCCGCCGCCACCACCACCTCCACGCGTCTCCCCGTCGCCGCCTCCGCCGCAGCCAGTTTCCTCTCCTCCCCCACCCCCGCCACCGCGCCCTTCACCCTCGCCGCCGCCTCCACGTTCTTCACCCTCGCCGCCGCCGCCAAGTCCTCCTCCTCCTTCTCCCCCGCCACCGCGCCCTTCACCCTCGCCGCCGCCTCCACGTTCTTCACCCTCGCCTCCACCGCCAGTCGTTTCGCCTCCGCCGCCGCCACCCCGCGCCTCCCCACCACCACCTCCGGCATCCTCTCCGCCGCCGCCGCCTCGCCCTCCTCCTCCCTCGCCTCCTCCCTCGCCTCCGCCGCCCGCTACCGCTGCCGCCAACCCTCCATCTCCTGCCCCCAGCCGCAGCCGCGCCGGTGGGCCCCCCCTTGGCACACGTCCTCCTCCTCCCCCTCCGGAGGATGATGCACCGCCGCCGGACTACTACTTCCCCCCGCCCCAGGACATGTCGCCGCCGCCACCCAAGAAGAAGGCAACTGGCCGGCGGCTCCTCTAATGCAGTACAGCAAATTAGAGGCGTTTCCTCCTCCTCCTCCTCCTCCTCCACCTCCTCCTCCAGCCCCGCCTTCCCGACATTCAGCTCAGCTGGCCCCGGCTCCTTGCCGCCACGCGAGCTAGCGGGCACCGCAGGGGGCTCTACTGCGCGTGTGTCCGTGTGTGGAATGTTCCAGTTTACAAACTCGCTTGTGATGGCGTGAAAGGTAATGCTGCTGTAGTTAACAGCAGCCCGGACAGCAGCCGCAGGAGTTGCTAGTTGCGGAGAAATGGCGGCTTTGCTAGTTGCTAACTTCCGTCCCGAGCTTGCTTTTGTTGTGAAGGCAGTCAGGATCTTGGCTTTGGATCTCGGGGGGAATCAGGAAGCGGCGGCGCCGTAGCGACGATGGATCCAATAAATGGCTTAGTTAGGACACGTGGGGATGCGTGGACGCAAGCTACATGACTACTACAACTGGTCGTGGTCGTGGTGGGCAGTAGCACATAGTTGAGAAGGCCGGATTGCGGCAGTAGCAGCACGATGACGACGACGATGGCACCATGGGATATCGATTGCTGTGGTGCGTTAGTTGATTGATGTCAGCATGAGAGCGGTTTAGAAAAGCAGTTTGCAAGCATGTCATCATCAGGACATAGAGCATATATAGGTTGTTGAGGGTTGCCAGGCTTCTCCGAGTAGATAGCGCTATAGCTGTACGGCAGTTGTAGGAGGTGGCCTTAGAGGTTCGCGCGGATTGACTTCCATGATTTTGCGTTGGCGTGTGGCTGTTGCGTCGGACATCTCGGAGCGTTTACGTTCTTCGTTTGATGCGACTACGGATGGATGACTAATGACTAAAAAAGGGAAAACGACTGGCTGACGACCGCGAATATCGGTCGCTGGTACATAGCAAGTGCTGGTGACACGTAAGTATTTGTGTTCACCGTTAAAGACTTTAAGTTTTTTTATTTATTTTTTACCTGCATAACTTAGGGAGTGAGCGGTTCACAACTGTTCGGCAAAAGATTTGGAATACGCGGAGGGCTCATCCGTGTTTACGTCCAGCTGGCCGTGTTTTAAGTTATCAGGTAGTAGCGAGATAGGAACATCAGGAAAAGCCCAGGCCCTTGTAAAACTCTAATGCCAAATCCCTGCATCATTGGAGATCCTCGCAGACTGTATTGCGAATGTGCATGGACGTACTTCTGGTCCAAGATTATCTCTCTATCGTGATTGACCAAACAGAACTTCATCGGGTTTTACCCTACCTACCTACCTACCCACCTACCTACCCACCTACCTACCTACCTACCTACCACTGGTCGTACAGACTGGCACTGACCACTTTTACCCGGGCATGGTCCCCACCCCGGTCTCATTGCTCGTACATGTGTGCATGCACATCAGCGCCGCTTGCAGACGGTGCTTTCATGAATGCACAACAGTCCTTGTCAACGGCAGTCTGCGATGCAATATGTATGTACGTACGCCTAAAGATGAGAGAAACATGAAGAATTCATAATCACGGAACTTACAGGCTATCTGTTCATCAAGGAAACCATTAGAAGCTTGTTGCGGGTTCGCAGACAAAAGGAGACCATCCCACGCTCACTTTCGGCCACCCCCACACCCACCCACCCGCCGACGCACACGTACCCGCACGCATGCATCCGCACCGACCCACGCCCACTCACCCATCCGTTCCCGCCCGCCCATCGCCATCTGACCAATACGTAGCCCCCAGTGCTTTGCCATCACATCCGCAACCCCTTAAAATTCATTAATCAAGCCACGTGTTGAAAAAGCACAGCACTAGTCCCCCCTCCTCACACATAATAAGGATACCCATGCGTGTGTGTGTATATGTGTGTTACATGGTTGGGGGTGCGTGACCCCATACCTGTAGAACTGTCCATACGAGCCGAAGGCCCAAGGGCAATTACCAAAACGCCTAAAAGCCACGGAGAACAGGAAACACCGCGCATCAGCCCAGACTAGCGTCCAAAGGGGGGATAGCTGAGTACGCATGCATAAGGACATCCAACCTGCATGCCTGGCTGGTTGGCCGGCTGTGTGAGGCGCGTACACATATCCTTTCAAACTCCACGGAAGGCCTCATCATCATCATCATCATGGTGCCCAAATGAAGCAATTTCATTTAACTTCCCGGGCTGCCCAACATCGACTGACGTCAGTCGTTGTTGGGCAGCCCGGGAAGTTAAATGAAATTGCTAGCCTTCAGTCGACTGAAGGCTAGCTTAGACACCATCTCCGCTTGAAGATGACATTCTCTGCGACTATGCTGGTCTATCGTAGGTGGCCAGGCCGGTCACATACATACGTACATACCGACGTGCTGTTGCTTTAAGCTGCGAGACGAGACGATACGGCCCTCCACGGGCAACATACGATGACGCCAAACCGCCAACTAGGCCATCTAGGACCTGGGAAGATACTCCAACCTGACCTGCGGGGAGCCCCAGGAGAGTACACGGAGGTTGGGGCCGCCCCTCTCGGCTAAGTATTACTGCTATAGCGCAGTTGCAGTAGCAGCAGTAGCAGTAGTAGCAGCAGTAGCAGCAATAGCAGCAATAGCAGCAGTAGCAGCAGTAGCAGCAGTAGCAGCAGTAGCAGTAGCAGCAGTAGCAGCAGTAGCAGCAGTAGCAGCAGTAGCAGCAGTAGATCAATTGAAGCCCTAAGTGTCCACCACCTCCGTACAATTACAAATAGCCCGCCTTCAAAAGCAAATGGTCTCCATTGCTCATGCGGTTATACGGCAGGAGATATACGATGCTCTAACCAACCTGGAATGGGTGGGTTGGGAAGCCTCGATGCTACGACTGTTTTCTTTTTGGGAGTGCGATATATGATGGAGGGCAATACCACAATAAGTCGGGGGGTTTAAAGAGCGTGTTGACTGCATGATTACGACACAAAATACATGCCCCGACCCGACCCGACCCGGCCCGGCCCGTGTGGTGACGGCACACATCACATATCACGGCTCTCTCAGTAACGAGACCTGCATCGCTCACCAGTAGTGCTACTACCACGAGGTCCTAACCGAAGAGCCCGACCGACCAACACATCCAGGTGGGGTTACATCATGGACCCGCAGCGGGAAGCAATGATCAATCCAGGAACCACGACAGCCAGCGGGGAAACCGCACGACATCCTAGATGTGTCGGTGTTGCAGTACAGTAACCATACAGGTATCCATTGAGGGGTCCACTGACCCCTCATCGTACAGCAAGTGGGAAGTAAGGCAAGTGTGGGAAGCTCCGTTATAACCTGCAAAAACAATATTGCAGTACAGTGCAGTACGAGCCCACCTTGAGCACTGACAGCGCGTCCGTGGGGAGCTGTAGCACCCAGTTTTGCCAGGAGTCGCTCGTGGGCGGCACCAAGGAGAGGGCCACCAACCTGATAAGCCGCGGCGAACAGCGGACAGCGGGTAGAGGGCCGAATGTCGCAGTGGTCAGGAAAACGTCGTAGCGCATTCGGATTTTAGGGGTTTTAGCGAGCATGTTACCTAACCCTAACCCTATCTACCTCTAACCCCCTAACCCTATCCCTATCCCCTTACCCTATCTACCCCTTACCCTATCTACCCCTTACCCTATCTACCCCTACCAGTGGGTCCTCCCCGCGCTATGCCATCGGAGTTTGTTCCATCTCGAGCAGCGCAGAAGCCGGCCGCTGAACCCTCCGGCCTCTTGACACGCTGGAAACGCGACTTTGCGCGAAACCAACGCAAATCACTCATGCTTGTAACCCATATTGTACGACATACAGCTGTAATAAAAACGGTGAGGGCTCTACGACACATTAACGAAGCTAAAGCCTGGCAACACATGGTATCATGGCCTGAAGTCCCCTCAAGTCCCCTTCGTGCCTACATAGTGCACATACGTTGCTAAAAACACACTATGTAAGGCTATGGAAAAGCTTAGCTCACGTTGCATGGGCACCTCGGAGCCTGTCCCCGACGGCATGGAACACAAGGCCCTCGAGCTCGCCTGTTGCCATCCGGGCGTCTACTGCTAGAGGCTGTGTGGACCATAGTCCGCCCCAAACGCGGGAGGCGAAAGAGGACCCGAAGTGGAAATCCACCTGGAGGGAGGGCGGGCGGGCGGGCGGGGGTTGGGGGGATTGTGTGGAGAGGTGAAAAAGCCGTGTAGGAAGCTGAAAGCGAGGACCTGCTTCGCACATCTGTTTTCCTATTTTTATCGTGCAGTGTACTACTGCGTACGGATATATTCATCCTGGCAAGCGATTTACTGAGGTTTACATGTAGCTGCCACCAGCTAGTGTCCCGGGGGCCTCGCTCACTATAGTTTGAAATCCGATTTCCAAACTTGCAAAATTCAAAATCCTAATTGTGACCAGAAGCTGAAGCACAATCGTGTGGGCAGAGCAGCAAAACCGAATTGACAAACAGGCGAACGGCAGGAAAGCGATGTGGCCAATCCCGCCCGCACCCCCACATACGCCCATCACCGCAGCTAGCCAGCGTACCGACCTCGCCAGTTGCCGTATCAATCCATCCCTCCAGCCGCCGTGTACGGATGTCGATGCTAAAACCCGGAGGCATGGCTGGCAAGGGTAGCCAGGGCCAGGTCGCAGCCAGCCAGCAGGTGAAACAGCTCATAGGGGGAGAAGGCCCTGGCCGATAGTCCCGCACGAATAGACGAGTGCCCTCCACACGGACAACCTGATTGGCGTTATTGGCGGAACATGTGTAATAAACATGCATGGGGGGTGGGCATGAGGAAGGGGAGGGCAAACCAACACCTGCATCCACCCACCCACTTACTTTACTTTAGCTAATGCGTCACCCACCCCCTCCCCAATCCCCCACTTCCCACCTAACCCCCTCCCCAATACCCACCTAACCCCCTCCTCACCTCCAGCAGCGATCCGCCCCTCTCAGGGCCCCAGTGCCATCCAGGATTGAACACCATGGTCGGCTGAAAACCCATAGCCAGTCGGCTGCCGTTCAGGACCTTCATACGGACCTGCGGTACGTACGGCAGTGTACGAGCGAGACACAGGAGAGCGGGACAGGGAGCGTACGCCGCCGTGCAGAATGTGTGGGCCGGGTACTTGCTTCGGATGGGGTTTGGGGAGGCGGTCAGCGAGATCCCGGAACAGCACAGGATGATGCGAAGGGGGCGGAGGAAGCGAAGCGGGAGGTGGGGGGTGCGTGTGCGTGTGCGTGTGCGTGTGGGTGCTTTCTTGCCTTTTCCTCTGTCCACATGCACTCGCCCCTGCCTCCACCTGCCGCGGCAAAGTCGTTAAGCTAGTAAAACCCCTCCGCCTGCTCTGTGAACCCACACGCGTACAGCCCCACAGCGCCCCCTGCGTCTGCGTCTCACCCTGTCAGCTACGTCCTTTAGATCGCTATGACCCTACCTCGCAGCCCCTACCTAGCAAGCCCTACCTCGCAGCCCCTACCTTGCAAGCCCTACCTCGCAGCCCCTACCTAGCAAGCCCTACCTCGCAGCCCCTACCTAGCAAGCCCTACCTCGCAGCCCCTACCTAGCAAGCCCTACGTCGCAGCCCCTACCTAGCAAGCCCTACCTCGCAGCCCCTACCTAGCAAGCCCTACCTCGCAGCCCCTACCTAGCAAGCCCTACCTCGCAGGCCAGCCCATCCTTCCCGCATCCTTTCTCCCTTCTCCGCACACACACATACACACAACATACTAACATTCATAAATACATAATATACATATCACACAATTTCAATTGCCCCCCTTCCCCACGAGCGAGGCCCGCGCCCCACCCTCCCTCCTCACACCCTCAAAACGGCCTTATTACTTTCCCTGGTAGGCGATGCTCCATTCATCCGCTCATCACTCACCCACCCATGTAATCTCTCACCGCTGCAATTCGGTCGGGTTGCTTCGCTAGAGCTGTATTGGACTCGGCCACCCGGTCATGCAGACCTAGCGCTCCCACTTCGTACGTGCGTAGTGATCGTGAAGTGACCATGTGGTGTTTTAAGTATATGCGTATGCATGTAAGTTGGTATGGTTGCCTGTTAATATGGGCTAATGGAGCATGCATACATACAGACACACAGATATACATATAGGCAGGCGGCTGGCAGAGGTTAAGGCCTGACTTCTGCTCCCGGCCGACCCGGTATCAAATCCGCCTTCCGACTCCTCGGGTGTTTGAGGAGTGATGAAAAGGGAGGTGGCCCCCCATCATATGGACGCTGTAGGACGTAGTAAAATCAACTTGCGAGCTAATCAGGAACTATGTTCATGCGTCGTTGATCCGCTAAATTTGGTTGGATGCTGGTTGTGAGTTGCTGAATCCAACGAATACATTCTGAAGTCGGATGGGGTGACGGATTAGGGTGCCCCTCTAGCAGGGGAGAGCAGGGACTGCCCCGGGAAAGGGGGCCGCTGGCGAAGTTAACCACCCTGTAAAAACATACAAGGTGGTCGTACGCCGAACGGACGTAGCATGCAAACTGTGCGCGTCGCCGCTGCCGGGCACGGCGTTAGCTGAGGACTTCTTGCCGGCAGCAGCGTTTGATATCATATATATTAGGGTCATACGGACGGCACATCTGTGCGCGACCTAAAGCTTAACTGACGATGATGAGCGAGCTCAGCGAGCTCGCTAGCAGGTAGCGAGTCAAGACGCTTCGGCAGCAAGGAAATAGAGAAAACGGGCTCATACGGACGTATCCATCGCGAAAGATGGCAAAGATACTCCTACTTACTTAATGCATTGTAGAGGCGTGTCAACAGCGGCCGGCGGTTGAACATTGTCCCCGCTGCTTACTTGCGCAGTTCGTTCGTTAAGTGCTCGCCACCGACTTTGTCTGAATGCCTTTTTGTGAAAATTATGAGTCTGTGAGGCGGCAGCGCTGGTGCGCGCGGCGAGGAAGTATTTGTGGCAAGCGAAGCGACTGATGTACTATGTTTGCCACCGACGGTTTGCATGCCCTCCTAGCTGGGCGGCAGATAGTTGCTGCTGTTGCTGCTTACTGAAGATGCTGTATGTGAAAGGCCAAGCCAATCTCTACACTAATGGTGTTCACGAACTGGAGTTCTTCGTCACGGCGCAGCTAGATAGCGCTATCCGATTACTCAATAATTTTAAGAAAGAGTTTTGCCTTACGAACCCTTGCTTCCGTCCACATACATGGCCTCTGAATATCAATATGAAGAGCGTGAAGAGCGATAAGGTGATGATGTGGTGTCATTATTCATCATGGCAAAGGCAAAAAGCCACCCTTAGCATGGCCGGTCCAATGAACGCCGCTTCTTGCCGGTTCACACAGTCCAATATCCAAATGTGTTGGGTCGACCACTCGATCGGCGTGGGTCAAATCAGTGCCTTGGACAGGACGACACACAAGACTTATGGTGGCACCCTAAGGAGGAGGAGTACCGCCATAGTTAACGGCTGCTGCTGCCGCTGCTGCTGCCGCTGCTGCTGCCGCTGCTGCTGCATGCATGCATGCATACGTCTACTTTCGCTGTGATCCCCTGTGGGTCATCAATAAGCACTAAATTTGTGGAGTGTTTGATGTTTGCGCATAATTCGACAACTTCGCACAATGCTGATAACAATGCTGAAAACGGGGTGACCCATGGGTCGCCTGGTCTCGGAGCAGCGCCACGATGGAGGAGACAGCCAAGCGCTACGTAAAACACAAACTACTTCTGCGCAACTAGGCATGCAGCCCGCGAAGACCGAGACTGGTGTTAGCGGATGGCTTGTGTGTCGTACAATCAGGTCGCGGAGATTGGATCTATGGCTACATTAACAGCGGGATCAATCCACCGCATACGTACGTATGTATGTATGTGTACAGCGCATGCGTCGTGAGTGCGGACTTAGCTAAGTAATCGGTTACCAGCACCTGGTGCTACTGCTGTTGCTGCTGTTGCTACTGCTACTGCTGTTGCAGCTGTTGCTGCTGTTGCTGCTGTTGCTGCTGTTGCTACTGCTACTGCTGTTGCAGCTGTTGCTGCTGTTGCTGCTGTTGCTGCTGTTGCTACTGCTGTTGCAGCTGTTGCTGCCTGGTAGGAAATACATATTATTATGAAACTCGTTGAGGAGATTCGCAATCCACTTGCTTTACGAAGTGAATCGTGGCCAATTGTTTCATTTTCATTATCTTGATTATTCATCCTAAACTGCTGGAGGGCATCTCTATCTAATCCACGGGTTGTATGTGTGTGTGTTACATGGTTGGGGGTGCGTGACCCCATACCTGTAGAACTACCAATACGAGCCTAAGGCCCAAGGGCAAGACCTGAACGCCTAAAAGCCACAAAAAACGAATACCGCACTAGCAGGAGAAGGGAAAGCTAGCGCCCAAAGGGGATAACTGAGTTGCGGTGAGCCCACATAGGTTCCAACATCCTCGCCAGACGGGCTGGCTCCCATTTAATGGCCTTCAACATGCTCGCTCTGTTGACGATCGAATCCTTCCTCCGCACGAATATCATTATAAGCTGAGTCTTCTACAGGGTGGTGCAGGACCTTCCTGAAATGGTCGGGTTGGCGGTTTTCCCCTTCCCATGCCCGTCGGGCCCACCCGATAGCGTTTTTGCATATCTTTCAATTTCTGTCGGGTGCCCCGATAGCCCATCCCAAAACCTGTCGGGTGACGCAAGAACGAAATTTCGCTGTGTGCCGCTTGAAATTACATTTATTCGTATTTTATATGCGCAGTTTCCAGTTCACAGTTTGCAGTTCACAGTTCTGATATGCACGAACACACACACACACACACACACACACACACACACACACACACACACACACACACACACGACCCACGGCACCCGATCGGGCGGTCCTAGTGCCCCTAACCCTGTCGGGTCCCCCGACGGGAGCCCTCCGGGCCCCGTCGGGGGCTCCCGATGGCCGTTTGGCGTTTTCCCCCTTTTTCGTCGGGTCCGCCCGACAGCATTTTTCAAAGCCTGTCGGGATTTTCAGCACAAGTGCCATTCCTGTCGGGACCCGATCGGACTGTCCCACCCTGGTCTTCTAGCAACATGTGTTTATATCCGCGACTTGGCTATTAGTGCCACACCAGTGGCATATCCGCTGCTCCCTGGGGACATGGTGCCTGCGCCTTCGGCTTCTGTTTGCCTCCAAAGCCCAGCAACATAAACGAAACTGCATTAGCTTACGATGCGCTAAACGAGGAATGAAAACCTTAGCATGTGTTGGCCACATGACGGCTGCGGCTCCCGAAAAGGGCAGCCCCATCCAGTGCTTATACTTCGCCACTCGCCATCGGTTGTTTCCCATCGGATGGTATTCCGCTGGCTGGACAATCAGAACGCAGGGTTAGACAGGACCTTCCTAAAATGGTCGGGTTGCCGGTTTTCCCCTTCCCATGCCCGTCGGCCCCGCCCGATAGCGTTTTTGCATATCTTTCAATTTCTGTCGGGTGCCCCGATAGCCCATCCCAAAACCTGTCGGGTGACGCAAGAACGAAATTTCGCTGTGTGCCGCTTGAAATTACATTTATTCGTATTTTATATGCGCAGTTTCCAGTTCTCAGTTTGCAGTTCACAGTTCTGATATGCACGAACAAACACACACACAGCAACACATGCACGCCTGCACGTCTGCTTGGGAAAGCTGTTTTGGTAAAGCCCACAGACTTACAGGACGAGGCAGCAAATGTTCGAAAGGGCAATGTAAAGCTGCATATGGTCTTTGTATTAATTGTCAATAAGGCCGAGATAAGGTAGTGTGCCCTTCACTTATGTATCCAAGCATGGATCCCTGTACAGCAGAGTCAAAGGATAAAGAATGCTACCACTACATTACATATTTCCATCCAGTTATATTTTTATGAATGCCATTATGTATCGCTGTAGCTGTCCGTCGCCGAAGGGCCCACCGACGACCCACGGCACCCGATCGGGTGGTCCTAGCGTCCCTAACCATGTCGGGTCCCCCGACGGGGGCCCTCCGGGCCCCGACGGGGGCTCCCGATGGCCGTTTGGCATTTTCCCCCTTTTGCGTCGGGTCCGCCCGAAAGCATTTTCAAAGCCTGTCGGGATTTTCAGGACAAGTGCCATTCCTGTCGGGACCCGATCGGGCTGTCTCACCCTGATCAGACGCGCATGGTCCCAGCCGCTGCACTGCCGATACGACATGTTGAGGTCTCCTCTTGGCCCTATCTCTTATATGCTAGCTATTTGCAGAAGCAAGCCTCTCGCGGAGAAGTAAGCCTCTCCCGCAGCGTTCGGTTCCGGTCGGTTTTGCTTGTATTCGTTTATTAGACGGGCAGATACCGGTTTTTGTAATCATATAAAGTACATCGTTTGGTGCTCAAAATGGTGAAATAACTCCAAAAGCAGATAGTGATCGCACGAAGCAAAGTATGTTGGCATTAAAAAAGGTACTAAACCAGTGGCGGACGGGCGGGTACCTTGCTTGTGTGCGGCCGACAGATTTTTATTAACGGCGGTAAGTAATAAAAATATTTCAAAATGCTTATTACATCCATGAAGTGAGTAGCGGAAACTTAATAAACGCATGTATCAGGGCTGGAAGAAAACCATTGCGTTCCCTAGCCGTTTTTGGACCTGTTTGAACGGTCGCCTACTGCTACCTAACTACTACGCCTACCGCCGTGTTCACATAGCACAGTAAGCATTAAGGGACGTTATTGTATGAAGGCGTTCCTGTTCAATCCAGACATCCTACATAGACATCCACAGACAAGCGCAACATTTTCATTCCTACGGTAATTCAAAATATTTAATTACAGCCCGATCGCAGCAAATAATAGGACAATCTGCCCGCCGAAGCAGCTATTAGCAGCAGCAGGTGATGATGATGATGATGATGACCAAGCAAACAAACGTCGCACGCTCCCCCCGCGCAAGGCCCATAACACGCATGTACAGCAACAACTGATTTGCCGTGTTCGACGAGGCACATCTCTTACAGAACAGTACAAAAGGCCGCTTTTGGCCATTGTGAAATCGAAGTAGTTGGAAGGGACGGAGCAGCCATTTCCTCTCATCCCCCTCACCATGGCGCCTCCACTTCTCCTCCTGGCCTCTGTGCTGACGATAGCTTGGTGCGTCTCTTGGTCTACTTTCAATTGTAGCAAATGATTGCTTACAGAACATAGATCCATAGACCATCGCAGCAGTTGTCGGTTTTCACTTCTGGATTTGCTTGATTGCGGGAACAGCAGCCAGACACGTAGCATAAATTACCTTGAGACGAGGTGGTGGATACTTTTACTTGTGTTTGAAATAACATAAATTCCAGCAGACAGATTTGGCCCAAAACCAGCAGGAGCAAAATAGGCATTCGCTCGGATGTGATGTGCGCTTGATTGCGTCATGCAGAATTTGAGCCAATAACTTTGCTTGTTCTTTTTCATCTTTCTGCTCCAGCAGGGCATCTGCTGGAACACCCGCGCAAGCCTATGTGGCAGCATACCCGTCGGACACCAATCCCGATTTCCCCTTCTTCCAGTGCGCTGGGGCGCAGACCTCCTACGGCTTGGTTCCGGACATCTCGGATATGGGCGGAGGCCAGTACTGCTTCACATTGTCGGCCACGTCTTGCGACGACAGCTGTTGTAACTTGCCCTTGACGAACATTGAGGTATGTTAGGTCGTGTAGGCTTCACACATGGTTGGGGCAGGGCTTAAAACCAAATGTGCGCCGGGCGGGAACGAACCAAAGCTTCCCATCTACGCAGGTCATCACTTGAATAAATGCGTAGCGTATGCGATACATGCATACACGTGCATGATGGCACGCATTGAAGCGATTCTGTGCGCGGTTATAAGATTGATGACCCGCCAGCGGGCCGGCGGCCCGGCGAACGAAATGAGCTGTCTTACAAGGACGACACCGCAACTGCTGTGCGCGCGCATCTTTCCTTTTTCCCTCGCGCTAAGGATGCACGCGCTATCCGAATAATGACGATGCATTGCAGAGCGAGTGGTTCTTAGCGTAAGACGGATAACAGCAAGCTCGGTGTGTGCGATGGGCGGTGTCATCAACGAGCACAATTGCGTCTGTAAAACTTTTCATCTATAAAGATCGTGCCCTATCCCTTTCTATTATTATACCAGGCTGCGATCTATAGACGACCATAAAGTTTACAGACGTGCTCAACAACTACGAAGCTTAACGCTGCTAAACCGTTCTTCGTTTTGCAGCGATTAGCCGTGTGCGGAGACTCCCTGCGCCTAATTTCAAGGGTTGTTATCACAGTTATCTGCCTGCAGCCGGCATGTAACATATGTATCGTGTCCTGTCCTATACATGCCCAATAACTGATTTGCCTAAAAACGCCTTAACGCCTTCATAACATGTATGTTTACCTATGCTCGCGTTGGCCATGGAGTACGTAGTTGTCTGGAGCATAAATCTGTTTTCCGCGCGCGGGGCGGTTTTTATTATTTGTCAGCAGGGCGCGCGCGCGAGCGGGCGCTGAGGCAGCGGTTTCACAACCTATTGCGTGCTTAACATATACATCATTAACACCTTCCAATCTTTTCCTCCCTGTCGCTTTTTCCCTCGCAGTTCAACGTGCAAGCTCGTTGCGTGATTGATGATGCATTTGTGTCGGCCACCATCAACGGAGTTCCCACGGCAATTAGTCCCGCATTTGATATTCCTCAAGATGGCCAACCTGGCAGCGCAGTTTTGCGATTGGCCGGGCTAGGTCTGAACCTTGCCAGCAACGGCGCCCAAATCTGCATCACTCTGAAGCCTAACCTGGACGGACAGGGCTGCACTACTCTGAGGGAGCTCTGTGCCTTATCCAGCGAAGGCACAGAAGAAGGGCCGTGCTTGGTTGCCATGATTGGTCCAACATTGGAATGCTGCTCGCTCACGACCATTGGAAGGGACCAGACCCCACCGCCGCAGTCGGCCACCCCAAGCCAGCTTATTACAGTACAACTTCCTCCCCCATCTTATCCCGCCTACCCCTCGATCCCACCGCCCCCCACTCCCTCCACCCCGCTCTCTCCCTCTTCGTCTATCTTTCATCCCTCCCCTTCGCCACCGTCCCGTTCTCCAACTCCACTTCCAACGCCGTGCAGCACTTGCCTTGTGCTGCGGCTCGACATGGATCTCCCAGATACAGTCTTTTACATTGACGATAATGTCTGTTCTGCTGTGCAAGAGCAGATTGCCTCCAACATCACAGCCCAAATTAGATCATTGGGGCTCCTCCCCATGATTGCCAACTTCACAGCTGATCCTATACGGTGCGAGGGTCAAGGAATCAGCGTTTGTGGGACCTTCTTTTCAGCGTCCGACGCCAAGAAGCTTGAGCCCTGGGTAAGGCTCCAGGCCCCGTCTTGGCTCGGCAGTTTGGTTGGCGATTGCAGCCCGATTTTTGCTGGGCTCAGTTTCCGGATCACGACGGATTCAAATAAATGCCTAACCGTGAACGCCGGATTGAGCTGCAGCGAGGACGAGGTGGCATTTCCGTCTCACAAGTAAGGCTTGTCGGTTGCTTGTGATGATGATAAGGCAGCTCGGGTCACGAAGGGTTGATTTGAATGTTTGTAGGTAAGCAGGTCTAGGATGTATGCATGTGCCTTACAAGCATGCATACAGAGACGCTGCTCTTGTGCTATCTAGGTGCTATCGTCCTCTTATTATTACCACTCCAAAACATTTGCGGATCGGTCATTCCAAATGTACTCGGTGCTGTTAGGTCGGTGATTTGGCAATTCTATTCATTATGCATGTGTTGGACAGCAGCAGTACTTACTTGTTAGTGCTTTCTAGCTACGTGACAGAAACAAAGCTCTTCATCTCGCTATAGCAGGTAACTGGTAGACGGTTGCTGCAATACATATGGTAGGCACTGTGCGATGTAGGCGTGCGTGCCTGGGAAACAGATAAATTGAGCCCGCATGCATGCACTTGCGTAAAGTGATGAAGTCACCACGTGGCGTGCTTCCTAGGGCGGATAACGGCGTCTAACAGGCTTGCCTGCCTGCTGCCGCTGCCTGCCTTCCTGCCTGCCGGCTTCTGCTGCCGCTGCCTGCTGACACACACACTACTGCTAAACAACCCATACAATGCTGAAAGCATACAATACGCTTAATCCTAGCGAATCATTCGTTAGGTCAAAATAAAATTATCGATTCGTTGGAATAGGCAAAGGACCTGTGCACTCAATCCATTTGTCGTGCATGTCGTGCAGATGCAGCAAAGAGAAGTACACGACGCCATTCTACGCGATGCCGTCGGCAACAAATCAAGGGCCAGGCCGCCTGTCGAACACCAACCTGTACTGCTTTCGGACTGCTATTATTGCCTCGGATGATTACCTGGTAGAGGTGCGTACGTATGTATGTATGTAGGTGCATGCGTTATAATCATGTTTGCATATGGACAATATACACATACACACGCACACTCGATATTAGCTAGCCACTGAAAGGGCCCATCATGACGCCGACAGACCGCTTTGACGCGGTCGTCGACGACGCGTGTGCCATACATACATACGGACAATAGCTACTGCGCACGATACCGAACCTTTCGCTTGTTGCTTGACCTGCCTCTGCCCCTCGCTTGCTCTGCGTCTACCCATTCACGTCCCCGTGTTCAGGGCCCTTGCAGCTCGGGCACGACGCTCAACAAGGCTGAGATTTGGGCCGGTCAGTACGTTGCGGTGGGGCCGCTCAACACTGCATATACAGCTGCGTGCTAGCGGGCATCCACTCAAGGCTGCCATGCTCTGTTTTGTTTAAGTTTGGCATTAAATGAAGACATTTGTAGCGCATGAAAATGTGCGGTCACTGTTTGCATTTGTAATTTCCCTAATTTCCCTATTGGAATAAGCATAACGTTATGCGCACTGCTACCACAGACCAAAACCTCCGCCGCCAAGTCCGCGGATTTCGACTGACCCCCAACGGCGGCTACCCCCTTTGGAAGTCCGCATCGTGGGAGGCCATGGGTGGAAACCGACTGAAAGGTTCGTGATGCGTTTAAATGTTTATAAGAACCACATCGACACCGTATTACCGACAATCAGGACGGGACAGGTTGGACGAGATCTGGTCAGAATGCCTGCAGCAGCTTTGTGCTACCTGACGCAACAATAAAATAATGCCTGCCAGACGTGAGATGTATGCTTTTGAATAGGCAGGATACCTACTACACCTACCTGCTGTCTGTGTGCGTGTGTGCCTTGACTTTCATCATCAGCTACTCGATCGCGCCATGCATGACTCAGGTGCACGCGGACCCCCGCGATCGCCCCCAGATCGCCCTCAACTAAATGACCTTGATTGGCTTTAAGCACCTGTGTGTGCGTGCACCGGCCCTGCCCAATATGTAGTAACCAACATCAACTGGGGTCTGTCGGAGGCTCACGGTGGTGAGATTTGCATTGAGCTCAAGAACATCACCTCCCTGAGTTCGCTGTGTCTAGGAGACCACCCAGGAACCTGGTAAGCCTTGTGTGGTTTAGGGTTTTACACATACACACACACACACACGCACACACACATGTGCATGTACATGTACATGCATGTGCGCATGTGCTCGCTCTTCAAGCAGTGATGCAACCTAACTGACCGTGTTTGCGCAGGTGGTTGTCAAGTGTTGGTGACGGCATTATAATTATAACAAATGCGTGTATAACTGGGTATCTGTCCTTGTTGATGACCTTGTTGAATGCAGCGTGATAATGCGTCAATTGTGCGCAAACACGCGTATCCTTTTGATAGGCACACACACGCTGTATGTTGAGTATGCGCTGTTGACAGATGTACAAGCTTGCCGCCGTGTTCTCTTTGCGTCATATATGTGTTGCTGCTGCTGCATGCTAGACACATGTGTTACCCGGACGACACATGTCAGCTCCCCTTGGATCATGTCCCGCCCCTTGACAAGCTCCCCTTGGCATCTCCTGCGAGAAATAATAATAATAATAGTACGCCGGCCGGGGCCTGGCGTGTGTTAAGGGGGTGGGGAACTGAGGGGCGGCGTAGCCGCTCCTGTATGCCCGCACCACCGTGGGTCCTGCGAGTACCCTTTGTCCGTTGTTCTTACACTTAGTCCGTCCTGCCATCTGTTTCTAGCCGCTTAGCTAATAACCCTCTGCCGCCTCTCCCTGCTGCTGTGCTCAACTGCAAAACTCCGTGGCTCGTTACGTGGACGTTACAGCTACATCAGCCTGTTTAACAACGACCGGACCTGCTGCCCCACTTACCCAGTCCTGGTGGGGCCGGTACCCTAGCTGTCCTCGGGGTGTTCTGTTTATTGCGTGATAATGATGATTTATGTACCTTGTTCCTTACCATGTAGGTGCTCGTTCGTGCAGTCATGAGGGCGTTTGCTGTTGATAACGAGCGTCAGTGAGCATTTCGTACTCGGGTATTTGTTAGCTATTTGCTTTTGCTGCTGCTGCTGCTCGCCGCCGCTGGGTTTTTTTTGGCCCTGGCGCCGCGACATGGTTGGATTAATTGCAACGCCACACAAAAATATCTACCGATGTATGGGAACGCTCGTGTGTGGGGGATTCATGTAGAGATTATGTATGGCACGCTGCAGGTAGAGGACTTCGGAAATCCGCCGTGTCGTCTTGTTCAATTTTGCGGACTTGGCTTATGATGTGTAGATTATGGTTGCATGTATGATGGGACCAGCAGCAGCCAATCAGTTGAACGCCGCTGGCTGATGCGCGCATGTATCGATGTATCGCACCTACCCCACTCCGTCATGGACTCTAGGTAGTGGTACAGTGTGGTACATTAGCGTCACGCATTTTTATCGATATCGCTTGGTGTTACATTTTATGTGCAGTGGTGGATTGGCAATATTCCTTTGGATTGGTGATAGCGCGCGTGCGGCACATCTGAGTGTATGCTACATATAGCATCTTCTATTTCAATACCCGACAACAGCAGTAGCCCTACTCACCCAGCAGGGGTCACTTTCTGGTGATGCAGCTAGTTGCAGGATTTGCACTTGCCGGGCATGGCACTTTGGTATTTGCCATCATGTCAGACATGTATGTAACTATTATTCGCCGATGTGTAATCATTTACCAAATTTCCCTGCCGCTGTTCGTCCTCTTGCCCGTGCAACCTGTTATTAGTTTAAGGGGACTTCAACAGCCCATAACTGTTATTGCAACTCCGTTACTACAGAGCTGTTTAGCACTTTTCGGCACTATCTGTTAAATGTGCTTACGTGCATAGTTGTAATACAGTAAATCTCTTTCCTACCGTGCTTTGAGTAACAAGGATAAACTCTGTACGATATCTGTACTTTGAGTTTTCTTTTTTTTACCTTTCCTGTTCCAAGCTACGGTGGCTCCTCTGGGCCCTACCAGCTCGACAAAGCTTGTGACAAAAATGCCAAAAGGTTCAGGATATCAGCGCCACGAATACTAAGGGTAAAGTCTTTTTCGCGAACAATTTGATTATTGACTGCAGCCGAAAAAGGCGAGGACTGGCATATATAGGTTTGCCTTGGTGTGCCCAAAATAAGACATCGTACACCTGAGTCCTAGCTCCGCTAGCTCCAAAGTTACGACAGGATCCAACACAAGGCCCGAAAGATCGCAACTTACTTCGAAACATTACACGTCTCTAAGATAATGTCGCGTTGTGCTACGTTCGCGGTGATTTGGCAAAACTGTCGAAGAACCAGCAAGAAAGAATACGCAGTAATCATTACCAAGTAAAAGGTGTGGCAAGAACGCATTGCGTTGTCGAGAAGAAGAGGGGCCGCGGCAGGGCGCAGCAAGCAAACTGGGGCAACCGCCGTCGGCAGGGCATCACCCTCCCTACAGCAACGGCTGTCAACACGAACGCTAACTGCGGCTTTCAGGGACTTCAGCGAAGACAACGTAGTTATTTGCTTATATGATTTGTATATCTTAGCGGGTTTCAGTAGCGGCACGAGTATTGTTCATGACCGGACATATGACCGGCCTGTTGAAACGCTCAGACAGAACCTCGCTAAGTGTAACGCGTATCGTAACTCCGCGTCAGGAGCAGAGGCCCATCCAATAAGCCGTTAGCCCTGAATGACCTGTTTTTGCTGCAGGTCATTTCGTTGTCCGCTCGCTAAGCGTCTCTCATTACACCGATCAAGAGAGGTTGTAAGTGCATTCACAGCTCGCGTGCTGCTCAGGTCCGATCCTGGTGTAACCGTGACCCATGTATGGCTTGGGCTCGCAGTTCTCACCCTTAAAGAGCTTAGTACACCTATTCATGCCGGCCGCATCCAGCGTTCATACACACGTCATGCCTGGCCGGGTACTAGGAAACATCCGGTAAGCTCTGGATGCACTGGATATTGGCCACTTAGAAGCTTGCCCGCCATATTTTCCTCTGGAGCTACCGATACACCAGTTACCTGGAGGATCCAGGCGATGGCAAGATCGATCATGTTCCTGCGTGTACCATTTATCCGAAAGTTAAGACTATCCTTTCTTAGTTCCCTTCTTCACGTGCATGTTGAGAATATTAAACCCAGAACCTAACAGGGTGTTTCCACTTGTCCGAACACTATCTTCGGTACACTATGTGCTAGTGTGGACTTAGTGTGGACGGTGTTTCCACTAGCGGCACTAAGGAGCGCCGAAACCAAAATTGTTTTCGTATTTTGAACGTTTTAGCGCCAGGGATTAATTGCTGATAATTGTCAAGGTCTGTAAGAATTCGCGTAGTAGGATCCGCTGCGGCGCAGCCTGCGTCATGATGTCCGCCATGAAGTCCGCATGGTGCATTGGCAACGTCCGGCCAGCGAAGGAAGGCAAACTAGCGGTATATGTTTGCTGAACGTTATTGAAGGAGGGCTCCATTGCAAAATGGCGGTGTTCTGAGGCTGTCGGTGTTGGGCGTGCGCAAGTCAACGCGGCGTTTGCAGGAAGGAAAAAAGATAGCTGCTTACGTCTAAAGTCTGTGGTCAGAAGGGACAATCCAGCTCATAAAAGTTGCCCGCCAAATAGTTAGTGCTAGGTACTAAAGTTAATGGCAGGTCTGAGGTCCAATTAACTTTAGTGTGCGCTAGTGTGGACTTAGTGTACGGGGTGTTTCCACTAGGCCTTACGGTTCTCCGCCAGGAGTGCCCCAACCTCCAATTTGTTTGATGAATATTTTCTACTATCATTAGTAGTATCAATATATGCATTTAGAACGGCGAGAGACGAGTCCAGGACGAAAAACATTCAAACTTATTGTTAGTGTTCGGCCAAGTGGAAACACCCTGTAACAGACAGCTCTTTAGGAATACTCAATTTCACTACTCTTTAGGAATACTTGACTTGCTACTCTTCTTCTTACTTCCGCTATCCATGACGCAAGAGCAATATTTGTAAGTTATGATATTAGTATGGCTGTTTGGGCTGCCATTGTACGGAAAGCGGGGAGTTTAAATTAAGTTGATTCTCCGTTGGATCTTGCCTCGGCAAGCCGATTGGGTCAATTAGATTAGCATCTTTCCCTACTTGCAATATGGGTTAACGGGGTGCCACCGCCGGTGCGAAAGGACAGCCGTGGGAGAGCAATGAAGGAGCCTTTGCAGAGTGCTGGAGCGCACTTGAATACTCACCCAGCTGTTGCAAAAGGTCAGGAAGAGAGTTTATAATGGCCGCAATTGTCTCAGAGAGATGACTTATGATTCATGTCAGTTTCGATGGCCTTGCTATCCTAAAATTTTCCGGTTGGTCTTATTGAAAAATGCGTTTATTGAAAGTTTACCATAGGTGGTGCTTGTATGCTTACGAAGATTGTACCGCGACAGATATGGACAGCGCACCCCTACCCTTTTCCCGGGGTTAACGCGGCTGACCTGGTAACGTCAATTGTACAGGTACTCTTGTAACGAAAAACTTGAAGGAATTCCCGAAATTGGCTACCGATGGCAACGGTCCCGCCAAAGCCAAAACATCGGAGAAAGGTGCGTTCCAAACGTGATGCCCTCTTTTCTGCAGTGAACCCAGTTTCAGGACGGGCTACTTCATGAGGCTATGATTGTATTTTAAACGGGTGCTCGTCGATAGCCCAACCAGTTGGACTTTTCGATCATGGACATGCACCATGATCCTGTTTCCTCATAGCATTAGCACATTGACGCGCGGGAAGCGCTATTGTGGACATCGAAAACAGCAGTTGAGCTATGAACTCACATGCGTCTTCGTGAGGGGCCTGAACTTATCAGATGCGTCCTAGCCGTCCTCCCGAAGCGTACCTCTATCTTCCCTGCGGCCATCAGGCACCAAGCGCCGCGCGGATAACGGCAACGATGCTGCAGCTGCTGCTGTTCTCACGTTCTCAGCAGAGCCCTCCGGTCCCTCTTCGACGGGAAATCAAAATCCACACCATGCTCAATCAGCGCTTGACAGTGCTGCAGCCGCTGGCTCTGCTCCCACCGCTGGCGGCAGGGCCGCCGCCGACATTGGCGCTGAGGCCGCCGCTGTGGCGGAGGTGAAGCACCTCACGGGCTCGGCTGAGGCGCCGGAGGCGGCCGGACCCAAGGGTAAGAAGCAAAAGGTTGCTGCAACTTACCCCGCCACCGCTGGTGCTGCAACAGCCGCCAACGGCAAGCCAAACGCGGATAGGCCAGCAGTGGCATCAGTAGCGAAGGCGGTTCAAAAGTCTACGGCAGCAAGCAAAGCAGCAGCGGCGGAAGCCGCAACAACCGGTCATGGCAACAAGCAGCAGCAGGGCAAGGACAAGAAACTAACAACACCAGCAGGAATGGAAGGGCAGGCGGCCGATGACGGTGATGATGGCTATGACAGCAAAGCGGATGCCGGCGGCAGTAAAGCACGTCGTAATGGCAGTACAGTCCGTAGAGCAGTCCAGAGAGTGAAGAGCTACAAGGAATCAGGGAACGAGGATGACGAGGACCAGGAGGAGGCAGACGAGGTGCGGCTGAATCACAGAGCACGGGTAGGGTGAAGAGGTTGAGGGAGGATGAAGGAGACACTGGGTGGAGATAACCGGGACAGATATGAACGGGAATGTAAGGCGAGATGGGATGGGAAAGAGGAGAAGTAGGGGCGGGGATAGGGTGAGGGTGAGAGGGGCTTGGGAAGGGTGGAAACTCAGCCAGGGACAGAGCAGGTAACGGCGGATAAGGGGTACATACTTTGGTAGAGAATGAACAACAACGCGCGAACTGCGCCGTGTGCGTTCACATAACGAAGCAAGCTGCATGAAAACTGTTTATTACATTACATTTAACCTCCGCGTTCTGGGTTGCATCACAACGGTCGCCAATGAAGAGCATGATAAATGTGCTGGGGGGGAGGAAGGAGAGAGAGCCGTGAGCCGTGAGAGCCTCCGTGTTCTGCCGTATTATTGCTTTGCCGTACTCCACAGACTGCTAAAGTAAAGGACGCTGTTACCGAGGAGGATGCGCTTCAATCGACAGGGCCCCCGGCGGCAGCGGTGGCAGCGACAACGGGTGCTGCGGCAGGCCTCATGCGGAGGTGGGAACCAGTCGGGAATAATACCGAGACACATGCCCCACACAAATCAATGACATGTCGCCGTTCCCGCGCACTCCTCCGCCACAAGCACATGCTGGCCCATTGATCCCTCCTCCTCTCGTCCCCCCGTCCCCCCCTCCCTTTCCTACACATACAGTCTGTTGGGCTTCTCTCTGGTGGATGCCGAGGGGCGGCCCGAGCCCCTGGACAGACTGGGTAGTTTGCAGGGCGGAGGACTATTCATAACAGGTGGGGGATAAAAGGGGGGGCCCCTGGCGGTGCGGAACATGAAGATATGTTTTAAGAGGCATCATCGGGTAAACCGACCCTCCAGGTACAGCGTGCTGTATCCGCATGAATGGCCTTGAATAACTAACTGCGGCCTGGGGCGCGACATGTATCCCAACCAGGTATCATAGCGCCACTTGGTGCGCGCTCTGAAACCAGATCCAAGCCTAAGGCGAAGCGGCAGCAGCAGTCCCACCAGCCACCCCTGCCCCCACCGGCAGCAGCAGCAGCAGCAGCTTCCGTAAGCTTGTGTCGGGTTACCCGAGTTGGGCCGGTCCTTGGGTGGCGCATCAAGTACTCGGTCGCTGCAGATCCACGGGTACGAGTACACCGTACGGCTTTGTACGACAGAGTATGTATCCCTTCTTCTGTCTTGGGTTTTTGTTTGTCCTGACTACGACTGCCGGAAGGAAGTTCCTTCTTCCTTGCTTCGTACCGTTCATGATTTTGCTGCTTGGGCTGATCAGCTTCCTATCGGCGTCGTTTCCGTTGTGAGTGTCTTTTTGCTGTTTGGGGGACCCCGCGGTTGCGGTTGCGGTTGCCGGGAGGAGGCGGATTATCGCAGGTGTATGATCGCGGCTGCCTTGAGAATGTAGTAGGCAGCTGGCTTCAGAATGCAGTAGGACACATCACCACCCGGGGACCAACCCAGACATCGCCTTTGCCCGCCACGGCCGCCTTTACCCCTGCTGTCGCACTGCATACAATCAGTTGGTATTGCACACCGCGCTGGCTCATTACGAATGCGCCAAGCCGGCAGCGTCCTACCGAAAACTGCTGGAGCCTCTGCTGGCCCAGGTGGAGCTGGCGGGTGCCGTACATCAGGCGCTGTGTACGGAGACGGGCGGGCGATTGGATTCGACGTTCGAGGACGTTTGCTGTCGGGTGGCGCGAACCAAGGTAAGAGTAAGAGTAAGGGTAAGAGTTAGGGGTAACGGGGGCGGCTCGGTAGGCAAACCCCACCCAAAGCTCTCTCCACGGTTCCTCTAGGAAAAGTGTAACGTGGATAGGAAATATGTGCTATCATCCGCAATAGCCGGCTTATGGAGGAGAGTTGCGAAAACCTGACCCCGCTTCTGATATACATACGCACATCCTCGCTGCATGAGTTGAAAAGTGGGGCGAGTTGTTGGTGCTATGGTACGCGCAGGTGTCCAAGCAGTACGGCGGAGCCCGCTACGCACTGAAGCTCAACGGGCGTTTCATACTCGAACAGCTTGCGGTACGACTGTACATGACTGTACAGAGATTGTAAAACACACAACAACGAAAGCGAAAATGGCCGCGGTCAACTAATCAGTTGCATGATGCCTGGGGGGAAATGATTGCACGATTGGCGGAGGGTATTGGATGGTATTGGATCGATTGTTGTCTACGGCCGACCATAATAATATCCTAATTGAATCCGGGCCTAGAATTCCACAAAGTACTCCACGGACGCCTGGCCGGGCGCCGAGGGAGTTGCATGACGCCGTTGTTCCCCCGCCGTTGGCACCCACTTACCTCCCCGACCGCCACCTAAACAGGCAATGGCGGGAACTGCCGGGTCTCACATCGTCGTCGGAGCAGACAACGGCGGGAAGGACAAGCAGCCGGCGGACAACAGCAAAGCTGCGGCTGCTGCCGCAGCTGACAAGTACTCGTACGACAATGGGCCCTTTGCACGTGGCCTACGTCAGGCGCTGGTGGGTAGCCGAATAATTCATGTGGTGATTATGGTCGTGGTTCGTCAAGTTGGTGGGTAGGGAATGTGTGTCTTTTAGGGCTGGGATGAAGAGTAAGTGCGTGGAGAGCATTTCAACAAGTTTCTCAAATTCGGTGTATTACAGGGCCCAGTAATGAAACCAGCAGTTATATTTCCGTCTCCAACCAAACTCTTGCCTTTTTTACCCGCCACTGTGACTATTTCCAAATTAGGAAACCGAGGACCACATGCCGCTCTCCAAAGACGCCCTGGCGATGATCATGGGTCGTGGAGGAGGAGGAGGAGGAGGTGGAGGCATTCGTATCGCGACGGACGGCGGCGGCGGCCGCGATGCCGAGACAGGCGGTGACGGCGGAGGTGGTGGCGGTGGCGGTGGCGGTACGACAGTCGATGATGATTACGAGATGGCATGCCGGCTGATGGTGCGTCCCGATTGCTCGGGCTTTTTTAACTGCACCGTGTACCACTGCAAATTCTTCTTTCCTTTCTTCACCCATGCAACCATGTAGTGGCGAATGTCTGCGCGAGGATACGAAAGCTTAGTAGGGTTGAAAAGGAATGAGAAGGAAGATGGAGAGAGATGAATTGTAGATGGCGGCGTAGTGCCGGCCCGTAACGGTGCATGGAAAAGGGAGGACTTCGGAATACAAAGACGATGGTGGCTTCTGCAGCGGTTCGCTCATTCAGTTCATGGCTGAGCGGGAGGATGTTTGCCCATCTGGGATATAAGCGGGATGTACCTGCCCGCGTCCCCGTTCGCCTTCCCACCTCCATTCGTGTCTGTCTGTCCGTCTGTCTGTCCGTCCACTCAGGCTGAGGAATACGCGGAGCACATGAATGGTGGCAGGTATGTTCCGCCGTTGCGCGGGGTCGGGCGGTGGGTCCATTGCACGCGCACGTGGCGTACAGTATGGCAAATATGGAAAGGGCTCTCAATGCCCACGTGCAGTGCTCACGTACCCCAGTTTGAGTTTTGAACTTAGAACTAGCCGCGCCGTTTCCATGGCAATGCGTGATGCTGCGATGAACAATGATGCCCCGGTTGCTCGTAGCCGGCGGCGCGGGGCTGGCTCTAAGGCGGCTGGCGGCGGCTGCAGTAACAGCAAGGAGCCGTACATTCAAGTACGGGAAGAAGAGATTGCAGATGACTACCCGGAGCCCAAAGAGTACAAGGGCGAGGAGGACCAGGACGAATGGGACGAGCTGATTCTGGAGGTACGTTTGTCGTACAGTGCTACAGCATTAGTAATATACGCTGCCCCTTTCCTCCCTTCGCTTCTCCTGTTTTACCGCAACTGCTGTTACCGTTGCTGTGCCATTGGAACTATTGCAGGATCCGGAGCTGCTGGGTTGCGGTTTTCATGGCGCGGACGAACGCGACAGCAGCCGTACGTTGGATCATTTCGCCATCTACAACTCCGATGTGCGGGGGATGGCGCGTATGGGACATGTGTGGGGACATGTGTGTCAGACGTGTGAACCCAGATAGCAGCAGCGGCGCTGTTCAATGGGCTAAATGAGCGATAAAATCTGTACCCATATTGTACATCTTTTCCAAGTGCCCTCCCGGATAGATAACATGCGAAGTCGGTTACAGTTGGTGGCGATGAATGAAGCAATTATTTCCTATATCAGAAGAATTTATAACTTATACTGGTATTGGTAGGTGAGTCAATAGCGGCTGAAAACATAGAAACATTTCTTGTCTTGTCGTCTCCTTGCCCGTATGTTGTGTCATATTGTGGGCATCAGCAGGCCATCCATCCCTCCCCCGCCCCTGGGGACTTCTCTCCGCATGTATGGTGTCGGGTCCTCAGCTTCCTCCCCGATTGTTTCAGTTTCCCTCTCAATGTCTCAATATGTTTACTGCGGGCCTGGAATGGCGCGCACTCACGTTCACGCTGCCGTTTTTGTTCCCTGCGCAAAGTCTTGGGAGATATGTCCGAACCATCAAAACTCGTTTTACTCGTTACCTAATATTCCTTAATTAAGACACACTCCGGGGTTCAAGGCCATAAGTACATTTTTTGGGACATGTTTACATTTTTGTGTTTTTTTTGGATATGTTCTCGTGCATCAGGGATTCCTGACCACCCTGGAGCTGGTGCCCATGGTGGCGGGCCTGGATGCCAACGTCAACATCTTTGCCAGCGGCGTGCTCGCGGAAGACACGGGAGACTGGGGGCCCGCAGCTGCGCCTGAGGCAGTTGATGCTGAGGCGTCGGGCTGCGGTTCCGGAGCTGGTGGATCCGGATCCGGGGGATCTGCTTCCTGTGGTGGTCAACGGTATTTCTTGACCCAGATCCGGGAATGGTTTGTGGAGTGCGGTCCGGAGGGCCAGGTAGTGATCAACATTCGTACGGACGTGTCGTGGTACCGCCTCCTGAGGTGAGTACGAGGACATGTACGGCCATACGTTAAACAAATGCATCAGCAAATCTGTTCACCCCACGCACACAGCAACATACCCCGCATGACCGCCAACAGTCCTACCTAATCCAGCTCTTTCATCCCGTTTTTATACATGCCAGGCCCCAGAAGCGCTACGCGCCGTGGTTCCGTGTCGTACAGCGCGCTGCCAACGTTGCCGTACAGATCCTCAAATGGTTGGACGAGCAAGATCGTGCAGCACGTCTTTACTTCCCCGATGTGATCACCCGTTTGTCCTCTCTTGCCCCGGGACACGAGGCGTACATCAGGGCCAAGGTGGGTTAGGTGGAGGCGGAGGGGGGAACCATGACCACCGGAAATCCACATTTGAGGAAATGTTGGGTATCACCTCGCGTTTTGGTGTGTATGATTATGCCCAGACCCGTTAGCCGTGCGAACGCATTTGGAAAACTACTCGGATCGTCTGACGCGTGGCTCATGTCTGGCTTTCTGCTGTCGTCACGACCTTTGTCTACAAACAGACAGACAGACAGACAGACAGACAGACACAAACCCGCCGCAGGTCTCCACAACGGATACAGACCCCACCACACATCATCGTATCATCCGTCTCACGCCAACCCATTCTAATAACCCCTCACGATACCCTTCGCTATGCCACCTTACCCTCGCACCTTAACCTCCCTTTTGATCGGCTTAGGTGGAAGCAGTGGAACGCTTCGTGGTGGTGCATGGCCAGGTGGTCCTCAACCTCATAGGCCGCCACTACAAAGACGCCATTCGTCGCTGTGGATTTGGAAAGGCCCTGAGAGTCAAGCTGGGAGAGCGACGACACCGCAAACTGGGGAAGCCTTCCGCGGCGGGTGGGGCGCGCAGGGGAGGCAGAGGAGCGACAGCGGCTGCGGGTGGGGCGGGCTCTGGGATGGCGGCTGCGAAGGAGAACCCTGTCAAGGTGTGTGCGTCTGTATGTATGTGCGTGTATGTGTGTGTGTGTGTTTGGGGGGGATGGTTGCGGGTAGGGGTACAAGCAGGTGGCAGGTGGCGGGTGGCGCAGTGGACGAGGGGCGGTGTTATCCGGGTGTACACCTGGATTTGCGAGCGGAAGGCGCTGCTGGCGTGCTGGGTCTGGACCGCCTTGGCCACCCGGCCGGGCCTGGTGCGTGTGGTATTAAGTGCTTAGTACACTGCGGGAATATCGAGAGGAGTGGTGAGGGGTGATGAGCACGTGGCATGCCCCATTCCAAGCCACAGGAGAGCAAAGATGTGGCTTGATGTGGTGGGAACCTTTCACCACTTTATCACGTCCAGGAGGACGTATCTCATGTCGACCCATATTACCATATTCCTCATTCCATCCAGTTTTCGTGTACTTTCAAAGTGCTCCCAAACAGCCTTACCTTTTTCCTCCCCCTCAAACTGCTTTTTCCATTTCCACTTGTTCCCACCATCATTCCTGCCACTCTCTCACAACCCATGTACCCAACCGCAGCTCCGCCAAGTCCGTAAGGCCAAGAAGCCCGAGCCCATGCCGGCCACGTCCACAGCACAGGTGGGCCTTGTGGTTGGGTACATACGTCCTGGTACATGTGTGGACGTGCGTGTTTTCGTAACACAGACACACACACACACTCTCTGTCTCACACACTCACACACACACGCGCACATACACACGACGGCCACACGGGAAGGTTTGCGACCGGTGTGTCGTGGAAGGCACCTCCTTGTAGTGGGGGTCATGATCAAGTGGCTGATCCAGAATGATGAAGGCACGGTTCTTAGAGATAGCCGCCCATGTGAGCCGCTCATTTCTGGAGAGAGAGGGAGGGACCTGAGACCTAGGAGTTGGCGTACCCCTTACTACCAACCCGCACCTCCAATCCGCTGCCTCCATGCGCCCCCTACCGCCGTAGGTTCGCCGTATCTGGTCGGACTATTTCACCGCTTTGGACGAGATTCAAAGGAAGCAGCAGCTCAAGAAGGAACAGGAGCTGCAGCAGCAGAACGGCGACCAACAGCAGCTGCAGGAAGAGAAGGAGCAGAAGATGGATGTGGACAGCGAGCCCGCGGCGGGAGCACCAGCAGCACCAGCACCAGCACCAGTGCATGCTGCTCCTGTGGCAGCAGCGGAGTCGGCAGCAGGGGTTTTCCGGCTCCCAAAGGTGAGGGGACTTGAGGGGGCTCGTGGAATCAATCTGGGAGCCGTGCAGGGACTTGCAGCCCATTGTGTATGCAAAAGCGTGCTTGCCACATCATCGCGTCCCGCACTGCGGCAACATCGCAGATTCTGTCCAAGTCATGGGTGCTGACAGAGCGCCGGACGGTGGACGAGGCCACAGGCCGTACGATGTACGGCGCAGCTACATGTGGCGATCTTAAACTGACCCCAGGGTCGATTATCCGCCTCGGTATAGTCCCGCAGCTGCTTGGCGGCCGCCGCTGCCGCCGTCGTGTGGCCGCTGCCGCCTCCGACGGCAGTGATGACGACGAGGGTGATGGTGCCAGCGAAGGCGACACCGCAGAGTCCGATGACGGAGGCGAAAAGGACTCCAGTGGCGGCGGCGGCGGCACAGGCGGTACGGATGCTGCGGCAGCGGCCGCAGCGGCGTCGGCACGCCGTTGGGCGGTTCTGACCGAAGGCCCGTTTGGCCTTGTCCAGTGCATCTTCACGGACAAGGAGTACAAGGAGGGAGGAGGTGGGGGGGCCAGTCCTAGATTGCAGGTAGGTACACGCGATCGACCGATCGATGTGCGCGAAGACGCACTCCCTCGCTGCAGCTGTGAGCCCCACACGCGACTCCAGATTCCTGTTGTTGACTTCTTTCAACGTTTTCCAGTTGCTTCTTCCGCCATGGAAGGGGCGTGTGGGTCGAGGGCGACAGGGCTTTCAATTGGGGGGTGGGAGGGGCGCCTGGGAGGGGGGTTGGCCCAAAGGGGTTGCCGGGGGTTATTGACATGTTGGCCCCTTGGAGATGTCGGGGATGTGAAAGGAACGATTCTGCAACAGACCCTGGGATGAACCTGGATGAACGGCTCGGAAGTCTCCAAAAGGGATTTAGCCGGTCGTCGTTGGAACCGGAGATGTACCCCTCCTGCTGACCGTGTGTGTGTGTGTGTGTGTGTTCGTGTAACGACAGCTACTCCGTGGTTTGCATCTCATCTCATCTCAGATTTGCATCTCGTTATCTAAGCCCACCCTTCCCCTTGTCCCTTCTTGTTGCGTAAGCGAACCCCGCCTTTAGACTCTGTTGCCCCCGGCGTGTCAGCATTCCCTTTCCCTCTCCGCCTCCTTCAATCGCCTGCTCTAAGGTCCGTCGGCTCGTGCACGGGCGAGATACGATGCTGGCCAATGTAGCCGCAACCTCGGAGCTTTTCCTCCTAGACCGTACTCCCGTACCTGCCGTGCCCGCCAGCCGGGGGGGCGGCAGCGGAGGCGCTACAGCTAGCGCCGGCGGCGGCCTGGCGGCGGCACCGGGTGATGTGGTGGTGCTGCCGCTCAACGGTCGTACAGTGGCGGACGTGGTGGAGTCTAAGTTCCTGAGCCGGTCCGCGAAACACATCAGCCGGCTGGAGGATAGCAAGGTATGAGGTGGTGTTGGGGGATTCAGGGGGTTCGTTTCGCACGTTTGTTTTGTGATGTGTATGTCTGTCGCGTGACGAGTTAACGAACTTTCGCTGACTGGACGAAGATGTGTGTTGTTGGATGCAGTAGCTTCAGGCCGCCGCTGAAAAGGCCTTTCGAGATGCTGGCGGAGCGCCTTAGCGCATATTTATAGGCGATATGTGTGCCGTACTATGTACAGCTACTACATTGGATCCAACGAAATCTAATATTGAGATTGGATTTGTTGGACGCAAGGGCGCGCATGGACGCATGAATGCATGGAGTGAGGGATGTCCATCATGTGTATAAGACCTGCGAGATTGTTAAGTGCCTTGTGCCATCTATTTGGAACCTAACCGCCAGGTGCCATGAACCTTTTGGACATGACACCGGCCCAAGATGGTAGCTATAGTTCCTGGCTTTCGTTTCCCTTAAAATAGAAATCCCACTTCCCTAGGTCGCTTCCCAACATCCTATGATTATTTCCTCCTATGCACCCAATGTCTTACACGTCGCACTAAGGCTTTCCCCCTCACAAAACCCCCCTCCAACGTCGCCCTTTCTTCCCTCCATCAACCCCTAATGCACCCCCAAATCCCAGTCTGATTTGGAGCGGGTTCATCAGGACGCGGAACGTGTGGCGGCAGGTCGTCCCCCCGTCTTCGTGTACCGCAGTGTGTACTGCCCACTCCAGGGGATGTTCAGGGAGCTACGGCTCCGAGATCTGGGCCTAGGGTCGTACGTGCAGGAGGCCCCCCGACCTGCCACCCTGGAGCTGCTGCCCGGGGGTGCGGGCTTCATCAAGGACGGCGTCACGTATCAGGTGGTGGCGGTGATGTTAGGAGGGGGAGG